TGTTACCGGTTACCACTCTGCTACTGCTGCCAGAGCTGGAACTGCTATTATACGTGTTACTGCTGCCAAAGGTGTTACTGCTGCCGAAATCTGGAAGGAGAGGGGATAACGGGGCCAGAGTTTGAGCATTCACCCCTGCTTCCCCTGCTTCTCCTGCTTCACCTGCTTCTAAACGAAGCAGCCAGGTTGAGTGGGCTCCCCCTTCCGCTCCACGCCCCTCCGTCCCATATGTACTCTCACCTTGCCCTGTACCCTCAACAGCACTTTTCTCGATACATGCTGCAATAGGCACAGCGTCAGTGTAGCTCTTACTGCGCCTGATAAGAAGCGCGGAATTCACAGTGCTGGATTGTAACTGTGGCTCTGAAATGTCAAGTGCAGAAAGAGACTCTTTCCCTCTCCGTAACTTCCCTCCTAATCCCTGGCTCACCAAACCATCCTCCTCCTCTTCCTCCCACCCTCTCCTTCCTCCTACCCTCCCACCCCCTTCGCTCTTTCTCCCTGTTACACCTCCCCTTGTCCCGTTCGCGCCTGCTAACCAGTCCTCCCCCTCACTGTCGCTCTCAAACTCAACTCCGTGCCGAGAAGGAAAGGGATTGCCTCCAAAAGTGCAGAGGTGTGCAGGGGAGAAGAGGAAGCGGAGGGGGGAGCGTGAAGGGGAGCGGAAGGAGCGATGTGCCGAAGGGTTCGGGGTTGCAAGGCGATTCTGCTGCTGCCGCAGCTGCTGCTGCCGATGCTGGTGCTGGTGCTGGTGCTGGTGCTGGTGGGAAGGTGGCGGTTCAGGTGATATTTCAGGTGGGGATTCAGGTGACCGGTCTGCAGATTCAAACAGATCATGCGCTGGTCGGTCACCTCTGCTGCTGGTGCTGCTGCTGGGAGCGAATTTGGTGGTAGTGGGAGGGCGAAGGTCAGCGGCAGCAGCACCAGCAGCAGAAGCAGTAGAATCCTGGGAGGGAGAGGCAGTGTGAGTTGGAGAAAGGACAGAGGTGGAGAGGGAATACGGAACACCAGCAGCACCATCACCACCAAGATCTATATCCGAAGGCCGAAATCCCCCTACCCCTCCTCCGCCTCCCTCTCCTCCTCCTCCTCCTCCCCCTCCCCTTCCTACTCCTCTGGCTCTCCATACCGTCATACCGGACGCTTTCGTGCCTTTAAATGCTGCCGAGTCGGAGGTTGATCGGTTGAACAGCTTCTTTTGCGCCTTCACCATCCCCCTTGTTGCACCGCTCGCAGCAGCTGCAGGATCAATAATAATGCTTTCGCCACTGTTGCCGTTTTCTTGGTTGTAGTAACCGTTGCCGCTTGGACCGAGCTGGTTACCGCCGGGACCAAGCTGGTTACCATTAACGAGCTGGTTACCACTGTCACCGAGGTGGTTACCATGCACATCATTCAACGCTCCACCGTTGCAATCCAGCCGTCCATTTTCCAAACCTGAATCTGACTCCTTCCCATCATGATTATGTCCGTCCTTATCCTTACCATGCCGCATCCCTTTTAAAGCACTGAGAAATCTCCTTTTCTCCTCTTTAATCTCAGCACCCCCCTGCCGATGCTCCCCTGTTCCGGCTGTTTCCCCCATCACCCCCATCACCCCTGATCTTACCCCTTTTTCCGAACCAAAATCAAAACTCGGCCGCCGGGCGTACTGCCCTGCAGGTTTTGGCTTTACAAACCCTAAATTTATTGACCGGGGCTTCGCACGTGCGGGCTTGGATTCCGTACCGCTTGTCAGCTTCTGCTGCTCCTGCTGCTGCTGCTGTTTGTGTGGTAGCGAGGAGCAGCGACAAATAGGGTAAGCATCCGCGAATTGTAGCTGCCACGAGCGATGCGCGTCTGCTGCGACGCGTTTCACTTCGTCCCTCTCCTTGGTTCCAATTGTCATCCCGTGCAGTTTTAACTTGCTACCGGGGTGAGCTGAAACGGGGATCAGAATGGGGAAACGGGGGAGGTGGGTGGGGAATTACGAGTGAGCGCGTCGGTGAGGAGAGGGGGAGCAAGGGGAGAAAGGAGACGAAATAGACGGTTGTGTTTGCCGTCCAATGTATAATATTAATCTACTTGGTTTGACCGGAATAGTCGGGTTGGGAGAATAAAAGGTACGAGCAGCGAAACCGTTTCCTTCGCACCTTTCTTCGCCCAGACAGCGAACTTCCGCGTGTTATCCGTGTTCGCGAACCACCGCTGTAACAATTCGTCGTTCGTCGCCATCAAATCGTCGGCGGCGACGACCACCAATCGCCACCAACACGCGACGCGATTCCTCGCACCGCCAGCAGCAGCAGAATCGTCGCCACCAGCGACGCTCGTCGAATCAGAAACCACCGATTCCGCATCCCACCCACCTAACCGTCCCGAATTACTTCCCGTAAAAGAATCTTCTCTTTCTAAACCCCCTGCTAACGTTCCCTTTCTCCCTGACGAATTACCAATACCCGCGCCGCGACTTATACTATTCCCTTCTCCGGCTCGACTAGGAGCTTTCACGGGAATCGCGAGCACCGGAATAACATCGTACACGTCACCCACGCGCCGCCGATGCGCCTGCGGTCCGATTTCGAGCGCCTCTAACGGCGCGCTGCTTAACAAGTCCATATTCAGCTCCTCGCTCCGACTGCTTCCGCCTAAAACGGCCGTTTGCGGAAGAAACCCGCGCGCGGGGCAGCCCGCAGGTAGCGGCTCGGTCAGCGCCGTCAGCGCCGGTTCCGCGCTGACGAGGTGGCGAACGCGCGTCCGCCGCTCCCGCTCCGCGATGAGATCGCTGGCGGACGCGGTGCTGGATGATATCGCGGAGGCGGATGTGGATTCCGCGGGGGAGTTCCGCGCGGGGGGTTGCGCGGAGGCCGCGGAGAGGGGAACGGCGGCGGCGGTGCAGACGAAGCGGCAGCGGCCGAAATCGCGAAGCGCGGAGGGGTTTTTGCGGTCGAAGAGAGGCGGGTGGTGCCATGGATGGGACATGGCGACGGGACGGTCGCACGTGGGGCAGGTAGTTCCCATCAGCCGAGCCGCCGTGACCCGATGCGCGGGGTCTACCTGCGGAATGCACGTCCCTATGTCTGTGAAATCCATATCGACAGGAACTAAAGGAAGCGTCCTTCTGAGTTGGTTCAGACGAGCTAGGGCGACGCCCGCCAATTAAGAGCCGGCCCGGCTCAGAAAGCGTTGCGCTGGGAGGATTGTCACTAATGATACACGTCAGGTTCGAGCATTCTCAGAATTTACTACAATCCCTGTTTGATCCGTCACGCGACATGGCCGTCGTTCAAGTCCGTCAACCTCCGTCAACTACGACTCGCATCGTGCCGTGGATCTTATCCGGGTCTAAGGTGAAACATGGGCATTCGGGCTTCTAACGTGTTATCCATAGCTAGGCGGTTCGGACAGCGGGTTTCACGGCCGTCGATGCCAGGAAACACTCATAACGCTGCAGAAAAGTGCACTGACATACACCGCAAGGAATCGCTACTCAGTATCCGCAGATATCCGTACTGAGAATTATGACCTAACTAACAACCTCAATGTTTGCTGCTGGGAGCTGAATCTGCCCTCGTACTGCGCGTTGCTAGAACGACGACTACAATCAGGCTTCGTTAATCGGGGATGCTGATTCATCGCTCGGAGACGCACGCACACCGACCAAAGTTGCTGCTAAGCAGTAAATCATCCGTACCTACCTGCGTGCCGTCAAGGGTGCGGTGAAGGACATAAGCCAATAAGTACACGTAGGCGACGCCGTGCTTTGCGGCGGTTGGTTTTGCTGATGATGGGTAACTACAGAACCTTTGCTGCTTGTCACTTGCTTGCCTGCCTGCTCCCGCAAGGCAGCTGGGGCGGCGAAAGCTACGACGGGGAAGGATAGCAGCGGATATGTCGGGCAGGGAAGCAAAACAAATTGGAAATGAGAGGCCTCGTTGGTGGGACCACAACACAATTCAGAGAGGAAAGGAAGGTTGAACATCGAAGACCGAACAATATTTTTAGCCGCTCGTTTGTTGGGTGTACGACAAAATAGCTAGGGTGTACTGAACATGAATAAAAAGAAAGTGCCCCTCTCGCCACCATCCTTCGCCAACTCATGATCGCGCTTGTACTGTGCGGCGACTTTGGGAACTACACCGCCCGAAGGCTGGAGTGAGGTCGGCCTCACTGTGCTGTTGTGTACGTGTATGAACGAACTCTGACTTTCTTGCGGAACTACAGTAAAATCAGAAGTACCCTTGTCGGCCGTCTAAAGCTGGAACACCCCCTCAGTTCCCCCTGCCAGACTGGAAACCTTTGGGACGGGGGAGAATAACACAGTTGAGGAAACATGAGGTTGAAAACGGTGTTGTTCTTGAAAACCTCCCAAAAACGGGTGCGACTTTCCGAAACAGAAGCACGTGAAACAACAGCACAGTCGGTACATTGCGAATACAACCGAAAAGGGGGCCCAGCTGACGCAAACCTCGAATTTTGAGACATCAAGAGTGATGGCCCTGCTGTAGAGTAAGACCACTCTAACCACTGACGGTTAGTATGGTCCAGATAGGACCACACGCCGTTGTCTGGACCAGCTAATGCCACACACTAGCACGGAACCTTGGTCGGGTGCAAGCAACCCCCCACGGTTCAGGTCGGGATTGTTTGTTGTAGAGTGGAGAGCGGGGGCCAAAACATTCAGCAAAACGTGCTCAGCAGGACTCGAACCTGCGCGGGCAGAGCCCAACAGATTTCTAGTCTGTCCCGTTAACCACTCCGGCATGAGCCTATTTTTAAGTGTTGTATGGTTTACAAAATGTCACATTAAATAGAGGTCATTGTGGTGTTCAACGCCAAAAACTTCCCTCCACGAAAGAGGGTTTGAAATTGAAAGGAGTCTCCCTGTTTTGGAGGATGTCGGAGGTATAGGTGTTTAGAATACAATCTAATTGGATTGGTCAATTCAGTTCAGCCACAAAAATGCGTTTTGGAAATGCATATAGCGAAGCGAAGCTCGCCTACTCCTATGTATGGGTAACCTATGGAACAGTAGTACCCTTGGGAATCACGAGATTATCCACGCCATGCGCGATGAAATAAGGGCCCTGATAAATTCTAGCCGTCGTTATTGTGCACCATTTGGGCCTGGGGGAATTCAAAAGCCCAAACGATGCGTTCACCGCATTTAGCGGGGTCTGCTTATATTGAGGCTGCTTCAGCATCGTCGGGAACGCTCTCGGCTTCTGCTGCCTAATATACGCTAGCATCATCCTCGGTATAAGCACGTGGTACGCCGTAACGTTGTACATCTTTGGCAGATTCTTCGAGGACGGAGGGACCAGCTTCGTGAAGTTCGACCACGCATTGTTATCGGGCATCAGTATCGTCGCATTCTTCAACGCGGATATGTCGTAGTTGAGAGACATAGCGGCTTTCACGGCGTTCGCGAACTTGACGTAATTCGGATAGTGCGCGTTGACGTGATCCGCCATCTTCTTAACTTCCGCTTTTATCTGCTCCTTAGTCGGTGTGGCGGCCGACACATACTGACGAGACGAGCCGCCAAATCCCTCGCTGACGAGAAGCGCGGCGACTGCGATGCAAACGAACCACACCGTAACATCACGGCGTTGTGAACGGGAATGTAACGACCTGGCCATGGCGAGCGGCCTGGAACCAACTCTACGAACTCAGGAAACTAACAGCGCCGCAAGGTTCGTTCTACTCTCTTATAGCAAACAGCCAAGCTCGAAGCGTTCAGAAATTGTCTACTGCTGACAATCTTGGGCTGTTTCGGCTGGAAGAAATAGCAAGAAAGAAGGTGCTAAAAGAATTGGGATTGAGAAGGCGGACATAACATTTGTTGCCTCTGGAAGGTTGCGCGAGCGGGTGTGAGCGAGAGGGTCGGAGGAAGGGAGGACGCTCCTGCAATTGCAGTGGTCGGTGAAGCGAGCCGCGTTATAACCGTGGGCAGATGAGAAGCCAACGACGCGTTATCGGCGTCGGATTGCGGAATTGCGGAGCTTGAAGGTGTGAATCGACGGTGGTTCTTGAAGGTGGACCAAGAACGGACAGATGAACAGTGTACTTACAAAGAAGGGGCACCGCAGCCAGCCACACGGATGTGCGTCGGCAAGATTATGCGGCGGAGGTCGGTCCTGGCTTCCTGACGTGCAGCCGCTGGTTCCTACGCACAGCAGCTCGGTGTACAGAATCTTCTGTTCGGTTGGGTTTGGTCAGCGGGATTGTCACTGCAAAATTTCATTGGATGAAGGCTCCATCCAGCATCATTGTATGAAAGTAGTACAAAAGCAACACGTACACCAATTTGTGTTCTATATCTTACGACGTGATGCAATTGCCGGTGCACTGCATCGGCTCGAGACGAATGGAAGGCTCCAGGCAAGCGGGAGGCCAACCCCGGGCAAAGAAACATTCTAAGATAATGAATAATCGAGTTATTTGCCAAGGTTGTATTAGGACATAAATGATGTTTGCTCGTTTCCGGAAAAAACATTTACGGCCTCGTTTCAGAACCCGTGCCTCGAGCCGAGCCGATGCAGTGCACCGCGAATTGCAACACGTCCTTACAAACCACCACAAATCAGCCCTACACGGAAGTTTCCTACGGATGGCCTGCACCAAACGCCTTCTGCACAACGCTGAAGGCCTACTGAATAACTACCATACTACTGATGTGGTGTCAGAGAAGAGCACTCACTTAGATACGACACCACATCACATTTTAGAATTGCAGATACAGCATTCTTCACATCCAGTATCAACAATCTGTTGTCATTCATCATCTCAGGCTTTTACACCTTGCTCATCACCCAACAAGCCCTTCACCTGACCTTGTAGCTGCTTTCGGGCCTTTCGCTCAATATGTGCTTGCAGCAGAACCGAGCGAGCTGTTTCAAATGCCAGAAAGCCAATAGCAGAAAACGCTGCATTATACAGGATGCGTGGAGTCATGCCCCGCGTCAACCCAAGCACACCTTCCTCCTCGCACACTCGCCTCAGTGTCGACACCACTCCTTTGTATGTGTATGCAGCTGCTGCCTGAGCCTTAGCTGCTGCCTCTGCCTGTTAGGGCAATGAAATGACAAAGAGAGGGGCAGACGGAATAACACAAGGAGAAAAAGTATTCAAAAGGCAGGCTGATGGGTGGGAGATGAGCCAGAGGGGCACGTCCGTCGGCCCTACCTGTGCCTGCTGCTGCCTCTGCCACTAGCACCCAGGTGATGGCACCCAGGTGATGGCACCCAGGTGATGGCACCCAGGTGATGGCACCCAGGTGATGGCACCCAGGTGATGGCACCGACTCTGTCCATTTGCTTCAATGGCACCCGCTGGGCTGCCTTTGTTTTAGGATGGGACAGGTCTTGACCACATTCACGTGGGTAGTGGATGCCGGTGAAAACACCGACGCCCATCCGAAAAAAAATTAAGCAGATTTCCAAGAAACAGTCGAAAAAAAGAGCAGTTGTCACGGCCACAACAGGAGAGACGATACAGCAAAGAGCCATTACCTTTGGAGCCCCTGTGGTGCCTGCTGCTGCTACGGCCGCGCGCGTGAGTCATGAGGCGCGTCTTGACCACGTACAGAGGCGTGGAGAGTGCTGCTGATTGCAATAAGAGGCCACAAACAAGCTCACTCAACCCAAGAGACACCGAGTGAGAGAAAGAGCAGTTACCTTTGCCCCGGTAGTGCCTGCTGCTGCCACTGCCATGCGTGCTCGAGTCATGAGGCGAGTCTTGACCACGTCCAGAGGCGTGGTGAGTGCGGCTGACACGTTCATGCATGCTTATGGAGAAAAGGAGTGATTACAAAGTCAGGGTTGAAGGGCGAGCAGTTACCTTTGCCCCGGTGGTGCCAGCCGCTGCCACGGCCACCCGAGCCTGAGTCATGAGGCGAGTCTTGACCACGTCCAGAGGCGTGGTGAGTGCGGCTGAGAGTGCCCCTGCCACTGCCCCCGCTGCCATGCTCTCATGTGGTCGCAGAGCAGTGGCATGCCTCACATGGAGTATCGCCATCTTCAGATACTCCTGATGGCGGGGAAAGGAGGTGAGGGAGGGAGTTACCACGAACGGAAGTGAACACATAGGTGTGGTGAGTGCAGCCCTGCCATTGATCACAACGCCATGCTCTCATGCGGCGGTCGCAGGGCGGTGGCATGCCTCACATGGAGAATCGCCATCTTCAGATACTCCTGATGGTGGGGAAGATGGGAGATGGTCGGGGCAATAGCACAGCAAACGAACACAGGGATGTGGTGGGGGGTTCCTTGTGTTGCAGCGACTGGGTTGACTTCTGAGTCAACTCAACAGTCAACTAGCTGGGGCACCAGCGCAGTAAACGAACACAGAAGTGCGGTGAGGAGCAGACAGCGGTTGGGGTTCATTGTGTTGCAGTGACAGGCAAACCAGGATGCGGCATGCTGGCATGTGGTATGCTAGCATGTGGCATGGAGCAGACAGCATGGTGGCAGGACAGAGCAGGCAGAGCAGGGAAGAGCAGGGCGTACGAAGGTGGAGAAGTTGAGGACGTTGGTGGGCAGGTTGCGCAGGAGGGCAGCGGTGTATCCGCTGTACAGCCCCGCTACTCCCTCCCCCGCCACTGCCTGCTGCAGCACCTGCCATGCCGACCCTGCTGCTCCTGCCTGGAGACGACAAGGGAAGGGGACACAGGAAGAATGGAATGGAACGAGGGAATGGAGGGCAGCGGTGTATTCGCTGTAAAGCCCTGCCACCCCCTCCCCCGCCACTGCCTGCTGCAGCACCTGCCACGCCGACCCTGCTGCTCCCGCCTGGTGTGAGCAAGGGAAGCAGGGTGTGTGGGATGAAAGGGTGTGTGGGTTGACAGGGTGTGTGGGTTGAAAGGGTGTGTGTGGATCGAAAGGGTGTGTGGGTTGAAAGGGTGTGTGGGTTGAAAGGGTGTGTGGGTTGAAAGGGTGTGTGGGTTGAAAGGGTGTGTGGGTAGAACGGGTGTGCGGGTTGAAAGGGTGTGTGGGATAAAAGGGCGAGTTCAATGAAAGGGCGTGTGGAATGAATGGGCACGTGGCACTCAGGGGCCATTGGGATTTTTTAATAATATTCCTCCCTGCAAGTGCATATGCATCCATGCAACCACATAATCCACTTTTCATTGCATACACAAAATTTCCCCCTTTTGGTGTTTCATTCCTACTTCCACGCTCATACGCCTCATTGTATGTTGCATATTCGTCTTTCTCCTAAACGTGCATATTCTTCCTTGCTCATGGTCGCCCATCCCCACCACCCCTCTTCCAGCCCTTCAGCACTACCTCCAGCCCACCACCATCCCTCCCAACCGCACAGCACCGCTCCTCACCTGCATGCGCTGTTTGATGACTTCCTTGGGCACGAGAATAGCAGAGCTCGCGATGTTCCCCAGCGCTGCCGCCACAGGAGGCACCAGCGCCACCGGGCACGACAGCACCACCCCTGATGGCGATGACAGTGACACAGAGCTAACCCACAACCCCACTCAACCGCACTATACCACTCCTCACCTGCATGCGCTGCTTGATGACTTCCTTGGGCACGAGGATGGCGGAGCTCGCGATGTTCCCCAGCGCTGCCGCCACAGGAGGCACCAGCGCCACCGGGCACGACAGCACCACCCCTGATGGCGATGACACTGATGACGCTGATGACGCTGATGATGACACAGAGCTAACCCCACCACCACCACCATTCCTGCTGCTCGTCTCCCCACCACCACCACCACCACCACCACCACCACCACCACCACCACCACCACTACCACTACCCCCTCCGCTTCTATCTTGCTCGCTGGCCCCGCTTCTCCCTCCGCTGCTGCTGGACCGTGGGCGTCTGAGCGCTGAGAAGGGCAGCGGGAGCACCATGTCCTTTGAGAGGCCCCCCTTGGCGAGCTCGTAGGTGCCGAAGTAGATGGAGGAGGAGAGCACGGACCCCAGGAACGCCGCTGGCAGCCCGCGGTAAAAGCCCCCGATGCCCTGTGCGGCTGATACCTGCCGGGGGGGGGGGGGGATGATGGGGGACGGGGAGGAAATTCAGGAGGTGCCTCTCAGAAGGCCGCTGGCAGCCCGCGGTAGAATCCGCCTATGCCCTGCGCTGCTGACACATGCGGGGGGGAGGGGGGAAATTGAGGGGGAAAGGGAGGGGGAAACAGAGAGGGGAAACAGCGAGAAAGGGGATGATGAGAAGGGTATTCACGACGCGTCTCAGAAGGTGGCGGGCAGCGTGTGGAAGGACCCACCGATGTCCCACGAGGCTGACAGCTGCAGAAGAACGGAGGGGGTATCGGAGGCGGTAGTGATGGGTTGGGTCCTGCGAAGCAACTTAGGCACCTACCCATTCACCTCACCTTGCGGATGACGTCTAGCGGCCCCGAGTACACGCGCGAGGAGCCTTTGGTCTGCAGCTTCGTCTTCACCGTGTCCAGCGGATGCAGCGTCGCGTTCGTGAAGCCTTCTGAGTCAACCCAAAGAGCACCTATGCAGACCCGCCTTGGGATGACGTCTAGACAAGCAGGTCCGGCGAAAAGCCCTCTGTCTGTAGATTCGACTCACGAAAAACCAACACACCCAGACTCACCTTGCGGATGACGTCTATTGGGCCCGAGTACACGAGCGAGGAGCCTTTGGTCTGCAGCTTCGTCTTCACCGTGTCCAGCGGATGCAGCGTCGCGTTCGTGAACCCACCCGCCAGCCCTCCCGCCACGGCGCCGATTCCTGCCAGATTTGTACAGGGTGAGGAAGAGAGATGACAAGAGGTGCTGATTGATAAGGTCTACTGTTTCTTTTGGGTTACCTCGACATAGAAATTGGTACTAGAGTGGAAAGGGAGAGGGAGAAGGGAGCGCCTCCTGCTCGCTCCCATAACGGCAGATGCTTCAGCAGCACGCGTGTTTGACTACGAGGAGCTTTCAGACAAGCTCCTAAACTGAGGTCTTTGCTTCAGGAGCCTTGATAACCGACCTGCTCGCTCCCATAACGGAAGCTGCTTCAGCAGCACGCGCGTCTGACTCCGAAGAGCTTTCAGGTACGCTCCCAACCGCCTGGAGTTCAAATTTAAGGCTTCTCAGTAACTGACCTGCTCGCTCCCATAACGGCAGTTGCTTCAGCAGCACGCGCGTCTGACTCCGAAGAGCTTTCAGATAAGCTCCCAACCGCCTGGGATCCACAGCGGACGGCGCGGATCCTCCTGCTGCTCCCCCTCCTCCCCACCCTAACGCAACCAGTACCGACCCTGCTTCCCGCCAAAACTTCACCAGCCACACCGGTCTTCTGTCTTCAGGTGACTTGTCGGAATCTAATTGGTCGCTTCTTGTGGTTTCGGATTGGTTCGTAATTGGTGATTGTGATGAGAGGGATTGAGAGACGGAAGCGAAGGGTATGGATCTGTAGGTCACTACCGCGATAGGTTTGCGGGATCTTTGTTTTGAGAAAGATTTCATACTGACAAACGATGCTTTCGAAGTTTTTCTTGTAGGTAGAATGGCGAATTCTAGGAAGCCATTGTCCGAATCCATTGAAGGTGCAGCGACTGAGATTGAGGGAGTGCTATCAATTGTCGTACATGACGAATCATGAATCCGAATATCCATGGCAGATATGGAAGACCCCCTCTCAACGGATCGTACGAGCGTATGCTTACTCCGGACCTAATTGTCAAATCACAAGGTAGTAGGAAACAGACCTAGGAATGCTAGAATTGCATGATCATCGCCTTCCCTGACAATTAGGAGAATATCACGGCTGTTGAGCCATTGAATCTGGCTCAAACAGATGGAGGAGCGCTGAGGGAAGTTCAACAAAATATCATTGATGTCCGTGAACAACTTTTAAGAACCGCATTGGAATGTTTTCTACTGCATTAGTTATCCGCTGAAACGTGCTGCACCCAAAGCAGCGTAGGCGTGTGATGATCTCTGATCCTTGAAATGAGCGATGCAAGACGACAGCCAATGATCGGGTCGAGCAACCCGCTCTCAGATCTTTCGTCCAATGGAGCTGCAGTTTTCGTCGTCAGCAGATCCAACAGACAATGGTGTACCAAGAACAGGCTGCAGCAACACGGAGCTTGTGATATGGCAATTGGTATTGCTCGAATTTTATATGAGCTGTTAAAGGAAGACTTTGTAACGAATCTTTCAGGAAAGAGGAGCACGACCAATCGGTTTCCTTTCTCAGCTGACTCAACATCTTCCTGGGCGGCTGTCACGTGGAATTCATGCCTAACCACGTCAGTCGAAAGCCACGGCTGCGACAATCAAACGGTTCGTGGCACAATGTCGTCTGTCGCGTTGGCATGCCAGCATTGCAAATCTGTCGCGTTGTCCGTGTGAAGGGTCTAATCAAAATATCAAATTCTCATGAAACGCTCGATGCACATCTGGTTACAAGACATCGACTCTGAATATCTTGCGAGAAATAAAAGCTCATCAAAGTTCAGTTATGAAGTGTACCCCGATCAAACCAGGCGATCCGGGTATATAGAACACGTCTTTACCTGAGCTCTTCTGCAGAATTTATTCCAGCAGCCACCTTCCCCCCCACCATCACTACTGCGCGTTCTGCATTCACTACATCCACCCCTTCCATCCATCTGGTCCTATTTATTCGATGCTACCTAGTAAATCTTCCATTCCGCTCGTCCTTCACTCCCACACACTTCTTCTTTTATTTGTTCGTTCTTCTGTTGGTTTCTCAGCTTAGGCCTCCACTACCCCCTCAGAGCATTTACTAGTATGCAACCTGGTGAGCGCTGCTTCTGAAACGTGCTAGTTCCATCGCCTCCTGCGGTCGATATTGTGGACGACTCTCACCCGTTCAGCAGAGCCAAAGCTAGTTTCGCAACCGATTGCATTGCCGAATTTCTTACCCGTTTACTCATCGCCGCCGAGTCTCCCTCATTTAACCTGATTGTTTCCAAAAGGCACTGTAAAAATCCATAGTAGCCACTGCGAATGGCGCTGGCCATTTTCGACGAGTCGCTCGTCGAGCTCCCATGCGACGTCAGTTATGACGCTTCCAAGTGTGCCACGTCAGCCGAGCTCCTCCGGGAGTTTCTGAAACGCCATCCGAACGCCGCGAGCGTACAGCTCGGCGCGCAGGCCGTGCTGGGCTACTCGCATGACGGCGACGATTCCTTCCATCGCACGCAGCTCGCCGCGTCCGGCGACATCTTCTGCATCTTCACCGGTCGCATAGACAACGTCGCACAGCTGCGACGGTCGTACGGCGTCGCCGGCGGCCACGGGCACGACACGAGCGAGTCGCAGCTTGTCCTCGGGATGTACAAGGCGCTTCGGAGTGCACTACTGTACGACCAGGTGTCGCATTCTGCGGAATCCGCGCTGGCGGAGATGGTTGGGCCGTTTTCCACGGTGATCTACGACAACGAAACGGGCAACGCGTTCATCGCAGCTGTGAGTAGTTCTGAGGCGCCTCTAAACTCGTCCCAATTCACGCGTTTCCTGCGAAATCCACGCTGGGGGAAATGGTCGGGCCGTTTTCCTCGGTGATTTACAACGGGAAACGCGTTCATCGCAGCTGTGAGTAGTTCTGAGGCGCCTCTAAACTAGTCTCATCTCACGCGTTTTCTCCGGAATCCGCGCTGGGGGAAATGGCCGGGCCGTTTTCCACGGTGATTTACGACAACAAAACTGGGAACGCGTTTGTCGCAGCTGTGAGTGAAAATGGCCAGTAGTTGCGAATAGACGAACAGGCAGACCACCGTATAACAGAGACCAGCTAACTAATCAAAGAGAGGAACGAAAATAACGTGTGCGGGCCGATCCGGTTTTTTCAAGGGATCCTATCGCCGCTCCAGCGGTCGTGACTTGGCTGCACGCTGCCTCTCTCCTTTTCAACTCCGCCTCGTTCCGTCCTTTCCGTTTGTGTGTGACTCGGTACAATTACAGGATGGCGACAGCCATGTGGAGCTGCACTGGGCCATGTGTCGCGACCGTCGCATCGCCGTGTCGCACGACCTGGGCCTGCTGCGAGCATGCTGCCCCACCACCCTCGCGCCCTTCCCTCCAGGTAACCATCATTTCAGGTAACCATCTTCCTAAGTAACCATTCCCCAAATGACACATCGCTGTGTCGCACTTGATTTGCAGCGAGCATGCTGCCTCACCATTCGCACACCTTCAGAATATTCTCCTCCTTACCTCTCATTCAATCCCCTTCCTCCGTCTCCCTGTTCCCTCAACCTTCCTCATCCCCCCTTTGCCCTTCCCCGCCCTGCCCTGCCCTGCCGCACCACACACCCGCAGGCTGCTTTTTCTCCACGGCTACTGGTCTCGGCAGTTTCGAGGACCCTGGCAGGGAATTCCGTCCCGTGCCGCATGTCGACAGCTCGGGTCGCATCTGCGGCTCTCTCTTCGTGCCTGTGGAGGTTTCGCCCGAGCCTGTTACATGCGGTCGCGCTACGTGCACACTCGGGAATATTGGTAGTGAGCCTGATTTGACAGCTATTTGAGAACTTTTGCCCAGAAGGAACTTTTTTCATTTATTTCATGTTGTAGGATTGTATACTTGTTTATTTTCAACACTCATGCACCTACATAATACAGCACAATTCAATCTGGAAGTAGTATGTTAACGACAACCTCAAAAACCTTGGTGGCACTTAAGATATTAACTCCAGCTGGATTAACAAGGTAAGCTAAACACGCTTTCACCTGATATTTTACCACAAGCTGATGCCAAAATTGTCATTACAACGGTAATTGACAGGTCAGCAACAGCATGTTTGCTGGCCTGACACTGTTGCATGCACTGCATGTGGAACGGGTTAGGGGGGAGGGAAAGAGAGAATGTGAGAAGAGGGACAATGGTGTGTAAGTGAATGGGTGTGTAAGCGAATGGAGTGTCAAGAAAGTGAAAGTGTGAAGGAATGTCAGCAAAGCTATGTTCAGGAGGATCTATTGGATTTAAGAAACTCATTCAGTGCTTAGCACTGTCTCTTGATTCCCTCAAAAGGGCGTCCTCATCATTACACAGCAACTGGGTTACAAGATATTACGTGAGAGAACCCCTCCCATCAGGCCTAGGACGAAGGGAGAAGAGGGGGCGAAAACTGAGGGAATGGTGGGAGACTGGAGATGCGGGGTATAGAGAAAAGCAGGGCGGGCAAGCAAGAAGGGAAAGTCACGCCAGCAGGGGTGTTCAGGAGGATCTATTGGATTTAAGAAACTCATTCAGTGCTTAGCACTGTCTCTTGATTCTCCCAGAGGGTTTCCTCATCATTACACTGCATCCCAGCGTTGACAATCAGTGACCCTCACATCAGTTTACGGCCAGGAGGGAAGTCAAGGGGGGAAAAAGAGACAGCGGATGGAGGGAGACTGGACTTGAGATGGGAGACGTGGAGGATATGGTAAGGCAGGGGGGCAAGAAAGTTGGCAACGGGAAGCCATGGCAACGCGAAGCCATGGCAACGCGAAGCCATGGCAACGCGAAGCCATGCCAGTGGTGGGGTGGGGTGTTCAGGAGGATCTATTGGATTTAAGACACTCATTCAGTGCTTGCTGCACTGTCTCTTGATTTTCCCAGAGGGTTTCCTCATCATTACACTTCTGCCTCTAAGACATAGAAAGAAGCAAGGACAAGCGACAGGAAATCACAGAAGAGAGAAGGTAACAGAGCAAAGGGAGGAAGAGCTGAGGGGGGAAGAAGGGGAGAGATAGTAAAGTGCTGAGAGAGAGAGTAAGGGACAGAAGAGTAAGGGATGGAATAGCAGGGAGAGAGCAACCAAACAGGGAGGCGGCATATTAAGAGGCAAGGGAAAGCGAGTACGAGTGGGAGTGTGTTCAGGAGGATCTATTGGATTTAAGACACTATTCAGTGCTTGCTGCACTCTCTCCAAGCACAGATACAAATGAGGGGTAGCGAGACGACTCTTGAGGCGCCTCAGAAGTCCCTTAACATTCTAAATGATGCTCCAGAGCAAACTCATTCTCTCCAAGCACAGATACAAATGAGGGGCAGCAAGAAAAATGAGGGACGGAAACGGGGGACGAGAGTTATAGGAGAGATAGGAAATACAAATGACAGGGTAATGGCAGAAGGGACGAGCGAGTTCTAAAGGAAAGGGTTGGTCTCAGTTTGGAATGCGAATCAGCAGCGGAAGGAACCCTAGGGTCCACCCAGCTCAGGTAATGTAGGTAAGGAAGTTGATTGGTAGCATCACCGACCAGACGAGACGATAGGTAGCACAACTATCCAGTTTTACACCTGAAATGCAGTCCAGCTGTAATTCAGGTAACATTCAGGTATGCCTTCAGCAGTAGTAGTCCTCATGTGCCACTGCTCGCACTCGGTTGTTTATTTGATGTGCGTAAAACAAGCATCATCAGGCACCCCATGGACTCACAGCAAGGAGAGCTCACAGCAATCAAAGAAGAGAGTGAGTCAATCTCCCAGACAACATGCGACGTCTCAGTTTGTAATGCGGAGACAACATGCGACGTCTCAAAAATCGTCTCAGAAATGGAGACGTCTCAAAAGTCACCTCCTAGACAGCTTGCACCTGGTCTCAGTTTGTAATGCGGATCAGCAGTGGACGGAGCCCGAAGGTCCACCCAGCTCAGGTAATGTAGGTAAGGAAGTTGATTGGTAGCATCACAGACCAGACGAGAACGCACCTTTCCGGCACAATGATTCAGAAACAAGGTGTTGACCAGAGAGGCAAGGGAGGAGGATTGTGTAAAAGGGATTCAGGAAAGGGAGTGAAAGGGAGGTGATCACGTGCTGCAAGTGCTGCCATGCACAGGATTTAGGGTGTGCCTTCAGCAGTGATGATCCTCATGTGCCCAATCGTGGCACTCGGTTGTTTATTTGATGTGCGTAAACAAGCATCATCAGGCACCCCATGGACTCACAGCAGTGGGTGGGGTATTTTAAGAGGATATGCAATCATAAATCGTGTACCTACTGCTTGTTGGGATGGCTCATAGGAACCACACCACAGCGCGGCGTGCATCAGAAGGTGCACAAGGCGTTTATATGAGAGTTATATAAAAAAAAAACAGTACAAAAAGAAGTTTTACAGGGTTTTTGAGGCGGCAGACCAGTAGTCCGGTTGCCTGAGCTGTGATGGTCAGACAGATATACGTGGGCTGTGTGGATTGCGCTGGAAGAAAAGGCCCGAGCTGACTCCAGCGCAATTCAACACGATTCAGCAGGGTTCGGCGTGATTCAGAAACATTCACCCAAGGTCTGATGCTGTGAACGTACCAGACGGATCAGAATCTTCACTTTTCTTCGTTGGTGCGCGCAGCAGACACGCAGCAAACACGTAGCAGACACGCAGCAGTCCCCAAGCAGCCATCGTGACAATGAACGAATTCGTGCCTGCCATCCGTTCATGACAGCTCCTTGTCAGGCAGTGGCTGCCCCCTGCTTGGCTCGCTTTGCCGCCACTCCCATTGCACTGCCAGTTGCTTTCTGTTGCTTCAGCACTTCCACTGAACATTGCTGCTGCGGCTGCTGTGGTTGCTTTGCTTGCTGTGGCTGCTTCATCGTGCCCTTCCCTCCTCTCTTGCCGTTGCCTGCCTTGCTGCCTTGGCTTCCAGCCCCGGCCTTCACAGCCGCACCCCACTGCTGCCAGCACAACACTCTCACCCTCCCCGCCCAATCCCCCATCCCCCACCCTGCCTCCTCCTCTTCCTCCTCCACTGCTCCTCCCTTTCCCCCTGCGCCCTTCCCCGATCCCTCCTTCTCCCCTTCCCCCTCGTCTCTCCCCCGCTTCCGCCTCATCCGCCCCAGCACCATCTCTTTCCGCCACCGCCTAGCAGCAGCACCCGCCGCGCCCGATTTCACGGCCAATGGCGTCGCGACAGCTGGCCGGAAGCACGACTCGGTGACTGCGCTGCTATAGGCAGCATACGCCTGCGATGGGGTTACCACACCCACAGGTACACTGCTTACGCTACTGTTCACGTTACTGTTTTTGGTACTGTCGATGCCACTGTTCACTGTACCAGCCAGCAGCAGCAGATTAGTGGCACCTGAAGAACCACCTGAAGAACCACCTGACGAACCGCCTGCCTCCTGCTGCTGCTGCTTCTGCGGCTGCCCCTTTTGGTACGGATCAGCAACCCCCTTAGCTGGCTTGCCCGGAGCAGCAGCGGCGGAGGGTGACGTGGCAATGGTGCTGACGTGGCGTGCCAGGCTGGCGACGTGCGGATGGTAATGGCGGGCGAGAAGGGAGAGCTCCCAGAGGAACGACGTGAGCGCTGCTGAGAGCTCCGGCTCTGGTGCTGCTGGGTCGTAGCGCTGGGGGATAGAATGGGGGTTAAAATGGGGGAGGGGGAGGGGGGGAGGAGAAAGGGGAGTGCAGGGGAAGGTGGGGAAGGGTGGGCAGGCGAGCAAGGAAAGCTCCCAGAGGAAGGACGTGAGGGCTGCTGAGAGCCCAAGCCCGTCTCCTGAAGAGTGCAGATCGTCATTAGGGTCCTTGTCTAAGAGCACTCTACAGCGGGGATAGAGAAGCGGCACCCAGCCCAAGAGCACAGCACCACACAGCACAGCACAGCACAGAACCGCACAGCACCGCACCCCATAACTCACAGCTAGGCCACCGTAAGGGCCAAGGCCACCCCCTGAAGCGTGCAGATCGTCATCAGGGTCCTTGTCTAGGAGCACTCTACAGCGGGGATAGCGGAGGAGCAGGTGACGCACCACTAGCAGCACTGCCACGTGACACACAAGCAAGGAAACAAGAGGGCGAATAAAAGTGTACTGATAAATTTTCTTTCCGGCAGTTGCCCACTAGCAGCAGTGCAATGCAGCGAGGGAAAACGAGTGTGTGTTCGAAAAAACAACTGGGAGTCACTTTTGAAAATTCTCTATATTTTGACGCACATGAGACGGCGGCAGAAACCTTGAGCCTTCAGCGATTTTCAAAATCATTTGCCATGCATGAATCACGGCACTCAGCTCACGAATTCTCCACATCAGCAGGCATGCAATGGGTGTGCTCGAGGTTCTTAGTGCTAAATATTAGCTCCATTCAGGAAGACTCTCTGAAGATTCTCAGAAGCGGTTCAGCATTGTGATAAACACAGGGAAATGGATACAGCGCAGCAGCAAAGAGCCTTCGATAAACAGCACAGCGAGTCATGTCCGCCTGCCTGTGACCCGACGACACAAACTCCCCACACACACAATCCAATCCCTTGAACACTGAGCCCAGCACCACCAAGCATTTTCACCACTCACCAGCAACAGCGCCAGCAGCAGAGAGATGAAGAGCAGCGGCGGAGAGCCGTTTAATGAACGCAGCGCAGCGAGTCATATCAGCCTGCCTGTGACCCGACGACATGAACACCTCCTGTAACGCGGATACCAGGGCTGCTTCTAACGAGGCTACTGCACTACCCCCTGGCGTGATCACCTCCTCTTCTAACGAATCCTCTTCCTCCGAGGACGCTTTTAACGAGGATGCTTTAACCGGGGGTGATTCTGACGAGAGAGAAGCCACCTGCGCGGGAACTATAGGCGCCTCGAGAATCATCTGATACACGAGCGTCACGAACCCGCGCATGTCCACATTCAGTGAATCTAGATTCGCCTTCATAACCCTCTGCGCCACCACACAGCACGTCAGCCTATCTTCCAACCTAAGCCCTAACCTCCGCCTCCTCCCCCCCTCCCACGTCACCACTTCCCCTCCCCCTGCTTCTCCCCCCTCACCCCCCTCTCCCCATCCTCCTGCCAGGTCATCATCGTCCCCGTCCAGCGGCGTCGCCACGTCAGCAGCCAGCTGGCGCAGCGTTGACAGCAGATCCGGAAGATACTCAACCGAGAGCAGGTGCGAGAAGTGACCAATCAGGAAAAGCGCGGAGGGGAGCAGCGGGCGGGGGGGGAGGGAGAGCGCGCCAGACCCGTCCGTGGGGCGTGGCTGGTGCAGCATTGCCGCGGCTTTAACTACCCTAAACAGCGCTTCAAATACCGCGGCTAGCACGCGCGCCTGCTGCTGCTTCCGCGTGGATTCGTCCCGCACTGCTTCCGCCTCTCTAAAGTCCCCCTCTACCTCCTTCCGCATCCGCGCAGCTTCCTTCCGCTTCTCCAGCTTCCGCTCCTTCTTGGACTTGGGTTTCGCGGGCTGCTGCTCCTCCCCGTCCGCCGCTCCCCCTGCCCCCCCCGCGCCCCCCGCGCCCCAGGTGGCTTTGCGCTTTGCACCTCCGCGGGGTCCCCCTGCTGCGCGGCCCTCCGCGGATTGCAGGAGATCGTCGTCGAATTCGAGCGTTTCGAATACCAGCAGCACCTGTGGCGACGAAGGCGGAACGGGGGAGAAATTGGGGGGGAATGGGGGGAGAAATAGGGGGAGTAGGGGAAAAGGGGGGGATACGGAGGGGGGAAGAGGGGGAGACGGAGGGGGAAATGGGGGAAGATGGAGGGGGAAAGGGGGGGAGGAAAGGGCGAGTGGGAACGAGGGGAAGGAGCGGCATGGGCGGGAAGGCGGAGAAGGGGGGGAAGGAGGGGTAGATGAAATAAATCGATAGTCCATTACGGGGGAGGTGAAAGAAGAACAGAAGCTCTTAGTGCGCGAGATGAAAGGGGACGGCGGGAATGGGGTGAAAACCCAAAGGGGAACTTGCGGGTTTCAGGGTTGCACTCGAGAAAGTGGAAACGAAACGCCGGTAATTTTGAAAGGAATACAGAAATATATGCATGAAGGCACGTGTGAGGGAAGGGGGGAATGGGGTGGGGGGGGCGAGGGGGGAAAGGTGGGGAAGAGAGAACGAGAGAGGAGGGGGAGCAGCACCAGGGGGCGCGTGACGCAGCAGCGCTGGCGAATGAAGTCAGCAACGAGCTCTGCTGCCTCTACAGTCGCCTCCCCATCATGCCGGCCGTCCTCCCGCATCAACTCCGATATGGTGCTGCAGCACAGGGAGCTGGAATGGGTCCGGTGGGGAGCAGGGGAAAGGTGGGGAAAGGGACGAAGGGGGATGATGAAGTCAGCAACGAGCTCTGCCGTTTTAACCGTCGCCTCTCCATTGTGCCGGCCGTCCTCCCGCATCAACTCCGATATGGTGTTGCAGCAGAGCGAGCTGGACATGAGGAGGAGAACAGGGGAAATGTGAGAAGAGGGAGGATGGGGATGAAGTCGGCAAAGAGCTGGTACAGGGAGATCAGGGGATACCGGAGCGAGGGAGTAAAGAAGCAGGGGGGGATTTTTTAGCGGTTGAGCTTCGAGCGGCAATTGAAGCGCGACTCGATCAATGCCCCAAAATCCATTCCCAAAAGGTCATTACTAAAGCTCTGAACCTCCAAAAACCCCCGAAACCTAAAAATCGGAAACCCTTCACCTGAGACCTTGTTATTTCCTACCTGATGCTGTCGTCCGCAAGGTCCAAGCGCGGAATGATGGCGCGGATGAGCTCCCAGCGGCAGTTAAAATGCAGTCCGCTCGCTTCATGTCCCAAACCCTGAACCCGCAAAAGCCAGCGTTAAAATCCAAAATCCCGAACCTCTCACCTGATGCTGTCGGCAGCGAGGTCCATGCGCGGAATGATGGCGCGGATAAGCTCCGAGCGGCCGTCACAAGGGACGCTTCCATTCCATAAATTGCGCCCCCAACCACACAAAACCCCCAGATTTTCAAACCCTTAACCAAGACCTCAATATTCTCACCTGATGCTGTCGTCTGCAAGGTCCATTCGCGGGATGATGGCGCGGATGAGATCCGAGCGGCAGTTGAAGTGCGGGGCGGCGCGCAGCAGTCCGCACATGGCGCGCACCGACACAGCTCGGCGCGCTGCCTGCTTGGCGTGCTTCAGGAGGAGGTTGACAAAGGACTGGAGAGGGGAGAGAGAGAGGGTTGAGCATAGGGGGGCATGGAGGGATGATTATGACAGCGCGCACAAGGCTTGAAGGGCAGCAGTCCGCACATGGCGCGCACCGACATGGCTCGGCGCGCTTCCTGCTTGGCGTGCTTCAGAAGGAGCGTGACAGATGACTGGCGAAGGGAGGGGGAAGGGTTGAGCACGGGCGGCAAGGGGGTTGGTGACGGTTGAGAAATGTCAAAGGGCTCGGTGGCCTGCTTGGTTAATTGCTGCAGAAAGAGCGTGGGAGTGGAGTCGCAACGTGAAATTGAGCGCAGGATGAGCGAGGAAAGCCTACTCGCACAACTTGACAAAGCAACTGCTTGGATAAGAGAGGATGGAAGGAGAGAGCATATAGACTGAAAATGAACTAGGAGAGCGCTCAGGAAATTGTAGTCTATTGGGAGCGTCAACGAGGTGAAGGCCTCTCAGCAATCCATTATCATCACTGCGCTTCCCATTTCCACTCCTAATCCATAGCCCTCCCATTCTCGTCCCTCGTCCACTACCCTTCTCCACTTTCTCCAAAACAGAATCAACTAAACCCTCAAAATTCGTTACCTACTGGCCGGGCGAAATCGAGGAATACTGGGGAGAGTGGGGAGAGACCAGTAAGAGGGCAGGAAAGCGCTCAGATAATTGTAGTCTATTGGGAGCGTCAACGAGGTGAAGGCCTCTCAGCAATCCATTATCATCACCGCGCTTTCCCACTCATCTCCTTTGATTCTCCCCTCACTCGCATGACCTTTTCCTAAAAATTGCTCGTTTCCAAAAAAGGAACACCGAAGGTTGAGGGTCTTTCCATCCAGAATTCCCAAAGCGGCTTAGGCGGCTCATATAAACACAGCTTCATACAGCAACAGACGTACCTGGTAGGATTGCAGAAGACCCTCCTCGAAGAGCCATCGCTTCTTGACCTCCTTGCTCATCACCACCGCGCGCTCCTTCTCCGATCCACGCAAAAAACGGCTTATTTTGAGGCGGTTGGGAGAGAAAAACCCAGTCCTGAATCATATGACAGACCTGGTAGGACTGCAGCAGGCCCTCCTCGAAGAGCCAGCGCTTCTTGACCTCCTTGCTCATCACCATCGCGCGCTCCTTCTCCGTCCTCATGCGCACGCGGTAGCCGGGAATGATGTCCCTGAACACTGCTGTAAGAGAGAGGACTGCAAGGCTGGCCACGAATGAATCCGCGTCCAGACACAGCTTCTGCAATGGGCAAGGAGGGAGAGGGGGGGAGAGTGTGGGAGGAGGGGGGAGGGGCGGGGTTGAACATAGCACGCTCCTTCTCCGAGCGCATGCGCACGCGGTAGCCGGGGATGATGTCCCTGAAAACCGCTGTAAGAGAGAGGACTGCGAGGCTGGCCACAAATGAATCCGCGTCCAGACACGGTTGTGAGCGAGAGGTGTGAGACGACACTCACGTGCAGCTGCGACACAACACTCACATGCAGCGACTTCAACAGGCCGATGTGCGCCTCAGGGTCGGCGAGAATCTGCGTGCTCATCCGCGCTATAGCCTTCTTCACTGCCGCCCTGCGCTCCTCCACCGACATCTCCTCCTGCAGCTCCATCTGCGTTTTTGCACACACAAAAAGAAACAGTTCACTTCCCATCCAGGCATACAGAAAGACTGTAACAGAACATGAACCGGCATAGAGCCGAGCCGAAGATGTAGGACGTACGATTGCCATATGTAAGACTTGGCGTTTCAGGCGGAAGGGAAGGGAGGAAGGGGCGTACCATGGCTTGCTCTTGCAGAGTAAGCTTCGATGCATCCTTGGGTTGCTTCCTCGCCCCTGCTTCCTTCTCCTCGTCCTCCTCCTCTTCCTCCTCCTCCGCCTCCTCTCCTCTCGGACCTCCCTTACCCTCCTCCCCCTTCTTCCCTTTCCTCCCTTTCTTCCCATCCTCTTTCTCCCCGGCCGTATCTCTCCCTTTCTCCCCTGTCTCCCCCTCCGCCCCTTCCGGCACTTCAATCGCGCGGTACATCAGCCGGCCGTCAAGGGTTTTAACCGGCAGAGCGTCAACAGCATCCACCAACACACCCTTGTCCCTCGCCGCTATAAGCCCAAAACCCCGCATTGAACCCTTCTTCTCCCCTTCCGCCCCTGGCGCCCCTTCCACTGCAACCTCTTCCGCGTCTCCTCCCATGCCCGCGGAAGCGGCGGCGGAAGCACCGCGGGGTTTTGGCGCAAACTTTCCCGCCGCCGCCGCTGGCGCAGCCCACCCCGGGCGGCGGGTTCCCCTCTCGTACTCCGCCTCTTCATCCTCCGACTCTTCTTCCCCCTCCCCCTCTCCGCCCTCCTCCTCTTCTTCCCCTTCCGCCCCATCCCTCTTCGCTCCACCCTTCCCCTTGTCCGCTCGGCGCGCATCCCCCGCCTTGCCTTTACTGCCTTTCTGTGGTAGAGAGCCAAGACCAGCTGCTGACGAGTCGGCGAATACCATCACTTCGTCAATATCTTCGTCATCATCGTCATCGTCGTCAAAATCACCCTCTTCCTCCTCTTCCTCGTCGTCCTCCTCATCATCCTCGTCGAACTCGTCATCGGAAATCACTGGCTCAATCTCCTCCTCATCCTCCTCCTCTTCCTCCGCCATTTCCTTTTCCTCTTCTTCCTCCTCATCTTCCTGTCCCGCCATCAGCGTATCCTCTGCAACCCCCTCATCATCCTCTTCCTCTTCGCCCGCTAGCTCCTCATCCTCGTCAGTCACGTCCTCTTCCACGTCATCCTCTTCCACGTCATCCCCATCCTCGTCATCACTCGCATCCGAACCCTCCGGGCCTTTATCATCACCACTAGCCTCCTTTTCTCCTTCATCATCCTCGCTACTGTCAGCATCGCTTCCGTTCTCAGCACGATCTGGTCTAGGCAGTTTCGACTTGGCTCCCTTGGTTTCACTGAGGATAAACGGGGCACATTGGAAGAGAGTAAACATGAATTTATTAACACGCCCAGCAAAAAAAAAAAAAAAAAAAAAAAAAAAACAAACAAACAAACAAACAAACAAAACAAAACAAACAAACAAAACACGCCTATGGGCAGACGAATTCACAGCTCACCTGCCCAGTTGCTGCTCCTCGAGGCCCGAGAGAAAGCGCGCGAAGTTCTGGTGCTGCGCAAAAAACGCCACGTCTTCGTCTGACAACTCAACGTCCTCCTCTTCCCCTGCCGCCGCCGCCGGAGCCGGTGGTTTCGCCGGTTTCGCGGATTTCGCACCGGCCTTGCCTCCTCGTCCTGCTGCTGCCCCCCCACGTCCCCGACCACGGTTGCTGCCGGCTAGCCGGGTAGCAGGCTGTACGGAACCGGCAGTTTTCCGTGACGATGAGCTGTCCTTGGGGTTTGATTTACCGCTGCCCCCGCCACGTGTCTTTCCAGCAGCAGGTTTACCACCCGATCCGCGTTTCGCGAGAGATCCACCCTGGAGAAGTGATGAGGAAAAAGGTAGCGAGAGTAAAAGGAGCAATATGAGAAAGTGGAATGAGAAACAAGACAGATACGATTCGGCTAGAATGAGGAGAGGGTAAAGACTGTATGTGCAAAATGGAATGAGAACGGGCACAGGTGTTATATTGGCAGAGTGAAGAGTGGGTAATGGATGAGAAATCATGCAGATGTAAGCCGGCCAGAATGGCTGCATTGGTCGACGGGACGGAATACGAATGACATGGAAGATTCGAACATTAATAGAGAACCAATAGTCTACTCTATTAATAAAGATTAATTTGGAAAGTCATGCAAGGGGCCGAATCCAAGTGTCTGGAACACGCATATGTTCTACGAGGGCATAATCTCACCTTCGTCCCTCCGCCGCGAGCCATGGCGGTCGTCGCGTGACGGGAATGTCACGGCGCGCTGTGAGAGCGTATCCGCCGCTGCCACATGCGCGGATACCCTTTCAGAACAATGGTCCTGATGCCTGACCTGAGCAATCTGCAGCAAGAACAGCTGTGACAATTTCCTCACTCCTAGGGATCAGCTTCTGTTCGACAATCCCAAGCGGCCCTTTCTGGATAGCCGTTGAAATTTGTACATTCTCGAGGGGAGGTTGTGCTGTGGAGTTTGGTTTACTGTAGAGGTGGTTGCCACCGATTGGGAGAACCAAACGAGGGATGGGTTGCTCTATTGAAGAGGAATATTTAAAAAAAATATACAATTTTGCAGAACTTTGTACATTCATGTCAGGCGTGTAACTCAAATCGAGGCAGCCTAAATTCGAACTGCTTTGGGCTTCTGCCGTGGCCTTGCCCCCTGACAACTTTTGATGAGTGATAACTTTGGTGCATTCTTCTGACACTAGCCTAGCCGCGGGTGACAATGGCGAATGACGAGTTGCCAGCGAAGCGCCATTTCCGCTTGAAGGTGCGCTTGCGGAATGTTGTGATTCGCGCCTTACACCAGTGTCCAAACCCGATGGATGAGACGTGACAGAGAAGTCTAGCGCGCGATGCTCGTTTTCTAGCTCAGCTTGTTCCATGTTAGTCACGTCGAACTGACTTACCTAATTCGCCCCATTCGTATTGACAGGTGGTCAACTGGGAAGATCTCGACACGTCAGCGTCCATGCCTCCTGATGACGTGGCACGCGGAAGCACCGTCAGCGTCAGCGGAGCAGCTTCGCGGCCGCTGTCCGAGCTGGCAGGGCGGCTATGCGGAGTGAACCCTTCGGATTGGGCGGCTATCAGGGACACGTGGCAGCAGGCGGAAGCGGAAGGGTCGGGGGGGAATGTGAACGCGCGGGGAAGGCGCGCTAGGGGGAGAGGCGCAGCCGGGGGAGGGATCATGGGCGGAGGGGCGGTGGGGGGATGGATCCGCAGATTGCTGGGGATGGGGGAGGGTCAAGGGGGGAGGGGCGGGGGAGGAAACGCAGAAGGAAACGAGAGGGAACGGAAGCAGGGAGAGAGGGGAGGAGGAGAACTGGGGGAGAAGGGACAGGTCGAGGGGGAGGAGGGGGGGAAATATGAGCGCGTATACCTTGTGCAGAAAGTAAGGCAGGGATGGGTTGGGGATGGGTTGGGAACGGTGCTGGGGTATGGGGTGGAATATGTGGCTGGGGGACCGTTTGGGGGGGTGAATGTGGATATAGGTAGTCTTGAGGTGAACCTTTGGGGAGTGCGAGGAAAGGCCATGTAGGGAGCAAGGCAATGTGCTGCAATGTGGGGCAATGCGGTGCAATAGCACTTCAAGAACATTGCCTCTCCTCCTGCCCGGCGCTATGTTTGCACCATAATTTGCCGTCTCCTCCCCTTGTTGTGTTCGCATGCCATGTGATACAGGGTGGCAGTGATGGGGTGCTAGCGATGAGTCTGTTTTGGAGTCGACTCAGAAACTGTCAGCGCCATGCTCACACCACAATCTGCCTCCTCCCCTTGTTGTGTTGGCATGCCATGTGACACAGGGTGGCAGTGATGGGGTGCTAGCAATCATGTGAGTTCACAAACGCACATGTGCATGCATGCATGCATGCATACGCGATCACGGACACGGGGCGTGCGCACAAACGCACATACATACATGAAGGCACACATCCAAGGGTGTGCATCGTGTGTTGCATGATGCACGATGTTAATTCATCATCACTCCGCTGTTATCGTTCCCAGAATGTTTTGAGGCGCCCCAAATACCATTCCCAACATCAGCCCAATCAAAAGCAAACCTCTCTCTCCCCCTTCCCAATGCCCATGCCAGCCCCCACCCATGTGTCCCACCAGCCGCCATAGCCCTCTCTGCCGTGCATCGATTCAACATGCACCTCGCCTCCGATGTGAGCTTCTAGAGTGGGTGTAGCAGCAGTGTTTTGCCCATCAGTTTCTCCCCCATCAGTTTCTCTCCTTCAGTTTCCCCCTGTCAGTTTCCCCCCATCAGTTTCCCCCCATCAGTTTCTCTCTCTCAATTTCTCTCTCTCAGTTTCTCTCTCTCAGTTTCTCACTCTCAGTTTCTCTCTCTCAGTTTCCCTCTATCAGTTTCTCTCTCTCAGTTTCCCTCCATCATTTTCTCTCTCTCAGTTTCTCTCTCTCAGTTTCTCTCTCTCAGTTTCTCACTCTCAGTTTCTCTCTCTCAGTTTCCCTCTATCAGTTTCTCTGTATGCTCTGCTGTATGCTCTGCTGTGTGCTGTGCAGATTCATTACGACTTTGACGTCTTTTTCCCGCCCTCAAGATTCGCACTGCATGGTACGTAGACGGGTGTGATAGGCACCTCAAAACACACACCACACCATGTCCCTTTCCTTTTGAGTCGACTCAAAGGCATGGTACATAGAAGGGTTTAATAGGCAACTCAAAAGACACTCCACACTATGTCCCTTTCCCTCTCTCTCACCACGCCATCATCCTTCTGTCCCTCCATTGCAATTCGGGCATGTCATGTACATAGCCGCTCTTTTGTTGGATTCACTCGAGAGGGCTTTCAAAGGTACTTCTCAATTCGGACATGTCACGTACATAGCCGCTCTTTCATTACAATCACAAACCTCTCACTACTCTTAGGAAGTCTCAAAGCTCTATTATTCGCTCCATCATTCCTCATGAAGTCACACACCTCTTTATGGCGTGAGAGATGACTCGCAGCTCCTGTACCCCTCTTTACAATCACACCAGATGGGACTCTGGAGGTTCGGGTTCTACTAGGGGGCGCTGCTGGTATGGAGAAAGGGGCAGGTGAGGGTAATGGGGGAGAGGAGGAGGAGGAGGAGGAGGAGGAGGAGGAGGAGGAGGAGGAGGAGGAAAGGAGGGCACAGAAGGGCGAGTGCATATCTTTAGATGCTATGGATTTATGCAATCAGATTCATCAGTTGTTCCACCAACAAGTGTTCACAGTCTCTCACACGTACGGCTGAGGTGCCTCTGAGAGGCTGTGGGTGTGTGCAAATCGATTGGTTATTTCACCACCAATGGCTCACTGTCAGTTTCTCTCTCGTGTAGAGAGGGTGTTTTTGAGGCGTCCCAAAAACGCCCTTTTTCACACGAGAGTCTGTGGGTGTGTGCAAATCGATTGGTTATTTCACCACCTGTTGCTCACAGACAGTTTCTCTCGCGCACATATGCATCCCTATAGTATTCAGGTGACTTTGGAGTCGACTCAAAAGTCATATGCCTATAATAGTACCTCCAATTCTTTTCATTTGAGGCATCTCTTGGAGAGACTGTCAAGCAGATGGTATTTTCTGTCATCAGTTGTTTAGTTGTCTCATCCCACCCGCACGCTTGCTGCGTGCAAGCTTGTATCTTGCCTCAAATCCGGTCTGATGGCTAAGTGGCCACTGCGTTGCGCCACATGGCGTGCCTCCATAGGGCCACGTGTCTCCATTGCGCCACGTGGCGTGTTTCCATTGGCCCACGTGTCTCCATGCTGCAGGCTGGTGGTGTCTGCTGGAGGGAAGGAGGTGGCAGTGCGAGTGGCAGAAGCAAACAATCTAAGTGAGTCACTCTAGCTGAGTAGCTGCTATCTAAGTGGGGTAAGCGACTGTCACATCATACCACATGCCACCTGCGAGTGCACTTGTTTGCATCTGTGTTTTCTTCTTCTCCTCCTCCTTTTATTTCTAAAGTAGACTTCAACAATCTCGTTCTCCTCGCTCATTGCTGCTGTGTGGCAGGTGAGGAGGATCGAGAGGAGGCAGTGCTATACCCCTGGTAATTGTGAATCAACTATATAATCTCTCTTCCTCATCCTTCTCACTCGTGTGTCTGTGGCAGGTGAGGAGGAGCGAGAGGAGGCAGTCTTATACCACTGTTACAGGGGCATGCTCACAAACAACACCCAAATACACCTTGTACCCGATACCGGTAATACTATCATATGCTCTTCCCGACTTTCCTGCTCCCATCCATCCGTCCTCTCCTTTTCCCCGTCTTTCTGTATTCCCCTCTTCCCTTGCCCTGTCCTGCCACTGCTCTCGTTTTCAAACCTTCTGTTCTCGCTCCTATTGCGCCCTTCCCCTTGCCCCACTCCTATAGGCATACGGCTACTCAACTGGGTCCCTAAGAAGGCTGCCGAGAAGACAGGCCCGAGCAGGGTTGTCAATGTGAGTGATTTCAAGGAATGTGGATGGTCAGGGGGTGGGGGTGGGGTGAGCAGGGTCAAGGGGTGGGGGGAGAGCGTTGAGGGGGATAAGAGATTTTTTGTTTTTGTCTGGGAAGAACTGGGTGGTGCAGAGAGATGGGTGGTGGTGCAGAGGGGTATCAATAATTTTAGAGCTCCCACGGGAGCAATGACCTGATCTTCCTCTGCTGAGTAACTGAGCTTAACCAGCCATGTTGTGCGGGTTGTTTGTTGTAGTCGAATTTCAAATCCTGTCTGCACATTTCTGACACCATTCGTTGGGCGCCTCTAATATTGTTGACTCCCATCCCTCTTTTTTCCCTCTTTGCTCCCCTCCTCTCCACTCCCTTCGTCCGTCCCTCTCGTCTACCCTCCTTTACGCCCTTCCTCCCCACCCCTCAACCACAGCTCCTATCATCAGACGACGAGCTCTTTCCAGTCAAGAAGGCTCTTCTGCGACCATGCCTCGCACTCACCAAGGTAACCTGTTTAGGAACCTCAAATTTTCTTTCAAGGCCCCCCATTCCTCCCTTCCCCATATGCTCTCATCCATTTCACTGCCTTTCCATAACATTTACTGCACATAGCTAGAAACGAAAACAGATTTCGGCATGTTCCTTCTTTGCACTTTTCGCTCGTGCAAAAGTTAGTGGAGTTTTCAGTTCTTCTTACCCATGTTCATCATCCAGGCAGTGCAAAACACCAGACCTGAGCCCCCAACAGTGCGAGTACCCATCGACTGCCTACTGCTGGACCGGGTGCTGCTGTTTCCCCTCCCCTCCCCCCTAGTATGCACCTACCCCTGTACCCCTTTCCACCTGCCTCTTTCATCCCATGCAGTGCAGGACATCATTCCAGGGCCCCCAACAGTCCGAGTGTTGCTGTTCTGTTCCCTCCACTCCACCCACCTGGCTTAGACCCCACCCCTTGACTTCCCTCTCTCACCCCAGGCAGTGCAGGACAGCAGCCGAGAGCCCCCAACAGTGCCAGTACCCAACGACTGCCTGCTGCTGGACCGAGTGCTGCTGTTCCTAGAGGCGGATTTTTAGGGGCGGGGAGGAAAAAGCTCCCAGTTTCACACCTCACCCCCTCATTTCCCTGTGTACTCCCATCCCAGGCAGTGCAGGACACTGGCCTAGAACCTCCAACGGTGCGAGTGAGTGCCCATCGACTGCCTACTGCTGGACCGAGTGCTTCTGTTTCCGCTTCATCCTCTCCCCCCATATACACCCACCTCCCCATCCCAGGCAGTGCAGGACACTGGCCTAGAACCTCCAACGGTGCAAGTGCCCATCGACTGCTTACTGCTGGACCGAGTGCTGCTGTTCCTAGAGGCGGATTTCAAGGGGCAAGGGGAAAGTTTTCAGTTTGACATCAACCTCACTGGGGACCTGAGGGAAGCAGCAAGGGCCCTAGCTCTCAAGAGCCTCCAAGATCTGTGTGACCAGCGGCAAGGGCTGTTTGAATCGCGCATCCGGTGAGACTCTCAGACTGTTTGTTGGGAAAGGCAGACCAGGCACGGGGTTCCAGCTTGATATCAACCTCACTGGGGACTTGATGGAAGCAGCGAGTGCATTGGGCCTCAAGAGTCTTGCAGACCTCTGCGACCCGCCGCAAGGGCTCTTTGAATCGCGCATCCGGTGAGAGAAGGTTCTGGCATAAGTTTGCATGTTCTGGCTTTCGCCCTGCCCTGCCCTGCCTTGCTCTGGCCTGCGTGAATCCTTGACCATGCACTTCCATCCGTCCACCCCCGTCCATCCTCCACCTGCCTGCCATCCCAGTGAGTACACCTTTGCTGAGGTGGCGGAACGCAATGCGGATGGCAACTGTTGGCTGCTTCTGGACGGCATGGTGCTGGATGTAACCAGCTGGTTACCAGAACACCCTGGAGGCGATACAATCATTCCAACTCAGGTGAGACTCACCCTGACATTCTTGTGTCCACTTAAAAGCACGTTCAACTTATTGGTCGGATTCAAGTGTAGAGTACAGTATTGCGACGTTTACAAATCACTTTGTTGCTTTACAGGGGCTTAACCGGGACTGCACTGTGTTCTTTGAGCTGTACCATTCATCACGGGAATCGTTTTTGTACCTCAGGGTGAGTCAGGATTCAGGAAACTCACCATGATATGCTATCAGCAGCTACTTTTGCACTTCCTCTCTCAATTAAAGGGGAGATGTTTGCTCTGTAGTTCATTGGGTTTCGTTTCCCCTATCAATCTTGTGCTTCTTCTGTTGCAATATTGCAGCATTTCTACATGGGTGAGCTGAAAGAGGATGATAAGCTTAAGGTGAGACAATTGGTGTACTTCTTTCAAGTTTTTTGCTTGCATTTATCATTATTCAAATAATTGTGTGGCCTTGGCTCGCAGTTGGTGGAGCAAGAAGACCAACAACCATCCGCAGAATTTATGCAGCAATTGTGGGAGTACACTCACTCGTTTCGCCTTCATGGAACCACAATTAGGAACTTGTAGAAATTCCTACCAATTTATGAGGAGCCACAATATGTCTCAACGAAATTGTTAAGATGTAAATGCACTCCGTGATCATGATCATGGACAGAAGTCATTGCATCGTCGTTTTAGTAACAAATCAGCCAACAGTGCGAACATAGTAGTCAGAGATTCCTAAACACGAAGACAGGAATAGGGTATAGCAGCAGCAGCGAAGCTTAGACACGTAAGCCTGGCTTTTGACTGGAATCTGAAGCCTTGCACGACTTACCAGCCGCTACGATTCGTCTCATCCCCTAACGCGCGGCGTATCGCTCGAATCGCAGTCGGTTGTCTCTGGTGTGGGATCAGCCGCTAAGCGTTCTGCTTAGCTATTGTCCCTCCCACTCTCCCCTTCGCTGCGCTGCTAAGTCTTGCACCGTATCACCTAGTAAGTAACGCTACGTTACAACCCGAGGCTTCAGGGAGATCTAGAAAGAGCGTTCAGGGAAGATACTATCTTTCGCAGCAGGACTGTTATCACGTTCTTATACCGAAGGATCGCAGATCTGGTGCTAATAACGATGGCCGTTACATCCGTCCACCGTATTCTATCGCGCAATCGAGCGACGGGAAGCGCGCTCGGCGCGCTCTTCCGATCCGTCGAATCTGGATCGCAAGCAGGCGCAGCCGCGCCGGCCACGTCACCAAATGGCGCCGCCGCGCTGGCCAGCCGCCACGTCAGCACGTGCGATCTCGCGGGGTTTGCGGGAGGTCGTGACGTGGATGCGGTGCTTAGCGGCGCGGTGTCTCCTTTCAGAAGCTCCGTGACTTGCGCCGCTGCGTCGTCGACGTCGTTTCGCGGCATTGTTCCGTCTGTTCCGGCGGGAGACGCGGCGGCGATCGCGGCGCAGTGCAGGCGTGGATATGCGACCTTCTCCCGATCGTGAGTAGAAGGTTTCCACAAAGCTTCCATGTACCTTTCACGTAGCTTCCACGCAGCTTACGCCATGAGTCGAGATCGCGTGAAACAAACGACGAAGCCAAGTTCCTGTCAAGATCGTGCGACTCTTATCGTTTTTTCCCGCAGAGTATGGCCGTTTTTCGGAGTACCTTTTGAGAACTCTTGCACTTCTGTCTTTGCATCTGCACCTGAATTCCTGAATCATGCGTGTGCGCGTTCTTGCCTGCCCCCCCCTTGTGTGCAGCAAGCCGCATCTGAACATCGGCACCATCGGCCACGTGGATCACGGCAAGACCACCCTCACCGCCGCCATTACCAAGGTACGCGCGTGCTGAGGCACCTCAACTCCAAGGTACACGTTCAAGTCCAAGGTACGCGCGCACGCGCACACACGTGCTACTGCTGTCTATTATACCAAGCCAACGCTCTCGTTTCTCCTCATCCTCTTTTCCTCCCCCTTACTTTCCCTCCCATCTTGCTTCTTTTCGACTTAGAAGTCACCCTGTAACGTAGGCGCTTAAAAGCTCGTACCTCCTTCCCACCCCCCTGCTCCCTTCCCCCTGCTCCCTTCCCCCTCCCCCCTTTCCTCTCTGCTTCCGCAGGTGTTGGCAGACGAGGGCAAGGCGAAGGCAATTGCGTTTGATGAGATTGACAAGGCACCTGAGGAGAAGGCCCGTGGTATCACCATTGCCACTGTAAGTGCATTGCTGTTGCTGCTGTGAGTGCTTAGACGGAGACGTGGATTGGCCCATTTGCCTCTGTTGGGTCACACGTGTTGACTTCTGTTGACTCTTTTTGATTTCCATTGATGCCCATTGGCCTCCGTTGACTTTCGTTGACCCCCCTTCACCCCTCCAGACCCTCCCTCGTTGACCCCCATTGACTCTCGTTTGACTTTCAGGCCCATGTGGAGTACGAGACAGAGAAGCGCCACTACGCACACGTGGAGCTCCTGACTCTCGTTGAATTTCCTTGACCCTTGCTGACTCCCATTGACCCTCTGTCAGGCGCATGTGGAGTACGAGACAGAGAAGCGCCACTACGCACACGTGGACTGCCCAGGCCACGCGGATTACGTGAAGAACATGATCACGGGCGCGGCTCAGATGGACGGAGGCATTCTCGTGGTGTCGGCTCCTGATGGCCCCATGCCCCAGACGCGAGAGCACATCCTGCTCGCCAGACAGGTGAGAAGGGATCTGTCTCTCACGTGCTGTCTCACTGCACAGCAGGAAAACAGCACGTGGACTGCCCCTTGCCCCTCGTCCTCCCCCTCCTCCCCCCCCCCCCCCCCTCCCCGCCATGCGGACTATGTGAGCAACGCGCCTTGCCTTGTTAACCACATGCACCATCTGCACATGCCTGCCTCCCTTTCCCCTCCCTTTGCATATGCCCACCAGGCGGGAGTGTCGTCGCAGGTGTGCTATTTGAACAAGGTGGACTTGGTGGATGATGGGAAGGAGGAGAGCAAGTGTCTTGCTCTGTCCATATGCCTCATGCGCGCATGCCTACCCTGTTGCTCACGGGCGTGCTTACACGCCCTTCTCTCCCCCCATGTCCAGGTGGGAGTGCCGTCGCTGGTGTGCTTCCTGAACAAGGTGGACATGGTGGATGATGAAGAGCTGCTAGAGCTGGTCGAGATGGAACTCAGGGGTGAGTTGACATGACACAAGGGATTGAGCGAGGTATTGAGTGCGGTTGTGAGAGGTTGGCGTGTGTGTGTGGCTGCTCGCAACGGGGTGGGCATGGTGGATGATGAGGAGCTGCTGGAGCGCGTTGAAATGGAGCTCAGGGGTGAGTTGAGAGCGAGGGAGCGAGGGAGTGAGGGAGTGAGGGAGTGAGGGAGCGAGGGAGTGAGGGAGTGAGGGAGTGAGGGAGCGAGGGAGTGAGGGAGTGAGGGAGCAAGGGAGTGAGGGAGCGAGGGAGTGAGGGAGCGAGGGAGTGAGGGAGCAAGGGAGTGAGGGAGCGAGGGAGTGAGGGAGCGAGGGAGTGAGGGAGCAAGGGAGCGAGGGAGTGAGGGAGCGAGGGAGTGAGGGAGCGAGGGAGCAAGGGAGCGAGGGAGTGAGGGAGCGAGGGAGTGAGGGAGCGAGGGAGCAAGGGAGCGAGGGAGCGAGGGAGTGAGGGAGCGAGGGAGTGAGGGAGCGAGGGAGCAAGGGAGCGAGGGAGTGAGGGAGCGAGGGAGTGAGGGAGCGAGGGAGCGAGGGAGCGAGGGAGCGAGGGAGTGAGGGAGCGAGGGAGCAAGGGAGCGAGGGAGCAAGGGAGCGAGGGAGCAAGTGGTTGTGGGAGTGTGAACGAGGGGGTGCGTGTGTGTGTTGCTGTGAACAAGGTGGGCATGGTGGATGATGAGGAGTTGCTGGAGCTCGTCGAGATGGAGTTCTGGGGTGAGTTGAGGAGTGAGGGGATAAGAGGGGCAGAGTGAGCGAGGGGGTGTTACAGAGCAAGGGAGCGAGTGACAGAGCTCAGCCCGGTGAGTTGAGGGAGTAAGTGTGTTACAGAGCTCAGGGGTGAGTTGAGGTGGGGCGAGAGAGGGTGGCAGTGCGTTGGACGATTTTTGAGGCACGTGGTGCCTCAAGAATCACGATCGGAGCTGTGAAGATGGATGGAGCTGGTGGAGATGGAAGGGCTGTAAGCAAGAGGTGGCTGAGACGAGGACTGCAGTGAAACGGGTGCGGCTTGCTGGGACAGAAGGGCGTACGGAGTAGGGACCACTTCACCGCAGTCCTCGTCGTCTCAGCCACCTCTTGCTTATAGCCCTTCCATCTTAAAGAGCTTCTCTGGCAACCACATTCCCGTCATGCACTCACGGGCCAATGTGCTCCAGTGTGGTGGCCTTCCCCTCAACACCCCCCTTCCCCAGCCTTCTGCCGTTTTCCCCTCCACTCCCTCTTCTTCATCCCCAGAGCTGCTCTCCTTCTACAAGTTCCCTCGGGTCAGCCATGTGTTCTAGTGCAACCTCCCTCCTCAACCCCCCTTGCTTGCCCTCTCCTCCTGTCACCCTCCCCCTCCCCTCCCCTCCCCTTGTTCAGAGCTCCTCTCCTTCTACAAGTTCCCAGGGGACGACATCCCAATTGTGCGAGGGTCAGCGCTGGCAGCGTTGCAGGGCACCAACGAGGAGATTGGAAAGAAGGCCATTCTCAAGCTCATGGCAGCTGTGGATGAGTACATTCCTGAGCCGCAGAGGTCGCTCGACAAGCCCTTCTTGATGCCCATTGAAGACGTGTTCTCCATCCAGGTGGGTGGTGGCGGGAGGGATGTGGTGTATGGTAAGTGCAGCACGGCAAGCAGGCGGCGCTCAAGCTCATGGCCGCAGTGGACGAATACATTTCCGAGCCACAACGGCCCCTGGATAAGCCATTCCTCATGCCAATTGAAGACGTGTTTCCCATCCAGGTGGGTGTGTGATGTGATTGGAATGAGTGACTCACGCACCACTAGCTGGCGCCGCTCAAGCTCATGGCAGCTGTGGACTAATACATCCCTCCCTGAGCCAAACGGTCGTTCCATAAGCCCTTTCTCATGCCTGTCGGGAATGTCGTCTCCATTCACGACCCCCTCTTTCCCCCTTTCTCCCCTTCCTCATGCCCCATGCAAGGTCGAGGCACAGTGGTGACGTGGAGCAGGGGATACATTGAGTCGACCCAGAAGGCTCCTTTTCTTTCTCTTCCCCCTTGTCGCTATGTGCCTATCCTTCCTCCCCTTCCCATGCTGCTTACAGGGTCGAGGCACAGTGGTGACAGGGCGTGTGGAGCAGGGGATTATCAAAGTGGGGGATGAAATTGAGATTGTGGGCATGAAGGTGCGCATGGCTAGGGGGGATCATGAGCATGGGGGAATGGGGGAGCGGGAAGGGAGAACGTTTAGAGAGGGAGGGTTGGAAGAGAGGGAATGGCGAATAACGGAAGGGCGAGAGGGAAGTTGTGGGGTGGTTTGGGGAGATGAAGGCGGATGGAGAGAGGTGGAGTGTTGGGTGTGGTTGATTGTCTCTTGCTGCCGGTGGGCCTGTGCCTTATCGATGTGGCCTGTGCCTTATCGATGTGGCCTGTGCCTTATCGATGTGGCCTGTGCCTTATCGATGTGGCCTGTGCCTTATCGATGTGGCCTGTGTGTGGTTTCAGCTTGTGGTCTGTGCTGGTAATTTATTTCCCCATCCATTTTTGTCCGTCTCCTCCCCACCACCTCTCTCCCGTCATCCCTCTTTCCTCATCCCTCTCCCTGCATCCCTCTCCCCTCATCCGTCTTCCCCCCTTCCTTCTCCCACCACCTCACCTCTCACATGCGGGCAACCCCACTAAGACAAACAGTGACAGTATGGAGATGTTAATAAGAACTTCCCCTTTCCCTGCTTCCCATGCCTTTCCCCTCATCCCTCTCCCTCCATCCCTCCCCCCTACCACCGCCTCACCTCTCCCAGGCAGGCAATCCCACTAAGACAACAGTGACGGGTGTGGAGATGTTCAAGAAGATCCTCGACCAGGGGCAGGTGGGTAAAGGGGGGTGGTGAGGGGTGGTGGGGGGTGGTGGGGGTGGTCGAGGGTGAAGTGAGGTGTGTAGGGGAGTGAGAGAGGGTGCAGTGCTGGTGGTATGGAATTACTGTAGGGATCTTTGTGGAGATGTTCAGGAAGATCCTCGACCAGGGGCTGGTGAGTGCTGGGGCAGGTGAGTGGGTGATGGTGGGTGATGGGGCAGGTGAGTGGGTGATGGTGGGTGATGGTGCAGGTGAGTGGGTGATGGTGGGTGATGGTGCAGGTGAGTGGGTGATGGTGGGTGATGGTGCAGGTGAGTGGATGATGGTGGGTGATGGTGCAGGTGAGTGGGTGATGGTGGGTGATGGTGCAGGTGAGTGGGTGATGGTGGGTGATGGTGCAGGTGAGTGGGTGATGGTGGGTGATGGTGCAGGTGAGTGGGTGATGGTGGGTGATGGTGCAGGTGAGTGGGTGATGGTGGGTGATGGTGCAGGTGAGTGGGTGATGGTGGGTGATGGTGCAGGTGAGTGGGTGATGGTGGGTGATGGTGCAGGTGAGTGGGTGATGGTGGGTGATGGTGCAGGTGAGTGGGTGATGGTGGGTGATGGTGCAGGTGAGTGGGTGATGGTGGGTGATGGTGCAGGTGAGTGGGTGATGGTGGGTGATGGTGCAGGTGAGTGGGTGATGGTGGTTGATGGTGCAGGTGAGTGGGTGATGGTGGGTGATGGTGCAGGTGAGTGGGTGATGGTGGGTGATGGTGCAGGTGAGTGGGTGATGGTGGGTGATGGTGCAGGTGAGTGGGTGATGGTGGTTGATGGTGCAGGTGAGTGGGTGATGGTGGGTGATGGGGCAGGTGAGTGGGTGATGGTGGGTGATGATGCAGGTGAGTGGGTGATGGTGGGTGATGGTGCAGGTGAGTGGGTGATGGTGGGTGATGGTGCAGGTGAGTGGGTGATGGTGGGTGATGGTGCAGGTGAGTGGGTGATGGTGGGTGATGGTGCAGGTGAGTGGGTGATGGTGGGTGCTGGGGCAGGTGAGTGGGTGATGGTGGGTGATGGTGCAGGTGAGTGGGTGATGGTGGGTGATGGTGCAGGTGAGTGGGTGATGGTGGGTGATGGTGCAGGTGAGTGGGTGATGGTGGGTGATGGTGCAGGTGAGTGGGTGATGGTGGGTGCTGGGGCAGGTGAGTGGGTGATGGTGGGTGATGGTGCAGGTGAGTGGGTGATGGTGGGTGATGGTGCAGGTGAGTGGGTGATGGTGGGTGATGGTGCAGGTGAGTGGGTGATGGTGGGTGATGGTGCAGGTGAGTGGGTGATGGTGGGTGATGGTGCAGGTGAGTGGGTGATGGTGGGTGATGGTGCAGGTGAGTGGGTGATGGTACACCAATTTACAGTTCCACCCTTCCCATTGCTGCTGCAACGCAGGCAGGACAGAACGTGGGGCTCCTGATGAGAGGTCTCAAGAGAGAGGACGTGCAGCGAGTCAAGTAAAGGCGGAGTAAAGTCGGAGATCTACGTGCTCACCAATAAGGGCAGACAGCACACGGCCTTCTTCTCCAACTTCACCCCATGCACTACCCTTCCGCCCCTCCGTCCTTCCACCCTTTCTCCCTTCCATTTGTCCCTGCTCTTGATGTTATAATGCAGGCGGGAGATAACGTGGGGCTGCTCATGAGAGGATTGAAGCGCGAAGACGTGCAGAGGGGGCAAGTAGCCTGCAAGCCGGGCTCGATCAAGACCTCTCAGAAGTTCCAAGCGGAGATCTACGTGCTGACCAAGGAGGAGGGCGGGCGCCACACGGCCTTCTTCTCCAACTACCGCCCGCAGTGCTACCTGCGCACGGCCGATGTCACGGGCAAGGTGGTGCTGCCGGATGAAGTCAAGATGGTCATGCCGGGTGATAACGTCACGGCAACTTTTGAGCTCCTTTCACCGGTTGCCATCGAAGCAGGTGGGTCTTTCTGTCTCCTTCTGCCTCCTTGCCTCCCTTTCTCTCTGTCTCTCTGTCACTGTCTTGTGGTTCGGAAGGGAGCATCGTTGGTCGATGCCCGCAGTGCTACCTGCGCACGGCCGATGTCACGGGCAAGGTGGTGTTGCCAGATGAGGTCAAGATGGTCATGCCGGGGGATAATGTCACTGCCACCTTTGAGCTGCTCTCTCCTGTGGCTATCGAAGCAGGTAAGATCAGAGACGCTTTTGGTTGGGGTTTGGAGGTCACGGGGGAGGTGGTGCTGCCAGATGAGGTCAAGATGGTCATGCTGGGAGATAATGTGACTGCGACCTTTGAGCTGCTCTCGCCCGTTGCCATCGAGGCGGGTAAGTTGTGAGGTGGTTCGGACCTGGAAAGGGGATTCAGTGGCAAGGTGGTGTTGCCGGATGAAGTCAAGATGGTCATGCCGGGGGACAATGTCACCGCCACCTTTGAGCTGCTCTCTCCGGTTGCCATTGAAGCGGGTAAGTTGTGAGGCGGGTCATGGTGCAAGGTGGTCCAGAATGGGAGTCACGAGCGAGGTGGTGTTGCCAGACGAGGTCAAGATGGTCATGCCGGAAGATAACGTCACTGCCACATTTGAGCTGCTCTCTCCTGTGGCTATTGAAGCAGGTGGGCGTGGCCCCTTCTGTCTCCGTCTCTGTGAGGAGGTGAGGCTATCGGTTTCTTTTATTGGTGCTGCTGCAGGTATGTCTATGTGTTTTCACGTTCTTGTCCCCCACATACACGCATGCGCTCCTCTCCCCCTCCCCCTCTGCCCTCCCCCTCTGCCCTCCCCCTCTGCCCTCCCCCTCTGCCCTCTCCCTCTGCAGGCCAACGCTTTGCGCTACGAGAGGGTGGTCGCACCGTGGGGGCTGGCGTGGTGGCTAAACTGCTGGATTGAGAGCGAAGACGCTGCCTGCCCCTTCGGCAGGAATCCACATGGCTTTAGTCTGCTCTCTTGGTCGTTCCGCGGGGGCTCTTTTGACTGAACATGCACTGCATTGCTGCCAGTTTGTCAGATGGGTCGGACTCAGTGGCCTCAGAGCGGCTTCAATTCGAATCGAACGTAGTACCGTAGTTTTGAGAATTCGTAGGGGGTTGGTCATGCAACGTGGCTGCTGACATATCACTTTTTGAGAGTTCTCAGTAGGGTGCTAGCTGGTGTGCTGACCTAGCTGCTAGACTAGACCGAGACACTCTGTTGTCGATTCGGCAGGCTTGCCTAAGTAAGCAGACAGCCTCGGTACCCAAGCTGCTGCAGAGAGATACCGTACATTGATAGCGGAGCGGATGTGTGAAAGGTAACTAGTGGCATGGAATTGTATCTCCTTTTTTGGTAGCCTATGCAGCTTGCCATGCAGAATTGCCGTTTCTCAAGACTGTAATCCTGATGTGAGTGGCTTTGAAGCCTATTCCTGTTGCGCTCAAAGCTAGATATTTTCACATGCCATAGCACGGTGTTCGTTGTTTCGCGGCGCTGATTCTATGAGCCACGCCCTCATTACGCTACTTGGGTGCCCATGAAAACGGAAAGGGAGGTAGCAACCGCGGGAGAGGCGGGCGAGGGCAGAGCAACAGGGGCTCCCGTAGAGTTCACAGCAGCGCGAGTAGGCCAAGAGCAAACCCAAGCACTAAGCTGCTACTGCATCTAATAGCATCACCTGATGCACCCTTAAGTTTAGTAGCAGCTGCGGTAGAGGCAGGAGGAGGCTGAGCAACAGGCGCACCAGTCACGTTCAGAGCAGTGCCAGTAGGCCAAGAGCAAACCCAAGCACTAAGCTGCTACTGCATCTGATAGCATCACCCGATGCACCCTTGGGTTTAGTAGCAGCCGCGGGAGAGGCGGGCGGGGGCAGAGCAACAGGGGCTCCAGTGGCGTTCACACGGTTACCAAAACCGGTGCCAATGGTGGTGGTGGTGTTGGGAGGAGGGGTGGGAAGCTTCCTGGGAATGCAGGTGTCGCAGAAGGAAGGGCAGGTTTCCAGGCAGAAGGTGTTGTTGCGGAAGGGTCGAGTCTGGCCGCAACCGGTGTTGTCCGGGGGACACGTGTGTTGACTGTCAATCCAACTGGGACAGTGGGGGAAGGAAGAGAATGACAAGGGGGAGAAGGCAAGGAGTAAGAAGGGCAGGTTTCCAGGCAGAAGGTGTTGTTGCGGAAGGGGCAGGTCTGACCACAACCAGTGTTGTCTGGGGGACACGTGTGTTGACTGTCAATCCAACTGGGGGGTGTGGGAGAGAATGACAAGTGGGGGATGACAAGGAATGCAGGTGTCGCAGAAAGAAGGGCAGGTTTTCAGGCAGAATGTGTTGTTGCGGAAGGGACGGGTCAGCCCACAGCCAGTGTTGACTGGGGGACACGTGTGTTGACTGTCAATCCAGCTGGATGGAGGCACGGGAATGTATGGCAAAAGAGAGAATGACAAGGTGGAGAGGAAAGGAAGATGGATGGGTGGTTAGAAGGAAGGGCAGGTTTCCAGGCAGAATGTGTTGTTGCGGAAGGGGCGGGTCTGACCACAACCAGTGTTGTCTAGAGGGAACGTGTGTTGACTGTCAATCCAACTGGGGGAGATGGAATGGGGGGGAAACGATGAGGGGAGGGTTCTAGATCTGCCGACTTCATATGGCATGGGCATGGCATGGCATGGCATGGGATGGCATGGCATGGGATGGCATGGCATGGCATGGCATGGAATGGCATGGCATGGCATGGCATGGCATGGAATGGCATGGCATGGCATGGCATGGCATGGCATGGCATGGCATGGCATGGCATGGCATGGCATGGCATGGCATGGCGTGGCATGGCATGGCATGGTGTGGCACAGCATGGCATGGCATGCCACAGCATGGCAGATCACAGCATAAATGGCGTGGCACGGCACGGCATGGCACGGCACGGCATGGCATGGCATGGCATGGCATGGCATGGCAGCATGACTCACAGGCCGGTGAGGCCGGGAAAGGCAACGAATCCAGCAGGCAGCGGCCCCGAGAGCTGGTTGTTGCCCAGTTGCCTGGAGGGAGGGGGAGAGGAGAGGGTGAGGGGAGGGGGAGGGGGAGGGGGAGGGGGAGGGGGAGGGGGAGGGGGAGGGGGAGGGGGAGGGGGAGGGGGAGGGGGAGGGGAGAGGGTGACGGGGAGGGCGGAAAGGGAGGAGAGACGAAGAGCAACTTTGGTGCATGGCCCTCTTACACTCACCGCCCTTGGCTCTTATATCTGCCCTCACAGCCACTCCACTCACAGCCACTCCACTCACAGCCACTCCACTCACAGCCACTCCACTCACAGCCACTCCACTCACAGCCACTCCACTCACAGCCACTCCACTCACAGCCACTGCACTCACAGCCACTGCAGCTGGTCGAGTTGGGAGAAAGTAGCTGGGATGGACCCTGTAAGATAGTTGTCGTTCAACTGCCTGTGGTGGGATGGGGTCGAGAGGAGAATCAAGGAAGGTGGGACACGCAGGGAGAATGAAGCTTTGTGTTCACTTCAAAGCGAGGGGCACACAAAGGAGCTGGGAGAAAGAAGCTGGGATGGACCCTGTAGGATGATTGTCGTTCAACTGCCTGATGGTGATGGCATGGGTGATGGTGTGAATAATAATATGGTTGAGAAGTTTGAATGTAATCAGGGTAAGAGCCTATGCAAGAGGAAACTTGCTTAGGACTAAGACTCGGTTAAAAAGGAGAGATTGGAAGGTGGAATTTATGCGTGGTGGAGAGGGGCTGAGAGAGCGGTGTGCATTGTGTTACAGGTTCTGTGCAGGTTAACAAGTTGAGTGGAGTGGAGAGCGGTGGAAAATGGGATGGTGCGGTGTATTACAGGTACTGCAGGTTGACGAGGTTTCCCAGTTCAGCAGGTATGGACCCGGTCAAATGATTGGCTGCCAGGTCGCTGGAGCATGGAAGACATGGGATGGACAGGGTTGAAAGTCAAGGGAAGAACGAATGATGTGGATGGGAAGAGAGGGAACAGGAAGGAAAGGAAGTGAGCGAGCAGCAGGCGATCAATCGATCAGGGAATTTGAACCATGCTGCAACTGCACTGATTAAATCAATCCTCAAATCCTGATGTTCTAATTGTGAGGCGCCTCAAAAATAGAACTTGCACCATGCAGCAACTGCACTGACTGAAATTTGCGAAATTGCCTCAGAATCGGTCTCAATCAATTCCATGCCTAGTTTCCTTGTGATTCGAACCACCTAGGGTTCCACTCACAGGGAGGTGAGATTTGTGAGGCTGCCCAGAGCTAAGGGCAGGTTGCCCTCAAACGAGTTTCTGTCCAGCTGCCTGCCACGGGGTGGGGTCGTGGGGGGACACATTGGGGGAATAGAATGCGATGAGGACGAGGGGGAATGGGGGAAAACAGGATGGACACGAGGGTGGCCGCTCAGAGTAACCGCGAGGTTGCCCTCAAACGCGTTCCTGTCCAGCTGCCTGTCAGGGGGCATGTGGGGGGACACATTGGGGGAACAGAATGCGATGAGGACGAGGGGGAATGGGGGGAAACCAGGGTGGAAACTAGAGGTGTTTCTTAGCGACACAGCGAGGTTGCCCTCAAACGCGTTCCTGTCCAGATACCTGCCAAAGGGTAAGGTCATGAGCCCACAAGGTGTGGGAGATGCGAGAGATGCAGGAGATGCAATAATATGGGGGGGAAAGCAGGCTGAGGAGGATTAGGTCTACAGATGTGCTGACAAGTGTTAGCCAACCGGTATCATTCCGTTAAACCTGGAGCGAACCTGTAGCCAAAGGATCCCTCACATCCGTTAGCAACTTAAAAGTGTTCCTACAGTACAGCTTTTGGGTCGACTCAAAAGCACATCCGTTAGCAACTAAAAAGTTAAGGAAGTGTTCCTACAGTACAGTGGAGAAGCAAAACGAACCAGCGTATAGAAAAAAGGACCACTCACATCCGTTTTAGCTTAGCGAGTGCGCCTATAGTGGAGGGGATCGGACCTGTCAGCCCGTTGGCGCTCAGATCACTGATCCGTCCACAATAACACGGGGGGAACGGGGTGGTGGGAAAGAAAAAAGGATGATAGGGTAAGGGGGGGAAGGGAGACGATTAACTGGTTCAAGGTATGGAGTCTGATTGTCCCCCTTCCCCCCCTTACTGATCGAACAGGGTGACAGGGTAAGGGGGGGGGGTACGGGGGGGAAGGAGGGGAAGAGGGGACGATCAATTGGCTCAGGGTATGGGTTCTGATCGAACCAGGAGTGAAGAGGCGCGACGCAAACTGCGAAGCAAAGGCAGAGAGGCGAGAAGCCGAGTGGGGAATTGCTCACTTTGCGTTTCACAATGGTTCAATGGTGCACTCACATGCTGGTGAGATTCACTAGTCCGCTGATGGATTTAGCACAGAACCGAGAAGGTGACCTTGTATGGATCCGAAATCAGACTCACTGATATATTCACGTTGAGAATAATCACAGTCGTAGAAATCACAACCGCATAATCAAATCGGTACACTCACATGCTGGTGAGGTTTACTAGTCCGCTTATGGATTCAGGCAGAGAGCCGAGAAGGTCGCTCGATCCCAGATTGCTGCGAGAGTTGGAAGATTGAGACAAAATGGATGCGAAGAAACTGGAACATGGACACCAAAAAATTGGGATTATATGCGTCATATAAGGCGTCTTGAAAGTCGACCGCTTGGATGGGGTGAGAGGAGGAAACGAGATTGATAAAGCGGACGCAAAGCATTTTCTTCAGACGACTCGGCTTGTCGTTGTCGCCGCGCTCCTCCCGTAATACGTCGGCGTGGTTCGACTCAGCCGACTTGAGATCCCTCGTTACAAGCAGACTCACATTTCTGTTATCATTCCGTCGCTGTCGCATCGCAGAAAGCTCGCCTTGTAGCAATCCCCGCCCTCTCCCCACGAGGAATAATTGAGACCAAACGACGCCTGCAGGTCCGCTAACGCGGGCACTGGCGGAAGAAGCGGAGAAGTAGGGCGCAGAAATTGCGGAAAGAGTTGTAACTATTGAGTCGACTCAAAAGCTATGGGTGCAGGGAGCGCTTGAAATGTGGCACGGGGTGAACGGGCCGACAGCGAGGTGGCCCTGAAGTGAGGCCACGGGTCGATACGGCAGGATAAGACTATTATAGCTACCTTGACCGTCATGTTACGACTGAGACGTGGCATTCGAATTTTGCCTCTTAAACAGCAACAACAAGAAAAACTCAATCTCATTCTCTGATGCCTGTCCGTACGTTGTGAAGAGTCGATCGTTTGCCCAGCTGCACACGTGGCGGCTATGGCTATGCTCAGCACAGCGAGCAGTCTGGCGACACGTGGCGTCATGTTTACTCGCCAACCTGGACGAAACAAAATGCGAATGGAGGTACGGCCTTAAAGCCGTGGCCCAACTTTCAACTTCAACTTCAAGGTATTATAGCTTGGAAGAGGTTGACCCAGGCAGTTCAGAGCCGAGAAGTTTGTCCTCTTCTGGTTTTCGACCAATAGAATTCAAGTTATACACATGCCACTTTTGTCCGCCTACTGTTCCTAAGAAGTTGCACTCCGCCTTTAAAGGCAGTGACTACTTCAGCTGGCGTGACCCCCGGAATCTATCGATAATGAATCGCAGAAGATAGTAGAACACTGTGATAGGATTGAGGGATGGAAAGTGCTGTGGTTGTGTGACTATCTCATTGAAACTCAACAAGCGCTGGGTCTGGGCTGTGGAGGATAGAGTCGAACAGAAACGCTGGGTTGGGTGGGAAAGAGGTGGAGGGAGTTGGGGCGGGGAATTGGGAAAATGGTTCGGAGAGGGAGGGGAGAGCAAAGGGCGGTGGGCTGGTTGGGGCTGACGAGAAGCGAGCAAATGATGCAGAGGAACGACGCGAAGCGGGCATGTCACACGCAGAACCGAAGCGCTCGGAACAGCGGGCATTACTAAGGCGCGTTCAAGAAGAAACGCTTCAGACGTTTCGCAGCTTGCATTGCACATCGCCCTTCGGCAAGGAAAGTGCACACCCTGCCCTGCTTTTTAGGTGTTTCGATTTGTCCGAGTGTGAGTTATTGGGGGAGTTCGTCAGCACCCGCACTTAGCACGGCACGGAACAGCACTGTAGTCAGCAGAACAGAAAATCTCAGCGGAAACGGGTCGTCAAGCCTGACGACCCTCTGACGACTTGACGACATGCTGCCCCGGGCAGAAAAAAACTAAAACCCCATCGGATGGCATGCCATCCGAGGGAGCCTCAACCCTAAACACCATGCCTCCCCGCGTTTAGGGTTGAGGCTCCCTGACCGGATGCATGCCCGTCTGGGGTTTATTTTTTTTGCCCGCGGGCAGCGAGCTCCCCTGGGCGGGCTCGCTTGTCCGCTGAGATATATTCGGCGGACTTCACCAACGCTGCCACACAGACCACGTTCGATCGCAACCAGCGCGAGTTTCGGCTGAAGTCGGTCAGCAATATACTCGATAAAAGCGTGGACTTAGATATCCATAGAATGCTGACGCACAGGTACCACAAGAGTATGGTTAACAAGAACGTTCAGGTGAAGTAGGTTCGTATGGGTAAGCGCGTGACCTTGTATCAAGAATATCACAAAGCAGCTTGCGCATCCCTTGACCTCTCCAAGCCAATTGCAGCACACTACCGTCAGCTGACAACATCCTGCGCTTGCGCTTTGCGATATGGAGGAGAAGCGGGGGCGGAGGCGGAGGAGGGGGAAGCGTGCACTGTTTCCAACCCAATTGACAAGAGGAACCGCATGTCCAGTCAATAGCTGTACGGGCAGCTGTACTGTGCAGTGCATCTTCTGAATGGCGAAGGTGACAGGCCAGGCAGGAGGGCAAGGCGAAGGTGTGTGCCTGAGAGCCAGCTCCAAACGAACGAACAAGTCGTCGAACGACTTCAACGGCTGCGATTCGATGATGCGCTTGCAATTGCAACCCAATGCATTGCCACACCATCACACATTCAGGTCCCGAACTTGACGAGGGTGGTTGTGAAGAAATTCAGAAAACGCCAAACCCTTCTTGTAATATGAGAGTTGTGACGTACTGTAAGTCGATCCGATATCTCGATTGACGATACTGAACCCTAAGTGGTTCTGTACGGTTGTCATTAGTTTTAGTTCGTTTGGTATCGGCGAATACCCAAACAAACCATACCATCACTCCACCTCAGGGCAGGGTTCGTAAGCTGTTCATCCATAAAAATGCTCAGGTGAGTTTCAGAGTGGCTAAGAAGCGATAAAAACCACTTCGGATTGTGCATTATCGTACTCAACCGTTCGAATTAAACAAGAAGTGCCTGGTAGAAATCAACCACTCCTCCCTCTTTCCCTTCCAACTCCGCTCTGCTTTCGATTTCTTCCGCTTTCTCGTCTCGCCTTTCTCTCGGCTCGCACTTCCCAATCTCCCATTGCTGACTCAGCACCCGTCACCGTCCCTAAGCTTTAGTAGGGAGGCTGTGTAGGGGTACCACGCGTGTCGCTCAGTGGCGTGAGAAACCATGGATGACATAGAACTCTTAGCGCGCTCCTCCCCACCTCCGCAACAATCCTCCCTCGCGAGGTCAAATTCTCTCAACAACCTGTCAGGCAACCTAAGAAGTGAAGAGACTACCCACGAATCGCAGCCATTTCCCGGGACGCTGGTACAAGCCGAAGCCACGTCATCCCTGGACCAAGCCACGTCGTCCTCTCTTAACGTATCCCCGCGCTGCCTACCCGAGGTTGAAATCAGGCGGGTTCGCACGCAGCCACGAATTTCCACCCATGTCGTCGAAGCTTCGTCCGGGTCCCTGTCAAAGGCTTTAATCTCTCCTAATAAACGACCGCTCACCCAACCACCTACTTATTCTCCTACCCGAGTCGCCACTAGCTTGTCTGCCGGCGCCGCAACCGGTCTCAGAAGCACAGGAACCCCCCCTAGTGTTTCTGGAAGCGGCGGTTTCAGCGCTGCGAAACGGGCGAGTTCGGGTTACCAGTCCGCGGCGGATTCGTTCCAGCAATGGGCGAAAGGGCGACTGGGCAAGCGCGTGGCGGAGTTCATCCCCAATTTCGCCATCGCGCTCACCATCTACCTCACCGTGCATGCCTTCGTGGTGCCGTCGACACTCCCAAGGTATCGTAATAGTCCCTCTAGTCGCTCAGACCAACCATGTCGCCATCATCCCCAATTTCGCCATCGCGCTCACCATCTACCTCACCGTGCACGCCTTCGTGGTGTCGTCGACACTCCCAAGGTATTTATTCATCCTAAGCATGTAATTCTCCTGGGTGTTTATTTCCCTAAGCATTTATTTCTCCTACGTATCTATTTCCCTAGGGTTTGTCGCGTCAGGCGTGTCGTTTTCTGCCATCCCCAGTCCATGCATCTATCATTCTCCCCGTGCTCAGGTGTATCATAAGTCGACTCAAAATACACCTCATCGCTCGTGGTGTAACCGCGCTCTCTCTCAACGCTCATCTTTAACAACCCCGATCCTCATTATCCACCCTTCATTCAATCATCCCGCCCCTGGCTTCTCCCTCCCCTTCCACAGGCATAACCGATCCCTCCGCGGGACCGACTCCTCCGCCGCACGATCCGGCGGGGGTCACGGCGACGGCGCATCGTCGGGGGAAGCCTTCCCCGGAATGGACGACTGGCCGGACGCGCCGAGCCTGCCACGTCGGCGCATCCTCCGCGCCGCGTCATCCGACGACCTTGTCGACGTGGACGATCTCGACATGGTCCACAACCAGAACATGCCGCTTCCTGATTGGGCGAGAGATATCCCTTCCATGACCATCTTCTGCGCTCCGAAGCCGTACTTAAACACCCCGGAGGACCCGCAGCGCCGCGCGCTGCTCTCCTGGCTGCGCCTCCGCCCGCAACCGAAAGTCGTGCTGCTGGGATCCGATCCCAGCTTCGATCTCCTCGCGCAGGAATTCCCGGGGTCCGTGTTCGTCGACTCGACGATAGACACTAATTTCTACGGCGTGCCGCTTTTCCACGCGATGGTCGCGCGCGCGCAGGCGGCGGACACGCCGCTGTCGATGCTGATCAACGGAGATATTATCCTCCTCTCAGACATCGTCCCTGCGATCGGGCGCGTGCAGGCGTTCTTCAGCGAGTGGATCCTAACCGCGTCGCGCTGGGACGTCGCGGTGGATTTTCCGTACTCGTTTGAGAAAGACGCGTGGCGGCGGAAACCCGGCCCCGTCGGAATGATGGCGGAGGCGCAGCGGGAAGCGGAGATCCGCCGGTTCGTGCGCCGCGAGGGGAGCTTGCACACGTACGGCGGGGTGGACCTATGGGTGTGGAACAACGTCCCTAACGTTCCGCTTTTCTCGGCGCACATGCCGCCGTTTTCATTCGGGCGCGGGAAATACGACAACTGGTTCGTTCACGAGGCCGTCGCGAGCGGGCTGCGACAGGTGGTCGACGCGAGCGACGCGATCACGAGCATCCACGTGGCGCACACGTACTCGCACGTGCGCGTGGAGGAGAGCAAGGCTGGCGGGCATTTTTGGAGCACGCGGAAGAAGAGCAGCTGGGAACTGTTTGCGAATATTCACCTCGCGGAGACACACGGCACGTACACCAATCAGAAGGGAACGGCGCTGCACACGCCGTGGCGGCTCTCCTCCTGCTATGAACCCGATTGTGAGTCACTCGCTGTCGTGTACTGTCATTTTTTTAGAATTCGCGGAAGAAGAGCAGCTGGGAGCTGTTTGCGAATATTCACTTGGCCGAGACGCACGGCACATATACCAACCAGAAGGGCACAGCGCTGCACACGCCGTGGCGGCTCTCGTCCTGCTACGAACCCGATTGTGAGTCACTCGCAAATGCTGTTATAGGAACGCCTCCCACTCTTCCCTTCCCTCATCCCCTTCCCCATCCCCCTCCCCCTTTGGCCCCCTCTCTCTATTCCCGTCGCGTCCACCTCTCCCTCTCCCTCCCCTCTCCTCTTCTCCTCCTCCCCCGCTTCCTTCCTAGTGCTTGTGCATGCTACCGTGCAAGTACACCCCCCCCTTCCGAACATGTGCATGATTTTGAATTTGACTCTCATTCCATCTCTCCCATTCCCCCTCTCCATCGCCCTCTCTCCCCCAGCGCTGGAACCTCTGCATGCTGAAGTGTTCCCTCATTCCCCCGTTCCCCTCCTGCCCCATTCTCCTCTTACTCACTCCTTCCCAACCCCCACCCCCTCCCCCTCTCTCTCCTTCCAGCGCTCAATATATGCATGCTGAAGCGCGAGCGGCCAGCCAATTGCTCATGCGAATACTCCGCCTACGAGTACAAGACCCAGTCCGACCCGCGCAAGCACCACTCAGGAGACTTCTGGATCTGCGGTGTCGTCTCCATCGATCGCCGCGCCGATTTCGCAATCAACGCCGTCGCCCGCACCAACTCCACTGTCGGTCTCCCACACACCATGGAGCAGCTGTTACCGCAGCTTGCCAGGGTTGTCCCGGACGTCCCCTTACCAGGCTCGGCCGGGGCTGGGAAGCCCAAGGAGCTGAAGGTGGTAACGCTGGTTGCGGTTACGTTCGGTTACGCCGAGATGCTGATGAATTTTGTGTGTAATTTACGCAAGCTGGGGCTCGGGAATAACCTTATTGTGGCCGCTTTGGACGAGGATTTGTACCGGTTTGCGTTCACGCAAGGCCTGGCGGTGTTTTACGAACGCGCGAGTACGACTATGAGGGGGATAGACCAGGGCCAGTGCCAGTTCGGCACCAAGTGCTTCCGGCAATTCACCAAGCTCAAGTCTCGTGCCGTGCTGAGGGTTCTTAAGGCTGGATACTCAGTCCTCTGGTCTGATGTGGACATTGTGTGGTTCTCCGATCCTCTCCCGCACCTGCTTTCGTACGGGCCTGGCACGTTCCCGATCCAGAGCAACGAGCCGAACGCGACGCTGTCAGGCACGGGGATCCGACGGATCAACTCGGGGTTTTACTTCGCGAGAGCGGATCCCATGACTGTAAAGGGATTCGAGGCGATTGTCGCGCATGCAGCCAAGACTCAACTGTCTGAACAGCCGAGTTTTTACGATGTTCTCTGCGGGGAGAAAGGGGAGCTGCTGCTTCCGGAAAGCGTGGTGGATGCTGACGGGAGGAAGGTTCACCGGGAGGAGTGTCAGTGGAGCAACGGCCTGCGGACGATTTTTCTGCCGAGGGATATGTATCCGAATGGGGCTGTGCATGACTTCTGGAATCAGCCGAATGTGGCGAATGCGTGCAGCGGGTGTACGATTCTGCATAATAATTGGATTTCGGGGAAGGAGGCGAAGAAGGATCGGTTGGTGAAGAATCGGTTCTGGTTTTATGACTCGTCGCGGAGGATGTGTATCCATGACTGGCATGCGATGCTGAGGGAGAGGTTTGGGGATGAGATGGGTGTGGGGAAGAGCACTGATGCGGCTTCTGGCGTTGGTTCGAAGAGCTGAGGGTGTAATTCAGTGAGGATGTTAGCAGTAAGTGCAGGGCTTTTGCACAAAAAATGCTGTCGTCCAAGTCCGTGCTCTTTTATTTCTGTGCGCGCCATTTATCCTATACCTCATGTTCATATCCTATTTATCTAGCCTGTGAAACCTACTATGTATTTCTTTTATCCTGATCAGGTACCACTTACTGTTCCCTGGGCGAGGATATTTCTTAGCGGGTGATCCCAATCCCCCTGCCACCAGACTCGTCAACACCGACCAAGCGATGGCGGTTTCTATCGAAAGTTACCACCCTAGCAGGGAATCTGGAACACACAGCGTTGAGGCTCGATACGGCGAACAACTGCCATCGAGAGAATGACTCCAGTGCCAATAAGGTGATTCGCCATCCCTCGCGTGGCCACGAATGACTCGAGTGGCCACCAAATTTGGTGATAATGACTCGAGTGGCCACGCCAGGGGATTCTTGCTGGCTTTTTTTTCTTCGGCGCATTACCCTACGGGGGTTTGTAGCCCCGAATATTTGTCCTGGTTATTGCACGATCATTTATATACGAATTTTATGTTCGTGACCCTATATGACCGCGCCTGACCGGACGCGCATATAATGGACCAATCATGCGCGGCTTTTTATTCTCGCGAGCATCATATACTGTAATGCCCGATCATGTGTATATTTCCGCGATCATAAACTGCAATGCCCGGGCGATTTAATGACCGCTAATGGAATATATATTGCACTGCCTGCGTCAGCAGGCAGTGGAATGGGTCAGCGCGGGCAAGAAAAAAAATAAACCCCATATAGAAGGCATGCCATTAGGGAGCCTCAACCCTAAAATTTTTTGGGTTGAGGCTCCCGAGTGGCATGCCGTAAGCCATGAGTTTTATTTGTTTTGCCCGAACATACAGTAATGGTCGCGGGCATCATATATTAATGCTCGGTCATATATTTCCGCGATCATAAACTGCAATGCCCGGGCGTTATTGCGCGGGATTTAATGGCCGCAAATGATTGGTCGATTATATGCGCAGTGCCTTTTCTGGCAATGCGAATCCAATCAGGCGTGGTCATATAATGTCAAGAACATAAATTTCGGATAATGAAAATCGCGCAATAATCCGTACAGAAGTTTCGGGGATACAAACCCTTGTAGGGTAATGTGCTGGGTAAAAACAAACCGGAAGGAATCCCCTGGCGTGGCCACTCGAGTCATTATCACCAAATTTGGTGGCCACTCGAGTCATTCGTGGCCACGCGAGGGATGGTGAATCATCTTTTTGGCCACTAGAGTCATTCTCTCACTGCCATCTCTTTCGCAAAATGCGTCGACAAAGTTGCCGATCTCTTGGGCAGGAAACCTCCGGCACGTGCTTTTCGGGCTGATATCCAATCAAAATGACCGCTCTCGCACGCGTGGCTCGTGTCTCGGTTGCGCCTGCCCTGAAGCGCCGAGGGCCGCGGCTGACGACGACACAAATCCTGCACGCATTTTCGGTGACGTGGCAACTTTTCCAGCGTGGAGCCTTAGCTGGAGCCGCAATCACCTAACTTGGACTCGGATCGCATAGCGACGCCACCTTCGCAAATTCCGATTTTGTCTAGTCGCGAGCTTCACACCTGCCTGCGGCGAATTCCAAGCTCACATCGTCAGTGTGTCGTCCAGCCATCTCGCCACTATGGATTGCGACGTCGCACATTGTTATTTCAAAGCCTAGTAGTTTGTATGCTCCACCGCGTCTCCCCCCCATCATACTGAGCCCACCTGACAAGCCCTTGATGCTTTTTTAGTAGCTTCATTATTCACCAAGAATCTCATTTTCTCTCAGAGAATCCAAGGTTTCCGTGTGAAGCACACTAGTTCCTGTTTTTTTTTACGCTTCGAACCACCGCTGGATAGGTTCTTTACTCCTGTTACTAGACACTGCGACATCATGGCTTCCGCTACTGCTAGCTTGTGTCCGACTCGCTCGCTTGTCGGCACTGGCCTATCCGACGCTTTCGCGCGCTACGAAACTACTTCGACAGGTTTAAAATGCCCTTTCATTGCAAAAAGTCTTCCTCCTCACTGCCACGTGGCATCACGACGGCCAACCATAACTTGCCAGCTCCTCAAAAGCGGCAATGGTGGGTCGCGTCAGCGCCTTAATCTCCTCGGCATCGGTGTCTTCCCTCCTACCGCAATTAGCGGCGGGTCTTCTGCCGCCGTGGTCGCAGAGAGTTTCGAGAAATTTCCGGCCGAGGCGTCGACTGCGCCGGCAAACGCGGAGGAAGAAGCGTCTGTCGACGTCGAGAAGGTTCGCGAGCAGCTTCTTCGCGAGGGTTTCGTCATTCTCAAAGACGCGCTTCCGCGATCAACGGAATGGTCCGAGCCGCCTAAGCTTCCCGCTCAGCTCTTCCCAACGACAGCGTCCGAATCCGAATCCGAGTCGGACGCTGAGTTAATCTCCACCCCCGCGTCGCTAGTAGCGAAGGCTCTCTTGCCGTCCTTGCCGGCCTCCGCGCTTCGGGTGGTGGAGGACGTCACGGGGACCAACGTGGATCAGGGCCCGGCCACGTGGCACACTGTGATTCGGCAATGGTCTGCTGGCCTGGGCTGTTTGGACTGCAAGACGTGCGAGGACCCGAGTTTCGTCAGCGACAGTTGGCAGGTCGCCTGCACTCCGCCTGCTGACGTGGAGCTGAGTAGGCAGCGCCTGGATGATGCGATCCTGACTGTTGTGGTTGCCACCCAAAACGCCAGCGGTGAGTGCTGCCAGAACACCTCGTGGATTAATATGGTGAGGTCCTAAGAGGTGAGATCATTACAGGGTAAATACGTGGAAAATAATTTTCTCTTCAATTTGATCATAACCTCTTGTTCCTTCTTCTCATGTGTGTCTGACGACTGTTTCAACCTCTACCTTTTTCTCAACATGAATTTCTCGTGCTTATTATCGTGTGTTCCACCTCGTCACATTTTTCAGACACGTCAGCGCCTTCCCAGCTGGCGATCTTCCCGCACAGCCATTGGCTCGTGGCCGACTGGCTGGATGCTGCTGACAAGGAACCTTCCCTGAACCTTTTCCCCCGGCCAAACCAACTGCCTCTCCCAGCACCCATCAAGGTACGCTCAGAGCTAGTAATTCCCAAAGACTCTTCAGAAGTCCAGTCTTTTTAAGAGGGATTACAATCAGTTTTATACACTGCTCAGAGTTGAGACAACGTAAGCTTTGTACTGAATCCGACTTGCTAATTCGGTTTGTTGCTTTACTCCCCTCCTACTTCCTCACATCTCTACTTTGTCATACCTTACAGGTCTCCCTTTCTTCCTCGGATCTCCTCCTCCTGCACCCCTGAGCTGTCTTCTCCCTCCTCCCCAATTTGGCTTGTTGCTTTATTCCCCTTCCCCTTCTCCGCGTCTCTACTTCCCCACACCATGGCAGGTCTCCCTTTCTTCCTCGGATCTCCTCCTTCTGCATCCCTGGGCTGTCTTCTCCCTCCTCCCCAACCCCTCCTCCTCCTCCGCCTCTCTCTGCTTCGACTCCCTCCTCCTCCCCTCCCCACCCGAACCCCTCACTCCTCCCCCCTCCCCTTCCTCCTCTTCCACCGTCCAATCATCACCAACATCAGCCGCAGTAGCCGCAGCGCCATATCGCATGTGGGCCAGCGCACCAACCCCTACCAATCAGGAGGCAGGCGCTGACGTGGCACCACGAACCTTCTCCCTGCCACCAGAACTCAGCGAGCAGGAGCTGGAAGCGCTGGAGGAGGAAGAGGAAAAGGCAAACCTCGGGAATTGGGCAGTAGCCATGGTCGGCCGCTCCTCCCCATCTGCAGAAGCAGCAGCGGCAGTGTCATTCCCCCATGCAGACGCGCGCAGCCTCATGCTCTGGCGCCTCACCTCCCAAGCCCGCCACCTCCTTGCATCCCAACGCTTTGAGGAGGCGCTACCGCTTCTCAGGAGGGCGGTGGGGCTGCGACCGCAGGATGCGTGGCTGTGGTACCAGGCTGGCAGGAGCGGCGAGCAGGCCGCTCCCAAGGGGCAGCTGGCTGGCCGGGCGGGGAGGAAATGCATGCTGGAAGATTCTGAGCGGTTTCTGCTCCGTGCCATTGAGGTGCGACTTATTGGAATCTCAACCAGCACCACCCGCCCCTAGTCCCAGCATCAATGTAGACATGCTGCCTCATACGCTGAGCTCTCAACCAACCCACTGCTTTTGCAGAGGCTGCTCCTTCCTTCCTCACAGTCGTTCACTCCCTCTTCATTTCTGTTTCTTTCTTTTTCTTCTTTTTTTTTTTTTTTTTTCTGTGTGTCTGCTCTTTCAGCTGGCTCCAGCATGGCCTCTGCCGTACGCTTCTCTCATCATCGCCCTCATCGCCATGGTAAGGCTATACAGCAACATTCATCTTCGTCTGTTACAACACACTGATTCAGACAGAGGTTGTAGGGGTGGTGAGGCAGTTGCTTTATCTTTTTTTTTTGTCAGTTGGCAATTTATCTTTCGTCTGGATTCGCTGTCCATCAGGGCCGCGGGAGGGAGAATGAGGCACCAGCAGTTCTGCAGAAGCTTTTGGCAATCCCACACCTTGCTGCAATTTGTGCTGCGGATCCAGCGACCGCTGCTACTGTCAACCACGCTGTGCAGGTGAGTTGACTGGAATATTTGTATTCTCACGTTATGCATCTCCTATGTGTGTGGGCCTTTCAATAATGGTTTTTCCCCAACGTCTACTTCCTTCTTCCAGAATGTGGTGATTTCCCTAGCATCGCATGCACAAAACGAGGAGGCTCGCAGAATCCAGAAGTTAGCCGAAGCCACAATCCATGCTGTGTTGTAGCACCTTGTGGGTGTTGTAGCATTTGTGTGTGCTTGTGTATTTTGTGTTTTGTAAAATTGTACAACTGTACTATTTCCAATTCATGTATCACCAGATTCCAAGATTCGGTAAGAGAATTCGTCTACGGTTTATAGATGCTTGGATGGTCACATCCCAGCACTCCTGATTCGTCAACGAGCCATTCGTCCACGTAGCAGCTCACATCTTGAAATCGCTGGGAACTTCATTTCCGGCCCCAACATGTGATTGGCGAACCCCTTTAGACGGGTTTCAAGGCTGTGTGCAAAACACGGAGCCAACACGTGGGCATCCAGCCACGTAGGCTTCTAAGCATGCAAGTAACCTCCCCCATGTGTGGTGACGGTGTGCAAACCAGACGCTGAAACCACCCTACTCCCCTCCTCTCCAAGTCAGCCTTCCCCCAACAAGCACCACAATTAGCTGTACACCGTGTAACCCTTCGCGACCGCTCAGGAACGCAACGCACCACATATCCTCCACCATAATAGCTCTGTTTGGGGTGCGTGTAAAAGGCGTGTCTGTTTCATCACATTGCTTGATTCCTAGTTACAGCTCCATTGCTAGCTTAGCGCTTCCAGTGCTGCTCTTCTTTCTGCTTTGCCTTGCAACTGCCAGCAAGGATTTAGACGCCATCGCAGCATCTGCGCTTTCTCGTGCTGTCCGCACGCTCCAGCACACGAGCGCGACAAGCCTTGAGTGAGTTCCCGCCTAAGGACTTCTTTCAAGCACTTAGATCTTACATGGATTCAGCTGCTACTCTTGTACTTGTTCCTCATCAGAACAGCACGTTGTCTCGCAGATCTCGAGGTAATACCAGTCGATCCAGACAAAAATTACAGCACCCATGGCGGCGTCTCTTTCAACCTCCGCGGCGCGATCCATCGCCAGCTTCGGCCAGACCGTCGCCGGCGGGCGGTCCCTATCGCAGACCAAGCCTGCTCCCGCGTTCGTCAAAGCTCGCAAGGGTGTTCGCGCCGAGGCCAAGCCCACAGCCGAGGCGACGTTGACCGGCGTCGTGTTCGAGCCGTTCGCCGAGGTGCAGAGCCAGCTTACCCAGGTTCCCGCCGTCATCCAGCCGCAGGAGTCGTTCGCCCGGCAAAACTATTCCTCAGCCGCCGAGGCTGGTATCAACGAGCAGATCAAGTGAGTTTCTAAGCAAGCTTCTCCATCAGCTAGGTTTTTACTTCAAGATTCAGGGGCAAGTGTTTCATTTTTCCTGGAAGGATGGGGGACTTATGCTTACTGAAACTTGAGGGTTGTTGCCTCGTTGATGTTTCGTGCAGTATCGAGTACAACATCTCGTACGTGTACCATGCGCTGTACGCCTACTTCGACCGCGACAACGTGGCCCTGCCAGGCTTCGCCAAGTAAGCTCTTGTTTCCTTAATTTAAGAATGTAGTCCACGTTTTTCACAGCCACATTCAAACATTCAGATTCCGCGTACACAATTCTGGTACGTTTGTGATGAATTGGATTTTGAAATGTACTGTCACAGAAGTTTCTGTCGCAATGTCTGATATCTAGCATTTTGGTATCGTCCTGCTGAATGCAGGTACTTCAAGGCAGCCAGCCAGGAGGAGCGGGAGCATGCAGAGAAGCTGATGGAGTACCAGGTGCGACTCATGGGGTCAATGTGAACATGTGCAACAACTAGATTTCGTACTGTTGCATTGGGATGTCATGACAACGTGCTTACACGCGTTCCTGTCTCTTCGCAGAACAAGCGTGGTGGCCGGGTGAAGCTGCAGTCCATCCTGATGCCCGCGACCATGGAATTCGATCACCCTGAGAAGGGCGATGCTCTTTACGGTGCGTCTGCTTTCCGCTCTCATGTGTGGTGAAAAAAAAGGTCGCGGTTTTGGGTTCACGGCTGGGATTCGGGCTTTTGAGCTAATGCTGTTTTGCTTGGTTTGACGACCTGTTGACTTGCAGCGATGGAGCTTACCCTAGCTCTTGAGAAGCTGGTCAATGAGAAGCTGTTGGCCCTTCACAAGGTACGAGATTCAGGTTTCTGGGTTCTACGTGGTGTTGGTTAAATGGTTGTGTGATCAGGTTTTTCTTATGCAGTTCACCTCGAAGTACATGTGTGTGTGACTGAGGATTGATTGTCTTATTGACGGTTATGCAGGTGGCATCTGACGCTGGAGATGTCCAGCTTACCGACTTCCTGGAGGGCAACTTCCTGAATGAGCAGGTATGTGTAACAATGTCAACATATCTGCCACTTGAATGATTGCAAGCTGGTTTTGCTCATCGGCAGATACCTTTGTTTCCGCTGTCTAATTATTTGAAACAATTTCTGGTCTGATTGTCCAGGTTGATGCCATCAAGCAAGTATCTGACTACGTCGCCCAGTTGAGACGTGTTGGCAAGGGCCATGGTAAGAGCATCCGCTTTCCTCATTCAGATCTTATTAGTGTTCATTTTGAGTATCATGTGCTGATCGAGTGGTTGCTTACGTGTGTAGGTGTGTACCACTTCGATCTGGAGTTGGAGGCTGGAGCGCACTAAGAGTGGCGTGGTTGGGGTAATGCCCCCGCAGCATAAACAGTACTGGATGATATGCCACAGTTACTGCTGTGGAAAAATGTACACAGATGGCTACTGTATGTTTTTTGGAACTGGATATTGTGTTGTGTTCCCACCTGTGGATTTGTCCACACCTGTGGACTGAGATATGCAGCTACCAGTAGATGCATACTTAAGAAACTACTTCAGCAGAAAATGAAATGGAAGGAGAACGAAGAGAGTGGAATTTGAAATGAAAACCTTTTCAGAATGTTCCAAAATGACCATTTAGTATGATAATTCATCTTTGTGTCAGAGTGTCCCATCTGTTCTTGGAATGAACAAGAGAACTACTACTCCTGAAGGTGCGAAGGCATCCAAACGAGGTGGACTAATTACAAGAGCATTGTATATTCAAGTATATCTATCAATAAGAATCCTGAGCCCACACATGCACACAACAGAAAAGAAAAGAGCACCCACTAATGGCACCTATCCCCAAGACCCAAGCTCCCGTATTCCCAAGGCCCGCATCTCACAACATCGCCGAATTTACTCTGTCGTGAGGGAAGGGCTCAATTCCTTGCAAAGATCACGGAGACGAACACTCAACCATGAACATAAAAGACAATGCTACCAATATCCAGAGTCTCCATACCCCCCGTACCATCCGCCATACCCGCCATAGCCTGAGTCATACCCGCCATACCCGCCATAACCATTGTAATCCACATCCATGTTCAGGTAGGTATCGCCGTAAGGGCTCATGTCGCTGCCATAGTCCCAGCTGCTACCGTATCCCAGGTCAGTCCAGTACGACGGGGGAGTGTACCAGTCCGGATAATAATCATTCGGGTCCACAGTGCTATAGCGAGTCACAGGGCCATTGCGGAGTATTTCGACACCACCTCCGCGCAACATCCGCGGAGCGCTAGGGGCGTTCTCGGCCGCGTGAACAAGGCTGGCGCGCTTCGGGCGGAACCTCCGCGGAGACGGCTCGCGCTGGTCTAGCAGCGGGTGTGCAAGGCTGGCGCGCTTGGGGCGGAACCTAAATGGAGGCGGTTCGGGCTGGTCTAGTAGCGGGTGCGCAAGGCTGGCGCGCTTGGGGCGGAACCTCCGCGGAGACGGTTCGCGCTGGTCTAGCAGCGGGTGCGCGAGGCTGGCGCGCTTGGGGCGGAACCGTTGCGGGGGAGGATACCACGGCCGTCCGTCCATGAACACCACGGGGCTTGCGCGCTTGGGGCGCGCCCTCTTGGGGCGGGCGAGCGCGGCATCGAGAGTGCCGAGGAGGACGAGCAGGAGGATTGCATACACGAGCGGCCTCATGACGACAATATTGGTGGTTGAAGAAGAAGAAAAGGAAAAATCTACTGCGAGACTTGAGAACCGAAACGATAGTAAGCGAGGGGTAGCTGCGGAATGTCTAGCTAGAACTCAAGATGAGATGCGTGACTCTCAATTTATATTCTTAGAAAGCGGAAAGAAGTGGTTCCGTACGTCGTTTGTCTTGGCTGCAGACCGTGAGGCGGGGAGGGGGGAAGCGGAGTAGGGGGAGGAAAGAAAGATGCTCGTTCCTTGTTGGCATCAGGCCAGGAGGATGGCATGCGAAAGAATGAGCGACTACAACGAACGAGATAGTGTATGCGAAATAATCTGACGATTCCAGCGAAGCGAATCCCACTGCCGCAGGGCTGACAAAGGGTGAATTTTCCAATCGCTGGGTTGACGATGGATTTCTATTTCGCTGGACTCGGTAAGAGCGCAGAGAATCCGAGGGGCTGCCAGCGCGACTTGCTTTTGTCCCTAGGGTCAACGCGGTTGGAGGAGCGCCGTTGCTGAGGTGGACGAATTCGCCGAGGTCGCAAATGCAGGTCTGGCGAATCAACACCCTGGCCGGGACACCACGACGAAGGAGGTCATCAAATGTCAGTACTCGTTAATGCGTTCGCAAATGGGTTGATGATACAGCTCATGCTTCTATCTGTGGTATATTCTCCTGTATCTATATTTACTAAAAGTATGCTCAATTTTACATGAAGGACGCCTTATAAACCAATGGTATGTCTTTCTTATAGTGATTGTAAACTTTATTGGCACTGAGTTCAAGTGGTATGACATAATGCACCACACCAAGTTATAGACTGATTTTATTGTAGTAGTTTACGTGAGTGAATTGGAGCAATGTGGCAACCAGACCCAGATGTATACGTTCAAGCGGTTACTGTTGTTAAATTCCTTATCAAGACAAATTTCCGCTGAATGAGAACGGTTGGTGGTGAGGTGAGGTACTACTTCCCAATTGCAGGCCTGCTTCCAATCGTATATAGTCAGAATGGGGTGAGCCTCGACATTGTAAGGACAAAAAACTACCGATGCAATTTTCCATAAAATATTGGACGCATGGATAACAGCACAGTACTGTCTTTCGGATGCTCACTGTCTCTGGTGTACCCGAACTTTAATTTCTTTGTTTGAATACTTCACTCGATTCTGGGTTGCAAGCTTTGTATCATGACTGTATCGTAGTTATATGAATAGGTAGCACACAGCAATGTTATCCCACCCACACCAGGTCTAGAACTCTAACCATGAGCACCCACCCACCCCCCTATGCACAAAGGCTATTGGAGTAACCTCATCACCAACGCCCTTGCATACAATGTCTAAGCTACTTATTCTCTCATTTGCAGCCCACCACACAGTACTGAGAATTCCCCTCAGGATACTTGCAGCCTCCAGTCTCAGGTGCGTAATCAGGCAGAGCCGGCACCACTACAGCCGTGCCTCCAAAGAAGCAGGTCCCAGGCGCGTGCGCGCGCTGCTGATAATACTTATTAAACGCATACGACGCGTGCGCAGCGAGTGTATTCGGCTCATAACACGCGCCGCCGGGCTGGATGGCAGAGCAGTCAGCGCCACCAGCGCCACAGGCCCATGAGAGGGCTGCCTGCACGGCCCCTTGGTCCATGACGCAGGCTGCAGGAGGGGCAGAGGTGGTTGCTCCGTCAGCAGGGCTATTAGGAGGAACGGGGATGGTGGCGCCGTTAGTTGGAGTATCAGGAGGAGGAGGAGGGGTGGTGGCGCCGATAGGAGGGGGAACGGGGGTGGTTGGGCCGCCAGGCGGGAAAATGGGGGTGGTAGAGCCGTCAGCAGGACTGTCAGCAGGAGGAGGGGTGGTGGCACGGTCAGGCGGGGGAACGGGAGTGGTTGAGCCGTCAGGAGGGAAAATAGGGGAGGTAGAGCCGTCAGCGGGAGCAGGAACGACTGTTCCATCAGTGGGAGGAGCAGGGGTAGCAGGAGCATCAGAGGGCGGTGTGGGAACAGCGGGAACGCCAGAGGGAGGAGGGGTAGTGGGCCCACCAGGCACGTGCGGCGGCTGGGGCACGGCGGGGGTATCAACCGCAGCAGGAGGCGAGCCCTTGGTAAGAGGAGGACTCCTCGGAGGCAGAGGACCGTTGGATGGATGGCCGGGGGGCGTGGGGAGGGGAGCGTCAGGAGACCCGCGGGACGGGGGAGAGGAGGCGGAGCCCTCGTCTGGGTAGAGAGGAACCACGGAATCGCCCGCGCCGCCAGACGTGAAACTGCTACTGACAGTCGTACTGCTGCTGCTGCTTGCGCTGCTACTGGCGGTGCTGCTGCTGCTGCTGCTGCTGCTCGTCGTCGCCCTCCGTTGTAGTCAAAGTGCTGTATTGCGCCTCTCCGCCGCTATCATCCGTGACAGTGCCACTCGTATCTGTCGAACCCACCCAGCCGTACCCAGGGTACGGGTTCCCCCATCCGCTTCCGCTCGTTCCACCGTTCGACCAGTCGTTAGAACCACCGTTCCACGAGTCGCTAGACCCGCCACTGCCATCAGAAGAATCGCCAGTCCATCCGTTGCCGCCGCTGTCGCCGCCGCTGCTTCCGTCGTCGCTCCAGCCGTTCCCAGGGTCCGCGCCGCTGATCGTATCCGGCTCGTCAGACGAACCCCATCCCCACTTGCTCCATAGGTCGTCCCAGGTCCCGCCGCCATCGCCGCCGTTTTCCTCGCCGCTGCCGCCGTCACTGAAATCGCTTGTTAGCGGCTCGTCTTGCCAGCTCGAGTCGCCCCCGCTTTCCCCGCCGCTTTCCTCGCCGCCACCATCGGAGCCTGTGGAAGACGAGTCGTCTACTGGAACCCAGTCGCCCATAAAGGGCTCCGTGCCCGTATACGGGGAGCCGACATAGCCCGATTGAGGCCTGGGAGGCTCCCACGCGCCGCTCGAGTAGTCGTCGCCGTTCGATGCGCCGCTGTCGCCGCTATCTTCTTCCTCGTAAAAGTAGTCGCTCGCTAGAACTCGTCGCGTGCGACTTGTCGTCGGGGCGTTACCATTACTGCTGGGATTTTCGCTAATGTCGCCAAATGAGCCTCCGACAGCCGTGTTCGTTGTCGCGAGCTCTCTTCGCGCACGAGCCGGCAGATAGTTGACCCCTACCACCACCGCCGGCGGCGAATCCCACGATTCTGGCGTGGCGGCCTTTAAAACGCGCGACGCGTGGGTGGTCGGTGCGACGGTCCAAACGACGGCGAGGAGAAGGAAGGGAATCGCTAATTTCTTCATCAGGAATTGGTTGTGCGTGAGCTGACTTCGAAGTTCAACCAGTGGTAATGGGTGCTATGACAAGGGAAGAACCTAAATGTTTCGGTCGCTGATTCTACTAGTGGCGGTAGGAGTCGAACAGGACCCGATAAGATGCTTCAGGAGCAAAACAATAAACTACGAGCCCGAAAGCGGCTTTGGATATGATGATTCGAAACGGTTATGCTCATATGGCAAGGAAAGAGAGTCTAAAATGATGAATATGGAAATATGCACGCGGCGTTTTGTATTACGACCTTGGGATTGTGGCTTGGGTAAACAAGTTTGGGACGAGGGGGGAATTCGAGCTGCGGACGAGGGAGAGGTGGCAGGGAGGGGATGGGGGATGAGTCTGGGAAAGGGAAGAGGGCAAGGGGCAGGGGGGTGAGCGCTGAGGAAGACGGGGGGAAGAGGAGGGGAGGGGAGGGGCAGCTGACGGGGAGAGAGGAGACATTTTCTTGTTGATGTGTTGCCAGCGGGGCGAATTCCTCCCCTGCGACAATGTGGAATTGCGCGACGCGCAAGGTCGATTTCTTGCGACGGCGATGAGTTCCAGCGAACGCCAGTTGAACTGTCGACTGAGAGACCGTGGCTCGGGAAATGCATCCAGCGGAGCAGAGAGCAGCAGGGGATTGGCCGGGTTGACTGAGAGGACTGTGAAGTCCTCCGTGTCTTCTTTGTCCGCCGTGTCGCATTTTGGCGGGTGCAAGCGTGGCATGCTCATGCTGAGGTGAATGACTAGGTTTCGACAACTCAGCATCGTTGTATTCGCTGGTGTACGCACCGTTACGATGGTCACAAAATGTCTCGAAGTTAAAGGATATGATGAACTTCTTATGTTCCAGCAAAACCTGATACTTGCCTTCATTGTATTGTTCCCGTTAGGAGCGTTTCTTACGTGCTAAAGTTCTTGCTTTGCTTTCGGTTCCTTACAAATCAAAGATCAAAACGAGGAATTTCAATTAGAAGCAGCGGTCCACCCTGTGTGGCCTTTCTCGAAGTTCCCGTCTCGTCCCAATGTGACCCTCAAGCTTCCCGCATCACCATTGCGTCATGCACGGTGTATCCTCGGCAGCAGTTTCTCCGGTGCTGCGATTAATTTGACATTCTCTGCCTTCGTGCGACCCGCGTCTCAGTTGATCCTGCCTATCTGCCTCTGCGTCTGTTCGGCAGAAACAGCTTTATCAAGTTAGGGCAACGGGCAGCTAGGACGATAAGCTTACAGCAGGCAGGATCTAGGGCGGGTTAACAGGAGGCACTTGAAGGCAGACGACAAACCGAGATTAGGGTAACTGGCGAAATCGCTCATGGCGTTCGCACAGAACCCGCTGTCGCTAGCATTCCCGCCAGAACAAGTCCACGCGTTACTTCAGGACCAGGCGCTCCGGCGAGCACAAGGCGACGGTGTAGATACGTTAGATCCAACGGACGACGTCAACAGATGGAGAGGAGGTCGAGAAGGCTCGTCCGGTGCTGGAAACGCGCCTCCCTATAACGGATCTCGGCGATCCGTTGCCGCAGCGCCGTCCAGTCGTATATCGATGCTAACTATAGAGGATCTAAAAAAACCGCCTCTACCGTGGACGGATTCGTTTTTCGGCTGGAGTCAATTACGGTCGGCTTATTCCTTTCCGGGCAGCTGGAGAGAAATGGGGAGGCGTGTGGACGCGAATTTTGTGGAGTTTCTGGGAAACTACCTCCGGGTTCTTCTAGTCTTCCTGGTGTGCGTCATGTACGTGTCTCCGCTCTCTACCTGATTCGCCTAACAGTCAATATCAACCGCATATCCTCCTCTCCGCGTGCTTCCCATCCCTCTTTTTCTCTGCCCTGCTTCCCCCATAGTCCTGGATTGTATGTACCCTCGTTACCTGCTTGTTTCCCCGTAACCCCTAGCCTGCATTGTTCCACCCTCCGGTCTGCGCTCCACACCACTCCACCTTCCACCTCCATCCCATCCCCCATTCCCCCCCTCCATTCCCTCCCCATTCCCCTCGCTCGAGCTGCAGCTTTCCAGGTTTCCATTATCTCCCACCACCCGTCCATCCATCCGTTTATCCCTCCGTCCGTCCATCCGTCCGTGCTTGCTCACTCGCCTGCAGGTTACAAGCAACCCGGTGGCGTGTGCGGGACTGACCGCGCTGACACGGCTGTGGTACAAGCTGTAAGGGACTCTCTCAGGTTTCCACTATCCCCCATCCCTCCATCCCTCCGGCCTTCACACTCCTCCAGGTACAAGCGGCCTGTGGCATGTGCGGGGCTGGTGGCCCTGGTGCGGCTGTGGCACGAGCTGAAGGGTCTCAGGTTTCCATTCTCCCCTGTCCTCCCTCTCTTCCTTGCAGGTACAAGCGGCCAGTGGCGTGTGCGGGGCTGGTAGCGCTGGTGCGGCTGTGGCACGAGCTGATGGATTTCAAGTTTACGTTCTCCCCCATCTGTCCGTCCACACTCCTTCTCTCTCCTCCAGGTACAAGCGGCCAGTGGCGTGTGCGGGACTGGTGGCCCTGGTGCGGCTGTGGCACGAGCTGAAAAAGTGCAACGCGGCGCTGCTAGTGCACAAGGACAGCTGGCGCTTGCACGCTGGCCGGTTCCTGCTGCAGCTAGGTGCGTTGTTGGGGAGGGGGGGCCTGGGCCTGGGGATGGGTTAGGGGTGCGGTTGGGGTAGACACACAAGGTGCTGCGAGTGCACAAGGACGGGTGGCGCGTTCACACTGGCCGATTCCTGTTGCAGCTAGGTGCGTTGTTGGGGTCTGGGGGGTGGGGATTGGGGTGGGGAAGAGGTGGGGTTGGGGTCGACTCACGAAGCACTGCGAGTGCACAAGGACAGCTGGCGCCTTCACACGGGGCGATTCCTGCTTCAGCTAGGTGAGTTTCCGAGGGTAAGTCTTGGATGGACTGAGGAGGGTGGGCTGGTTTTTGTTCATGCGTTATGGAACGGGTTTATGACCCTTTGGGCCACTTTGTGACAGTTGCTTGGCTGTTCTTGTGCACTTTCCCGCCATCCTCACTCCTCATCGCCTTGGCTTCTCTTTCTCTCTCTCTGTCATCCCCACTGCCCTCTTCCAACTGTGCAGCCCTGTGGGTGGTGGCATTCTGCTTCAGAGTTGTGCCGGCTCTCTCACTCGCCCTCAGCCTCTCACTCTTTGGTAAGCCCTCAGCCTTGCCTGATTCTGTTAGCCCCCAGCCATCTTCCTCTTCCATCTATGCAGCTATCCTGCTGCACAGCTCGCATCACCACCCACCGCCATTGCAACCCCATGTATCGTGCGTTTGTCCTCCCCTCATTAGCCTCACCCCCCGTCTCTCCTCACTCTCCATCTCTTCTGACCCGCCGTCTCTCCTCACTCCCCATCTCGTCTCACCTGCCGTCTCTCCTCACTTCCAGTCCCTCTACCCCGTCTCTCCTCTCATCTCCCTTCTCTCCTCTCCCGTCTCGGCAGTTATCCTGCTACACAGCTTGCTACGCCACCCACCGCCCCTGCAGCCCCCATGTATCGTGTGTTTGTCCTAACCTCATTAGCCTCATCTCCCCTTCTCTCCCCTCGCATCCCTGCCTCGCAGTTATCCTGCTGCACAGCCTGCTACGCCACCCACCACCCGTGCAGCCCCAGCGGCAACTTAGCCGCAGCGCCAGCAGCAGGCAGCGGCAAGGGGGGCGGACGAGGTGACAGGCGAATGTGTGTGAAATTAATTGTGAAAGTAGTGTCATTTAGTGAAAAGCGCATGGCATGTCACTGCCTGCCTACCATACGTACCGCATCTGGTCATATACGTTCTTTGATTGAATGTGGTTTTGCTGAGCATACCGTGCCCATATGGTAGGAAGGAGCTGCAAGGGCATCCCTCAGGAATTGATAGATACACAAATATATGCATTCAAAAGACAATAATGAAGGCAGTGATAAGGAGTACAAGCCCACCTCTAGCGAATCGCTCCCTGTTCAACTTTGTAAGCCATCGAAGCAGCACAGGCGCACTCTTCTCTTTATGCTCTACCCCTTCCTCACAACTGCTTCGTCTGGCTGACGATCCCTCCAGCCCACAACTAGCACTAGCACACCCACAAGGAACAGCTAGCTGCTGCAGCCGCTGCTGCCGCCGTTCTTCCACACCAGCTGCGGCTAACCTGTTTGGCACACAGCCTAACGTAGATGTGGCACTGGCACGTGCCATCTTCTGGTTTAGATCAATACAACGCTCACCTAGGTTTCCTGCTGCCTCACATGCCCCATCTGCTTCGCATGCCCCACCTGCCTCACATCTACCTGCCTCACATCTACCTGCCTCACAATCCACGGCTGGTCTACATATCTCTGCTGCTCCATGCATGCAGCTGGATCGGCACCCATTTACTCCCTCACATGCCCCTGCTGCTTCACAAGTCCCAACTGCCGCACATGCCCCATGTGATCTGCACACCTCTGCTGCTCCACACATGCAGCTGAATCGACACCCATCCACTGCCTCGCATGCCCCTGCTGCTTTGCAAACCACAGTGGGTCGGCATGGTGGCGCCAGTGCATTCCCGCACTGCTGATTCCGCTGCTGGGTAACTGGCATGTTCTGAGGCAAAAGCGGTTCCCTGTGCTGAGACAGAGATTTCTCTGCTGCCAGCCTGCCTTCCCTTGGTACTAACCTTGCTCCTTCCGAACCCCTGCCTCCCCTGCTGCTCCTGCCTTCAACAGCAGCTGCAACAGACCTCGAGACTGCATGGGATGCTTCCGCTGCAGGTGCTGTTGACTTTTGAGATGCCTCAAAACTCACTCTTGAGACTGCAGTAGCTTCTCCTCCCCGTGCCCTCACTCCTCCTGCTGCCCCTCCTGCTCCTTGTGCTCTTGCTGCTGCTGCTCCTGCTCTTGCTCCTTCTCCTACTCCTAGCCTTGCCCCATGTACCCGTGTTGAGCCATCTGCTGTCTGTGCATCGTCACCACTCTCAACGCCTGTCTGTGTGCCTGTCTCTACATCTGCCTGCACGCCTGTCTGTCGGCCGAGGTGCCATGTAAGTGAGCGTCGAGGAAGGCCCAGTTGGCCCAGCGTGGTGACAGCAGCGTTGGCTACGAGAGGACGCACGTCGCGAACAGTGAGGGACGAAGGGGTGTCCTGGATGGGGAAACGGGGAGAGGGAGAGGGCGGGGAAGAAAAGTGAGCTTAATTAGTAAGAGGGCCAGTTGGCTAGGTGTCTGTAAACCTGTCTGCTCTCCTGTGTGTGAGCCCAGGTGCCACTGCCAGGTAAGGGTGCGTCGGCGAAGGCCCAGTTGACCGAGAGTGGTGACAGCAGCATTGGCTACGAGAGGACGCACGTCACGAACAGTGAGGGCAGTTGGGGTGTCCTGCATGTGTGCAGAGGGAAGGGAGGAGGCAGGGGTATGAGCTCAAGTAGTAAGAGGGCCAGTTGGCCAAGCGTTGTGGCAGCAGCGTTGGCTATGAGAGGACGCACGTCGCGGACAGTGAGGGCAGTTGGGGTGTCTTTGATGGGAAAAGGGAGAGGGAGAGGGTAGGAGTGCGAGTGTGCCTAAGTAGCAAGCAAGAAGGTCAGTTGGCCAAGAGTGGTGACTGCAGCACTCGCAAAGGAGGACGAACGGTGATGGAGCGGCAATGCAACCAAAAGAAAGAAGAAAAGGGAAAATAGAATGTTTCTCACCACGGAGGGGTGCACGGCATTGGAGAGCAGAGCCACAAAGATGTTGCGATCAGGGTCTATCCACAGGGACGTGCCTGAAAAAAGGGCGTTTCAGAAAAGAGTGGGCGTTATTTGCGTGTGTGTGTGTGCGTGTGTGTGTGTGTGTGAGTGTGTGTGTGTGTGTGTGTGTGTGTGTGTGTGAGTGTGTGTGTGAGAGAGTATGTGTGTCTGTGTTTTTTGTTTTTGTTTGTAATTTTTTTTTGGTAATTATTATATATTTCTCTCTATAGTCAGTAAATTCAGAATACATGGCTCGGTGTCTCACCAGTAAAGCCCGTGTGGCCGAAGGTACGTGGCCCCATGAATCTACCCGCTGATGTGTACCCATCCTTGCCCCTTCTAATTGCCACGTCCCAGCTGAGAGAAAGCGAGACAGGGAAGTAGAAGGGAGAGAGAAAAAAAGGGAGGGAGAAAGGGATAAGAGAAGGTGTGGAGTGAGAGAAGTCGTGAAAACAGAGGAAGAGTGAGCATCGTTGATCAGAGTTGTGGCAAATCCATAAGTGAGGTTAAGAGGTACTCTTAAAACGAGAACCGAGCTACCGAAAACAAGATCATCCCAGAAATCACAAGTGACTAGTCACCCGAGGGCAAAGGGTCAAGGCTTGTAACCAGAGGCATTTTTGGGTAATCTTTGAAATACGCCTACAGCAAGGGGTTATTACCCGAGGGCAAAGGGTCGAGGGTTGTGGTCAGAAGGAGGGGGCGGAGTGGTGAAGAGGCGGAGAGTGCGTGATGACACGAGCTGACGCCCCGTGGTTGGGTCCGTGCCCCCTGCTAGCATGCAACGAGCGAACTTAATACCAGGGAGAGGAGAAGAAGGGAGAGAGGAGGCGGAAAGGGGGGGATAGTGGAAGAAAGCAGGAGGGAGGAGGTGGCGTGGTGAAGAGGCGGAGGGTGCGTGATGACACGAGCTGCTGCCCTGTGGTTGGATCCGTGCCCCCTGCTAGCATGCAACGCGCGAACTGGAGACAAGGGGAAGAAAGCAGGAGGGAGGAAGGGTGTGTGGTGAAGAGATGGAATGTGCATGTGTGATGACACGAGCTGATGCCCTGTGGTTGGGCCCGTGCCCCCTTCTAGCATGCAGCGAGCAAACTGCACCCAAAGTTGCATAGAAGGGGCAGGAGAACACGGAGATATAGCTCTAAATGATTTGAAAACTTGTTTATCTACGCCTCCCCGAACACATGCACGCAATCACAACCATGAATTTTCTTCCTCCCCCACCCCCACTCCACACACAGGTGTGGGTGAATCACCTTGGTAACGTCAAGGATGGTCGAGAACAGCCCTGCATGGCCTGGTATATAGACACATGCATGCACTCACTTCAACCATAACCACATATAGGCTTCCCCTTTTCCGCACCCTCACTCCACACACACACGTGTGGGTGAATCACCTTGGTAACATCAAGGATGGTCGAGAACAGCCCTGCATGGCCTGCCACGCCCCCCATTATCCAGGCTGTGGGGTCGTGCACTGGCGGGGGGAAGAAGGCACAGGGGAGGGGAACAAGGGGAGAGAGGGGGCGATGCAGTGAGGGGGAAGGCAGGGCAGACTAGAACAGCCCTGCATGGCCCGCCACGCCCCCCATGATCCAAGCTGTGGGGTCATGCAATGGCGGGGCGATAGGTAAAGGGGAAAGAGGGAGAAAGGGGATGGGGGGATGGTGCAGCGAGAACGTACGGCTAGGAAGTCAGTGAGAGAAAAAGGCAGGTGGATTGAAAAGAGCCCTGCATGGCGATCAGAGTCTGGTCCATGCCATGGTGTCATGCACTGGCGGGGCGAAGGTGAAACCACAGCCCCCCCCCCCAACCCTTCTCACATCACCACCACAGCAGCTTCTTGCGATGCAGCAAGGTCTGCAACTATGTGGCCTCTGCAGCGCCCCACAAAGCATTCGATTTTTGAGTCGACTCAAAAATCGACCAGCTTCTTGCGATGCGGCAAGGTCAGCAACTATGTGGCCTCTGCAGCGCCCCACAAAGCATTTGATTTTTGAGTCGACTCAAAAATCGACCAGCTTCTTGCGATGCGGCAAGGTCAGCAACTATGTGACCTCTGCAGCGCCCCACAAAGCATTTGATTTTTGAGTCGACTCAAAAATCGACCAGCTTCTTGCGATGCGGCAAGGTCAGCAACTATGTGATCTCTGCAGCGCCCCACAAAGCATTTCCCCATCCAGCCAGCCTAAACCGCCCTCTCGCACCTCATACCCTCTCACCTTCCCCCCACAGAAGCTTCTTGCGATGCAATGAATCCACTTCCGTGGGGACCACACGCGGATCCACGCCTCCTGCATCCCGCATGCTGACGTGCTGCCCTGTGATTGGTCGGAGTGTGCTGCCGTGCTCGTGCTGCCCCGGGATTGGTCGGAACGCCGTACTAGTCATGCCCAGCCGGCTGAAGATCTCCCGGTGCACGAACGTGCTGAGGTGGCAGCCTGTGATTCGCTCGATGACGAGCGCGAGCACGATCATGGAGAGGTCGCTGTAGCGAGTTGTGACTATAGGGGGGTACCAGAGATGGTCTGCCATTATAAAGTCAATCACCTGCAATCGAGTCACGTGAAGGAGAGAGAAAAAGATCTCACTCAGTCAGATGTGAATATAGGAGGATATTAGAGGCGGCCCGCCATAAAAAAGTCAATCATCTGTGATCGAATCACATGATAAAGGGCAAAAATAATATCCAGTCAGTGAGGTGTGATGTGATCATGTGACTAGGGGGGTATTGGATAGCTCAGAGCAAAAGCATGCACCTGCTGGCGGGTGCAGAGCTGCAGGGCGAAGAAGGGGTGGAACTCCCTCAGCCCAGCGGTGTGTGTCAGCAGCATGCGCACTGTCACCACATGCTTGCTGTTCACATCACAGTCAATGCCCTTCCATTCCCTCACCATACACACCTGCTGTCAGCTGTATTGAGAGTTTCCCCAGATGCCTCTAGGCATAAGGCTACTCACCTGCTGGCGGGTGGAGAGCTGCAGGGAGAAGAAGGGGTGGAACTCCCTCAGCCCAGCGGTGTGTGACAGCAGCATGTGCACTGCAACCGTCACTACCTGATTATCGTTGTACACAGTGCTATTCCATTCCCTCACCATGCACACCTGCTGTCTGCTGCATTGCGCACCTGCTGGCGAGTGGAGAGCTGCAGGGCGAAGAAGGGGTGGAACTCCCTCAGCCCCGCGGTGTGTGACAGCAGCATGCGCACTGTCACTACATGCTTGCCATTTGCTCCGAACGCAGGTATGTATCGATGCACTGGGGCCTCTAGGTCTGGTAATGGTGGTGGTGGTCGGGTGGAGGGGGGAGGGGGAGGGGGAGGTTAGGTAGTGGTGGTAGACCATTCAACACCCCTAGAAACAGCCCAGAATCGCTCAGAACACCTCAAAGCTTGTCAGCAGCATGTGCGCCGTCACTACATGCTTACCGTTTGCTCCGTACGCAAGTAGGTATCGATGCGCTGGGGCTTGTAAGTTTGATGGTAGTGGTGGTGGGGTGGGGGAGGGAGGGGATAGGAAGTGGTAGTAGACCATCAGACATGCCTTAAAACCCGCTCAAATACCTTAAAATATTGTCAGCAGCAAGTGCACCGTTACCCCATGCTTCCCGTTAACGGCGAATGCTGACAGGTAACGATACACAGGGGCATCTAGGTCTGGTAGTGATGGTGGTGAGGGGGGACTACGTGCATGCCATTTCCAAGAAATAGATGACAGGTGCATGATGGAGCGGGGAAGAGGAGGAGGAGGGGAGCAAATACAGCGCGGGCAGGACGGAGTGGGGATAGGGCGTGGGGAAGAGGGGGAGGAGGAAGAGCTCACCCAGTAGACCCCTCTCGTAAAGGATCATGGCGGCAGGAACCGTTGCCATGATTTGCAGAGGTGTGACTTTTGAGTCGAGTCAGAAGTCACCTCTTGAGTCTACTAGGTGAGTCGACTCAAAAGTCAATGCGTGGGGGAGAGGGGGGGAGGAAGAGCTTACCCAGTAGACCCCTCTCGTAAAGGATCATGGCGGCAGGAACCGTTGCCATGATCTGCAGACATGCAAGAGCACAGCGGACAGGCATGCGAGTAAGTGCAGTCAGTGGCAAACGTGCAGCAATATGCAGGTTCCTGACAGGGATAGGGCGGCCGCTCATTCGAATTCCTCCCCCCTTTCACCCCTCCCATCCCCCCTTCCCTCTCCTTCCCCCTCCCCTCTTCACCTTGGTAAGAGAGGCGAGGTCCCAGAGGGAATCTGAGGTGATGGGTCTGTTGCAATCACTGGGAGAGAAGAAGAGGGATGAGGAGAATGATGTTGAGAAAGAGGCATGCGATTTTTAAGTGAAGTCAAGAAAATGATATTATTTAGTTTCCTACATTTAATAAGTCTTGCAATCACAAGGAGGGAACGAGGCAGGGATGGGAGAAGATCCGGCAATTAAAAGAATAAGCAATGGAAGGATCGGCGTTTGAATGGAACAGACTGGACAGATGGAAAGAGATAGAAGAGTGTATTGCCAGGAGTAGGAGAGGTGTTGAGCTTGAGGTCTTGAGTTTGGTATCAGAAAGCGTACTAGGTATAAGTGCCAAAGGCTGGATTGGTTGAGAGTCCCAGTCAGGTGTTGTGTCGTATGTCAATGTACCATGTTCCATGCACCATGCGCCATGCAACAACGCATGCCAATGAGAGAACACGGAGAAAAAGGATGGCGGATTTGAACAAAGTGATCTGCTCAAGGGCAGAAGTGCAGGCGGAGTAAGCTGAGGCTGATGTCATGTATGCTGAATATCATTGAGCAAGCTGACAAATAATCTGATAACGCGAGTTTTCAGGTGTCTAAACTAAAAGCTGCTGCATGAACAGAGGTGCCAGCACTCACAGGCGTGGAAAACAGGGCCCTCGAATGAGCCGAAGGCCACCGCCCCTCCCGGAAATGCTTGTTCCGCAATTGCCTGCATGCACGATTTGGGTGGATGGGTGGCAGACGAGACATACACCATTTGATTAATTCTTTGCAGTGCTGGGACCATGAGAGAGAGAGAGAAAAGAAACCGAGCGGGAGAGAGAGGAGAGAGAGAGAGAGAGAGAGAGAGAGAGAGAGAGAGAGAGAGAGAGAGAGAGAGAGAGAGAGAGAGAGAGAGAGAGAGAGAGAGAGAGAGAGAGAGAGGCATCTAGTGACTTAGCCTCTCAAGCCTCCCAAGCCTCTCCAGCCCTAGTATAAAGGCCGTAGGTGCCTTGTTCACTCTTCATTATTCAGTTTTGGTTCAATTCCTCTCCCAAACCGAGCGGCTCGCGCCGGCCGCCGCTCGAGAGCGCGGCCTTCGGCCGCGCGTGAGGGGACGGCAGCAAAAACAGCTAAGGCACACTACTATATCCAGCAAATACAAGCAATGACGTCAACAATGAGTGCCTAAGTACACACGGACAGGGGAGACAATGGAACGTGAAGAAACAAACGCTAGTACTGGTCGGCATCAAGAAGTGCCAGCAGACCAGTCAGAGAGCGGTGGAGCTCCCGCACCGCCGCCGTGCTTGCGCCGATCACATCGGCTCCTGAACCTCCGCGCAAAATCCGTCGCAGCCCACGGACAGCAGTACCGAGCTGCCCAACCCCCGCAACTACGCCCATCACGGGCTCAGCCAACACGGGCGCCAGCAACTCTGCGAGGCGATCAGCGGCATCAAGCAATTCGTCCCGCTGGCGACCATCTAGAGAGCCACCACGAGAGAGAGCGGCATGACCATGCGCCTGGATCAGGTGCAAGGCCCGCAAGCCCTCCGCGAGGCGCCACAGCTGGCCAAGAGACGCCTCGGGGACCTCGGCCATGCGAGGAGGTCCCCCCAACGCCGGGAACGCCTGCGTGTCAGCAGCTGCAGACCGAGAGGGAGGCGCGGTGGGAGGAACCACCAGCGGGTTCATGTGACGCCTAGGAGCCGCGGCAGGTACAGAGCGGGGGCGGGAGGAGGAGGAGCAACTGCTACAGGAGGAGGAGACGCTGCCACAGGAACAGGGATGGGAGAGGGAGCTGGAGGAGCCGTCGCAAGGCACTGCGCGGCCCTCTCCTCGCGAATCGCCGCAGAGACGACGCGCTGAACGTCCGCAAGAGACACAGGAGGAACATACGCCGGACCGCCGCCATAACCGCGACCCCCCCCCCTGCCGCCGCGACCGCCGCGATGCCAGTTTTGCTGTGGGCGGCTACGACGGAGAGAGTCGCGGCGCCGGCGCGACGATTCCCGCTCCTCACGGGGAGCAGGAGAGTGGGGACGCGAGGAGCGACGGCCAGGTGACGGCTGGCCCCGCGGCTGCCCCACAGGCGCAACGACATGCGCCGCTTGAGCCGGCACCGCCTGCGCCACAACCGGGGCCTGGCCGCCAGTGGTGGCGGACACCGCCATCGGCGACGAAGCAACGGCCGCAGAAGGCGTTACAGGGTCATCAACGGCGGGTGCTGATACAGGACCACCAGGAACGGGCGAGGCAACAGCAGGGCCAGACACAGCAGGCGGTGCCACAGCGCTCGCGGGGACGGCGGACGGAACAGCAGGAGCAGCAGGTACAGGAGCCCCACGGGAGGCGGAGGGTCCGATACGGCAACAGAGGGCGACGGAACAAGCAGTGGTGACAGGAGAGCCGCGCTCGCCACGGGGAGCGGGTCCACAGGCAGAGAGGCAACAGCGGCAGAGGGCGCCGGCTTCGGGGCAGGCGGGATTGGCGGCTTCATTGCAACAATCCCCGATGCAGACGCAGGCGGGGACTTTCCGCTCACCGCTGACACAGCGGCAGCGTGCGATGGCGATGGCCACGGCTCTCCAGCAATCACCATCGCGAGTCGGTAGGCGACAAGGAGCAGGCCGGCGGGGGCGAAACGAAGTAGGAGGAGGACCGGAGAATGCGTTCCAAGCAGCGGGGAGAAGGGCTTTAAATTCAATACATAATAATGAGGAGCACGACGACCCGACTTATGTAGCGGAGGAACGAGGTTCGAGCAGCAGTAGTGATGAAGAAGGTGAAGAGGAGACGAGAGAGCAGACGGGGAGACGAAGTGGGGTGAATTCGAGAGGAACGGATGAGCAGCGGGAGAATAAACAAGGGCCGCAGGATGGGGATCGGACGGTCACTAACCCAACCCCGGCCCCGAGACGTGGACGAGAGAATCGGACCGCGAGAGGCCAAGCAAATGCGGCTCGCCAGCCTCAAAATCCGCGCTATTACTCGCCAGAGGAGCTGGCGATGCAAGCGGATAAGTTCGCAGAAGTGGCGAGTTGGGACATCTCACCACTCTGCGACAGTCGCCAACCGCCACTGTTACGCAGGCTTCCGCCAAATTTGTGCAAGATTTTCTCGCTTGCAGTGCTGACACCCCTACTGCACCTCTCGCGAAGCCCAGACTCTGTCGCAGGTTGGCGGTTACTGTTATTTCTCCCACGCCTCACGCTGCGTCAGGCCTCGCCGAGGCGACCGGATTGGTCGAAAATCAAAGCACGACTCCGAGCATTTCAACGCAGCGAGTGGCAGCAGCTGTACTTGGACGCGGCGGAGGCAGTCAACACACCACCCCCGCCACGTCATCAGCCTCACGACCTCGGCGTAATCAGCAGGGCAGAAGGGCTGGCGAAAAAGGGAAGCCTACGCAGAGCGGTGATGGCGCTCGAGTCAACCCCAGTCTGCACGCCGAGCCCCGAGGTCCTGGACGAACTCAGACGCAAACACCCACCGGCCGAACCTGACCCGTTGACCTGGCCAGCTATCCCCGAACCAGCCAGTCTTGAAATTCCGTACGCGGACTTCTCGAAACTGCTCAGCCGATGCGAGAATGGCGTGGGAGCCGGTCCGAGCGGAATGACATTCGAACACTTACGCGACGCGTCAGTGACAAATGCATCTGTCACTACCCATCTCCACGCCCTGATAAACACAATCCTGCGGGGAAACCTGCCACCTCCCGTGGCGCAACTACTCACATCTTCGCGCCTGATTGCACTGGTCAAACCGGACGGTGGGGCCCGCCCGATTGCGATTGGCGAATGCCTAACACGCTTGGCAGCAAAAGTGGCCCTGTCAGCACTGGGCGAGGCGGCACGAAGTTACTTTTTACCTCTACAGTACGGAGTTGCTGTGCCAGGTGGGGCAGAAGCAATCATTCACAGCTCCCGAGCATGTACGGACTCACATCCCAACTGCCTTATCCTACAAACCGACATCTCCAACGCCTTCAACAGCATAAGCCGACAAGCCATCATAACAGCACTACAACACCCATCCCTCTCCCCACTACTGCAATTGGTCAAACTGACCTACGGCCAACCATCTTCACTATTCCTGGACGCCGCGTTTAACAGCCAGCCGCTGACAAGTGAACGTGGGGTACGGCAACGAGATCCCTTAGGCCCGCTCCTATTCGCGGCCGGGATACACCCTGCCCTTAGAGCAACAGCAACCGCATACGCCGGCGTACTGTGCATGGCATACGCCGACGATGTGAGTTTCTTAGGCGACCCGCGCGATACTGTAGCGGCTTTTACACACTTCACCGGGCAACTAGACGGAATAGGATTACAACACAATCCTTCTAAGTGCGCCACATGGAGCAATCAGCCGATAGATCCATAGATACAGCTGCCGCCAGGGGTACCAATCAGAGACGAAGGCGTGGTGCTCTTAGGCAGCTTCCTAGGAACACCGAACGGAGCCGCCGCCTTTCTCTCTGCGCAGCTGCAGTCGATGTCCAAACCGCTACCACTCTTAGAACGAACGGACCCGCAGGTAGCGGCTCTCATGCTCACACGGTGCATCTCACGCCGTGTTGCCTACCTCACACGAACGACCCCACTACACCTTCTAGAACGCGACATCTAGCTACCCTTCTGACAGCGAGCGGCATACGATTTCCAACCAATAGTGTGGAACAAAACAGGGTCTGGGAGCAGGCATCACTACCGCCCTCCCTAGGCGGGATAGGACTTACGGACCCCACGGTAGAAGGGAAGTTTGGCTTCTTGGCCAGCTTCACACATGCAGCATTCCTCCTTAGCCACCCGCCACTGGAACCAGGGATAGCCTTGACAGAAGTACGGGACCACATGCTGCTACCCAGAGACACTGGCACACCCCTACACGAATGGCTGACCGCCTGCGAAGCAGCACTACCGCTTGAGGCCAGGGAAGTGCTGGACAAGGAGCGACTGGAGCCGACAGGACTGAAGCTGCAGCATGAGCTGGGGGTCAGAGTGCAGGGAGGGAGATATGCCTCACAGGTGCAGGCCACTAGGCACATGACACTGAACCCACTCTCTGGCCATACCCAACGGCTCTTCTCTCTGACCGAGTATGGCACGGGGGACTGGTTGACGGCCATCCCATTAGAACCGACCCGTCGCATCAGCCCTGTTCATTTCTCCAACGCAATACGATTCAGGCTGGGGTTGCCCTTCTCCACACCTGCCAGGTGTGATTGCTCCAAGCGCGTAGAAATCAAGAACCCGCGGCTGCCAAACCACCTATTCCGCTGTGGCTTGGGCAAGCACAGGATTAATACCCACAACGAGCTGCGGGATGCATGTATCACGATGGCCCAGGATGCGGGCTTCATAGTGCACAGAGAGACGTCCGCCTACTACCCGATAGAAGAGCAGAACGCGGATTTCACCATGCGGGACAAGAGCTCGGGAGATGTGTACGTGTGCGACGTGACCATCACCGACCCCATTAGCACCCGGGATCCCAATGCTACCAAGGGCAGGGGATGGGCAGCAAGGGAGCAGGCCGACAAGAAAATCAGCCACTATGCGAACTTGCCTGACACAGTCACTTTCATCCCCCTGGCAGTCGAGACATACGGCTGCCCTTGTGCCGAGGTCCACACGTTTCTGAGATTGCTGGCGGACACAGCTGCTAGGCGTCACTTTAACGCCTTACCAACCTCCTAGCACGCAGCTCGGTTCCTCCACCTCTTGAGGCAGCGGTGGTCGGTGGCTCTCCAACGTGCACAATCCGTGGGATACCTTATGAAGTCCTGCCAGGCGGCGGTAGTTGAGAACCCACCGGTGGGAGGGGTGCAGGCCGAGCTTCACCTAGGGGATAGCTGTGTGGTGTTGGAACCTCTAATGGAGGTGTAGAGAGGCACTAGGTGTAGGTAGTTGGTGGTTGCTTGTTTATTCCTAGACATGTTTTCCATACTTTGCATGTTTGTACCTTCCGCTATATCAATACACGGACCATTAGAGAGAAAAGAAACACTCCTGCTCCTAAGTGGACCAGCTAGATACGATGATGATAGCGAGCGAAGTGTCAAGACTACAGGAACGGGTCAGTCAGGAGCCAGGAGAGGAGATGACAGGAAAGGATATTAGACAATAGGATGAGCCAGATGCCAGGAAAGGATAGGACCGTAGAGCGAGGAGAGTCAGTCAGACACTGCAGGAGTCTCGACTGCAGGATTCGCTGCAGGAGTCTCGACTGCAGGATTCGCTGCAGGAGTCTCGACTGCAGGATTCGCTGCAGGAGTCTCGACTGCAGGATTCGCTGCAGGAGTCTCGACTGCAGGATTCGCTGCAGGAGTCTCGACTGCAGGATTCGCTGCAGGAGTCTTGACTAATAGTGGAACAAGTCATGGCATGGCCTGGATGGAATGCATACTCGATTCATGATGTCACCGATCGTCAGATGCTCCTCTCTTTCCCAACCCTCCTCTTCCTCCCCTTCCTCCCCTTCCCCCTCCTCATCTCCACCTTCCCTCCCACCAGTCTCCCTTGCCGTCTCCGCTGCCGCTCGTCGCTCTTTCCACGTAGTTTCGCGTTTCTTCTCCGCATCTTCCACGTCATCTTCTAGAATCTCTTCAACCGCCTCGGCGTCTGGTTCGAGCCGAACCTCCTTCTCTAGATGGTGCGACGCTCCAGGTGCATTGTGAGAGCCCTCAGAACGTGTCGCCATTAGAGTCGACTCAAAAGCTGGTTCAAGCCGAACCTACTTCTCTAGATGGTGCGACGCTCCTGGTGCATTTTGAGAGCTCTCAAAACGTGCCGCCATGCGATATAGCTTCGCGAAGCGACGAATTTACTGTTCAGGAAGTAACCCTAATCTACATGTGATCGCAGCACTTCGAACGGGCTCCAGTGCTAGCTGGTAAACAAAACTGATGTATGTCCCTGTATGTCGTTGTGGTTATATCACCAGGGAAAAAACGCTTCAGAAACGTCGCTAGGCATTATACAGGAGAACAGATAAAGGCAACTGGTCGAATCGCATAGAGGAATGAAGGGGCGACGATCGCTGCTGGTGCCACTAAATGTTGCTGCTCGTGGATTCCTGTTATCCCAACACCTAGAACAGGCTCGCAGCTAGGACTTGCGAGTTCATTCTCCAACCCCCACCTATGCTGCTGCTGTCGCAGTCTACGTACTCGACTGAGACCAACTCTTTAGTGTTATTGAACTAACTCACCGCTACTCATCCTAATTCAGTTTGCTTGCAAAATTAGAAAAAAATGGCAAACTCAAGAGAGTAAAAACCGTAGAAAAAAAATTCTGTGTTACATACACACCAGAGAAGATTAGACCTACACATAAAGTAAAATAATGTATTTACTGGAAACATTATTTGGACAATGAAAATTATGCAATCTGTGTAGGATTGTTGTTCGCCGTGGTACCCCCCAGCTTGCTCGTTATGGCGTAATCAAAGCAACGTCTAAGAGGGTCATTCCAAGGCCCACATTGAAAGTACCAAATTGGGAGCTACTTTCAGCACCCGCATTAGTAGACGGCTGCTCGACTGAAACCTCGCGAGTCACGACATGGTTAATGTGGTTGCATTGAACTGTATGGAGCCGGTCCGAAATCGTAAATGACCTGCATTTAGGTTCTTAGCAGTAACGACGTACAGTATTTTGGTTTTTGATGCGAGGCAACTAAAGCAGTACTTCATAGCGGTTTATTATGACGCGTACGCACGCGTCAAGCCCTGGGGTCCTCATGAGGCGACTCCAGGCGGCTCTTACTCGTCGCATTCTGCCTCTCGCGGTCGCACTGACCGTCGCATACCTGACATTCTTCGAGCTCGTGCGACCAAGCCTCCTCTCCGCCGATATCGCACAGTCGCCCGGCTCGCCGCTTTTCCCGCAAAGCGGCTGCGAGACGGCGAGGAACTGTCGCGGTACACTGCTGGACAGATATGTCTATAGCGCGGATGCGGAATTTAGGTGAGCTTGTCAACGGCTACATGCAGTACAAACCATTCGCCTCTGCAGAAGGACACGGGTTCGAAACTAGCCTCTACACTCCACAGCCTTCCCTCCCACCCGCGGCTGAATAGTGCTCTCACTCTCACCAACCCATCCTACTTATGGTGTTTTTTGTTCTCTCTGCCCTGCTGTTTGCAGGTGGAAGGACACGGGCAATCGCATGCGGGCCAAGGAGTCTGGTGGGTGGTGGACGGGGTATGTGCTGCTGGTGAACACCCACCGCTGGCTCAACCGAACCGTCACCAACCGCTTCTCCTGTGGCACCACCTCACTCTCATTGTGAGCCCTGGCATTTGCATTGTTAGTGTCACTACTGTCAGCTGGCACGTTCAGTGGGTGGTGGGTGGTGGACGGGGTACGTGCTACTGGTGAGCAACACCCACCGCTGGCTCAACCAGTACCGATTCCTCTGGTGACACCACCTCACTCACTCTCATTGTGAGCGAGCACTCGCATTCGGATGCACCTTAATGACATGCACATGATTGTCCTGCTTTGTGACTCGCAGGCGCCAGACGACATGCCGAACCCCTGCAGGGGCCTCGTGCTTTTCTTCATTGTCTCGCGCGTCTCAACACATGTCCTGTCCTGGTGCTTCTCCATCCGTCCCTCCTCTCACCCTCCCAGGCGCCAGACAACATGACCCACGCAAACAAGGGCCTCGTGCTCTTCTTCATTGGGGCGGGGTGGAGCGACGATGGCAAGGACGTCAGCGGCTACCACGTGCCCAAGGCCAGTGGCGTCCTCTGTGTCTCATTGCGTGTCCTGTGCCTCTTCCATGCTCTCGCCCTCCCTCCCAGGCGCCAGACAACATGCCCAACGCCAATAAGGGCCTCGTGCTGTTCTTCATTGGCGCGGGGTGGAGCGACAACGGCAAGGACGACCGCGGCTACCACGTGCCCAAGGCGGATGCTGTCTTCATCCGCGTTGCTGCCCCGTGAGTGGGAGGGGCGTGAGTGGGAGGGGCGTGTGACTAGGAATGGTGCGTGAGAGGAAGTGGAGTGAGAGGAAATGCTGTGGTATCCATCAGCGTCCTCCCCTCTGCCCTCCACTCTGGTGTGCAGCCTGGTGGTGGCCCAACCAATGATGCCCTGCCCATCATGGGCATAATGGGCGTCATGCTACACGAGAAGCAGCCAACAATGCCCATCAGTCCCCGTGTGCCCCGTGCATCTCCCCTTCTTCCCACCCTCTCTCCGTCCTCTCCCTCTCACCATCTCGCCTTGCATGCAGCCTGGTGGTGGATCTTGGCATAATGGGCGTGATGCTGCACGAGGAGAGCAGCCCATGATGCCCATCAGCTTCCCCTACTCAGTCTGCTACGCCACACGGTTGTGCCACTGTGCGATGCCCCCATAACAGCCTGGTGGTGGATCTGGGCATAATGGGCGTGAAGCTACACGAGGAGCCCATGATGCCTATCACCTTCCACGTCACTCCCATCCGCTTCCCGCTGCCCCTCTACTCACCACTCTGCTATGCCGCTCTGCCATGCCCCAATTGCAGCCTGGTGGTGGATCTGGGCATAATGGGCGTGATGCTACACGAGGAGCCCATGATGCCTATCACCTTCCACGTCACTCCACCTGGCATCAGCAGCAGCAGGAGCCAGAAGCTTCAGGAGGAGGAGATCATAGCGTGTAAGCCAGTCCCTCTATATCGCGTATTCCCCCTGGAATCAGCTTTCACGTCACTCCACCTGGCATCAGCAGCAGCAGGAGCCAGAAGCTTGAGGAGGAGGAAATTAGTGCATGTAAGCCAGTCACCCTATATCGCGTGCGTACCCCAAATGACCCATCCACATGCCCAAATGACCCATCCACATACCCATCACATTACCTCGCGCCCCCTTCCCCATCCTCTCATCTCACCCCACCCGCCAGTCACGCTCGCCATGGCACTGCAAGACCCCTCCACCCCCGAGTGGTCCATCTACATGCCCATGGCCAAATCGGTCATTCGAGCCATGGATGCTGCTCAGCTCGCTGCAAGGGAGCTGATTCCCCACGTGCCGGTGAGTGAGTGAGTGAGTGAGTGAGTGAGTGAGTGAGTAAGCGAGTGTGTGCCAAGTAAGGATGGCACTGCATGACTCCACCCACCACCCCCAAGTGCCCATCTACATGCCCATGGCCAAGTCGGTCATTCGAGCCATGGATGCTGCTCAGCTCGCTGCTAGGGAGCTCATTCCGCACGTGCCGGTGAGTGAGTAAATGCGTGTGTGCGTGAGCAAGGGAGTGAGTGTATGTCTGTCAAGTACGGATGGTTCTGCAAGACCCAGCTCATCATCCCATGCCACTCTCTCGAACAGTCCTTGACCATTCAGTGGCGCTGCAATGGTCTCGTTCGTTCACTCTTCCAAGACCGCCGATGCCTTGCGGGCCCCCTCCCCATCCCCACTCCCCCCCTTCCCTTCCCTCCCTCTTCCCCCTGCAGGTGGAGGGCTTTGTGACCGTTGGAGTGAGCAAGCGCGCATGCATGGCTTGGATCTCTGCTGCTCTCGACAAGGCATGTGCTTATCTGATGCTTCCTCTCTGCCGCTCTCCACATTCTTGTTGGTGAATTGTCAGCAATGTGTATGAAGGAGGTGTTTATGTGTTGGTGCAGGTAATCCATCCAGATGGATTTGATCGAACGTGGCTTTTTGTATTGGCTTTCACATTGCATCTCCTCCTCCCATCATTCTTGTTGTAGACTTACAACCTTTTGGTCCTTAGACCAACCAATCCCAACTTAGCTACATTGTGAGGTTGCTTGCTCCACAAGGCACCTCACCATCGGCCAACTTAGTGGCCAATAGGGTTAGCTCTTCCTCAACTCCTCCTTTCTTGCCTGCTTGTATTATAGAATCTTTTGGCTCTTTACTAAGACATTTTCTTCAATTTTAACAATTCTGCATCGCGGTTCTGCTCCCTTCATGACGCCAGTGGAAGCCTTCATAACGTAATCTCATCAACTTCCAGCCCAACGTGCAGTGCAGCACAGCACCTGCTTGACTGGACTTAACTTTACTTGACTTGACCACCCAAGCCCTACGCTCTCCTTCCCTCCCTCTCCCACTCTCTTCCTCCCTCCACAGCGAGTGGTGGCCTTCATATCGTACGGCTACGATCTCATCAACTTTCAGCCCAACATGCAGCACCTGCTGGACTCCCTGGGGGCCGTGCCTTTCCGAGTCCACTCACATTCTGCCTCTCTATCCCTCTCCCCCTCCCCCTCCACAGCGAGTGGTGGCCTTCATATCGTACGGCTACGATTTAATCAACTTTGAGCCCAACATGCAGCACCTGCTTGACTCCCTGGGGGCAGTACCCATCTTGGGGCGGTTCTATGCGGACTTCAACCTCACACAGATGCTGCACTCGCCTCAGATGCGGCACATTATGGTGAGAAGGGAAGGCGGCACGGACTATTGGTGTGTGTTTCAAAAGTTTCTATGCGGATTACAACCTCACTCACATGCTGCACTCGCCTCAAATGCGGCACATCATGGTGATTCAAGGCGCCTAATAAAAACTCCCACCACCTGCATGCTGCTGCACTCGCTCTGCACTCCCTCCTACCTCTGCCATGCAGGGCTAAACGGATCTGTGGTGCTACTCGCGTGTGATGAGTTGGTTTTTCAGTCGACTCAAAAACCGACTCGCCCTGCACTCCCTCCTGCCTCTGCCATGCAGGCCTGCACTCCCTCCTGCCTCTGCCATGCAGGCCTGCACTCCCTCCTGCCTCTGCCATGCAGGCCTGCACTCCCTCCTGCCTCTGCCATGCAGGCCTGCACTCCCTCCTGCCTCTGCCATGCAGGCCTGCACTCCCTCCTGCCTCTGCCATGCAGGCCTGCACTCCCTCCTGCCTCTGCCATGCAGGCCTGCACTCCCTCCTGCCTCTGCCATGCAGGCCTGCACTCCCTCCTACCTCTGCCATGCAGGGCTAAACGGATCTGTGGTGCTACTCCAACTACCACCTCACTAACCGCGCCCAAGCTGCTCATCTTCTAGGCCCCTGAAAGAGCTGCTTATCCTCTTGAACCCCTCCCAACCCCTCTGCACAGAGCTACACCGACCCCTACTTCTTCCGGGAGCGCCTCACGATGCCCAAGCTGCTCATTGCCGCATCCAACGACGAGTTCTTCTCCATGGATGACTCGTGAGTGCCCCATGTATACATTTATACATATAGTCGTATGTACGTATATACACATATACATATGTGAGAAATGAGATTAAGATATATGTATATATGTATGTATATATCCATGGGCTTTCCAGACCCAGCATCTGCACGTTTGATTCAGCACAAACACGCATCTGATTCGGTTGCGCACACTCCGTTCCGTTTCTGTCCCCCACTGAAGCAAAAGCCACACTGGCTCTTGAGTCGACACAAACGCCACGCCCATTCTGTCACCCGCGCTAGCTTGATTTGCACGCACCCACTCTCCACCTGTCATGCTCTCACTCACCCCTGGATGCAAGTGCACTCGCCTTGGCCCTGCTTAAAAAAAGTGACTTGTGAGTCGACTCAAAGTCACCTCTTCTCTCACTCACCCCTGCATGTTGATGTGCGCTTGGCTCGGCAGGTACTTCTATTACAGCGACCTGCCAGCCCCCACGCTGTTCAAGATTGTGGCCAACCTGGACCACATGGTCATTCAGATGTCACAGTGGGTACGTCTATGGTCTACCACCCCTCCTCATTCAATCTCTTCCCTTCTCACCGTCTCAGCCCACCGCCTTGTTCACCCCTCTCCCGTTCCCTTGTCCAATTGAGCTCCCTCTTTTCCCCACGCTGCATCTCCCTCCTCTTACCTCCCCTGTTCCTGATTCCCTCCCTTTCACTCCTCTCCCACTCTCATTCCCCCTGTCCCCTCCCCTCCCCACAACATCCCAGGCATATGATGCGTCCCTCTCCTTCCACGTGAAATGAGTTGTGTTCTGAGTCGACTCAAAACACGACCCACCCAATCGCCACTATCCACACCTCCCCTTTTTCCCCACCATCGCAGGCCTATGATGCGTCCCTCTCCTTCTTCTCCTCTCTCCTCCACATCAACTCCTCCTGCGTCTCTCTACCCGCCTCCTCCCGCCCTTCCCTCACCTGGACGCACCCCATCCCCACCCCCACCACCACCTCATCCTCCTCATCCTCCTCCTCACTCGCTCAAGACCGTCTTCCTTCTAGTCTCTCGGAGAGAGAGGCAGGAGCAGCAGCAGCAGCGGCGTTAGCGGCGTCGGCAGCAGCACACACCCGCCCCTGGAGCTGCGTTCCCAGGCTGCCAGCTGTCGACTGGCCGCGGCTGACGTGGCGGTTTGACTGGCCCACGTTCACCATTCATGCCACGTCAGACAGGAAGCCATTGGCCGTTAGAGCATGGTGAGAGCGAGGGCACGGAAAGGGGGCGGGGGGGTTGAATGGGATAGAGAGGGATGGAGAGCGGTATAGACCAAGAGGCTGTTGACTCGATGGAAGCGATTCAAGAAGCATTCCATTCACTTATGACTTCCCTTCACCCATTCCCCCATCCTCCCCCGTCTCTTCCCGCCCCCACTTCCCCCCGCCACCTTCACGTTGTCCCAAGTGCAGGACAGGGCGCACCAGTCAGGGCAGCAGGCGGCGAGACTTCCGGTTTATTGTTAAGCAGGGGCTTACCGGGTGGTAAGTGGTGTGGTGTGAATGGGTGGTGAGTGGTGTGAATGGGTGGGCCCGGAGTGGTGTGAACCATGTGCATGTGATGTTGCACGTTGTTCAACAAGAAAAATTGTTCTCCTTCTCACCTCTCCATTCATATTCACCATGCGCTCCATTTCCCTCTTTCCTTCTACCCCTTCTGGCCCTATCCTTGCCAGCACAGTTTGGTTTGACCAAATGATTAACCCTCAAAAGTCTTGGTGGCCTTAAACCTCCTCTCTCCCCCTTCACCTCTCCTGCCCCCATCCCCCTCCCCAGCACCGTTCCCGTCACGAGTTTACCAAAAACCTATACAGCCAAGTTCGGCACGCTCTGTGTGTAGCCCATCCTGTTCACACAGCATGCCGTCTCACCTTTCCCATTATGCCAATTTCACCTTTCCCTCCACCCCTCCTGCCCCATCCTCCTGCCCCCATCCTCCCCAGCACTGTCCCCTTCACGAGTTTACCAAAGACCTACATAGCCAAGTTCGGCACAATCTGTGTGCAACCCATCCCCTTCTCCCAGTATGATGTCTCACCTCCTGTGCTGCAACCTGACGGGTTATGGCACTTCAGCTCCTCCATCAAAGACATTCCCAAGGTGAGTGTGCTCCAAGGCTTCAGCTCCTCTATCGAACACGTTCCCAATATGGGAGATTAAATGTCTAGAAGGCACTTCAGCTCATCTGTCAAAGACATTCTTAAGGTGCGCACCTTTTAAGACGTTTCAAAGGCTTTTTAAGCTCCTCCGTCGACGGGTTTTGCGGCACCTCAAAAGACTGACCCTGACATTTGTCCTCCCTCCATAACCCATACTGCGCTCTCTGCTATTTACTTGCCGTATTCTTGTCATCCATCCTTTGCATACAGTGACACATCCCAATGACGATGTCCATCCATGACCTTGTTCAACCTGGTTTACCGTATTGGCCTCGCCTGTTTCCCCCCACATCCTCTGCGGCACAGGTGGGTTATCGAGCAATGTTTATCGAGGTTGATTTCAAGCACGGCCCCTTACCCCAAGCCACTCGTTCTCACCCAACTTGCTCTCACCCTGTTGTCTCCCTCTTACCTTGTCTGTTGCTCCACGGCACAGGTTGGCTATCGGCCAATGTTCATTGAGGTTGAGTTCAAGCACGGCCCCTACAACAAGCCACTCGTTCTGACCACCGAAGCCATGATAGCACCCAACACGTTCCCCTTTGCCCCATCCTCTGTTGCTCTGCTGCGCAGGTGGGCTATCGAGCAATGTTTATCGAGGTTGAGTTCAAGCACGGGCCCTATCCGAAGCCGCTCGTTCTCACCACTGAAGCCATGATAGCACCAAACACGTTCCCCTTTGCCCCATGCAATACCACAGCTTGCTTGACTCACTTTGCGTGATTCTGCCATCAGGTTTTCTTTCCGATGTTGTGCGTAGGCGAGGCACAAAATTAAAGAAAATGGAAAGGAAAAAAAATATATTAAATCTCTGCCTTCTCTGGCACAACCTACTTTTCTGCATTAAAACCGGGGTCCCAAACAGCCCCAAACTGCCTCAACCTTCCTAACTTTGGGAAGGTGTGACCAGGTAGGTACCAACTCAGTTCGCAAAACGGGGGACAAATTTCGTCACACGAAAATACTGTTGGAGCTCTGGCGACAGCAGCGAGATTGTCGCAAACAAATTTAGAGCCCGTCCGAAACTATTTGCGAACAAGTTCTGACGTTGCAATCCAGATCTGGTTATACTCGCGAATTGTAATTCCCTTCGCAACCCCAGACCACCGATTTCGATACACACCCAGGTTCGCGAGCCAGTAGCGTTTCCTGGCCCAACCAACCTTCCTAACTTTGTGAGTCTTGGACCTCCGGTTTTAATGAATGCTACCAAGGAGAACCCTACCCACCTAGGTATGGGATAGCGCCCTAGTTAAGCTGCTAATGCCAGTGTTCAATCTGGAAGTCTACACCTAGAAGGGTACTCTTGTAGAGTGAGAGAGAACGAGGGAATTATGATCCACCCCATGACATGCCACCTGCCAAAAAACACCAAGACGAGCTGGTTAGTAGCCTGCTTCACCCAACGCATAGAGAGGCAATTGCTCAACAGCTGAAGCACAAAGTTTGGTGTGAGTCACCATGGATTGGAGGGTATGGAAGCGGTCGGTGCTGAGATACAATGGCTTGCCACGCCGCAGGTTCTCATCCTGGTGAATGAATGAGATGTGGTGCACAGTGATGCACGCTAGGTACCATTAGAGTAAGCAAAAAGTTAGAGAGAGAAAAAAAAAGGTAATCTCAGCAGATAAAAGGGGCCAAAACTCCTGCTCTGAAGAATCTAAGAGATTTTAACACTTACTCACCTCTTCGCCATATGCATCAAGATAGGGTGAAGGCCACGCGGCATAGCGCATTCGGCGCAGCAGCATCACAGAAGTGCGCTGCAACCGGGAGGATAATGGATAATAGGGGAAGGAAAAACAATGTCACATGCAGGGGAATTTTGAGGTGCCTCATAAGGAGGATAAGGAATAACAAAGGAGGGAACAAAAAACCGATAGCAGAAAAAAATGCATATCTACACAGCGCCATGGCACAATACGTGCACTGCAAATGTTTTGAGACGTCTCAAAAATACATATCTACAGCACACTACGTGCACTGCACATGCGCATGGCCATGGCCAAAGGAGCAGAACGACAGAGGAAGCTTATCACACTGCACATGTACATGGCCATGCACATAACCATGGCCGTGACCCCCACACACACATACCCGGAACTATGTCAGACGATCGACTGAACATGCACATGGCCGTGACCATGCACACACACATACCCGCACGAGAAGGAAGACCCCCAGGCCAGCCCCGCACTCCTTGGCATGTGCATAGCTCCCCCCACAGCAGCCCCTCTTGGTGCTTCCACTCCTCGACTCGTGCACACGGCTGCAGGGAGGGGCACGGGAGCAAGGGGAAAGGGGAAGGGGAGTGGGAGTAGTTATGCGGTGTGAATGACAGCAACGCTTTGCCCCCCCAGAATGTGTGTGTAGCTCCTTTCACAGCAACCCCTCTTGGTGCTCGCACTTCTTGACTCATGCACACGACTGCAGGGAGGGGCACAGGAGAGCACAGAAAAAGCACAGGGTAGTCAAAGGTATGGTGTGCATTGTTGTGAGGCGGTTGGACAAGCAAGGGACCAACGGGAAGAATAAGTTGAAGCATTGGATGTGGAGAAACAGGGAGGCAGCGGGTGGGGTGGGGTGGGGTGGGGGAAGGAAATCGAGGGGGACACCTGGTGGAACCACAGAGCAGCGCGGCACAGAGCAGGCAGAATGCAGGCTGCCTGTTCGTATCTGACTTTTGAGACGTCTCAGACGAATATCACCGCAAAATACAAAGAATGGTTGGGGCAGTGCGAGGAGCCCACCTGGTGGAACCACAGAGCAGCGTGGCACAGAGCATACAGAAGGCTGGCTGCTACAGCGTGGCACAGAGCATACAGAAGGCTGGCTGCTACAGCGTGGCACAGAGCATACAGAAGGCTGGCTGCTACAGCGTGGCACAGAGCATACAGAAGGCTGGCTGCTACAGCGTGGCACAGAGCATACAGAAGGCTGGCTGCTATGGCACCAGCTGGTGTTTGGCTGTTGAGACGTCTCAAAATAAGTTTCATCTCGTCACACAATACAAAGAAGGGGTGGGGGCAGTGCGAGGGGCTCACCTGGTGGATCCGCAGAGCAGCGCAGCGCAGAGAAGGCAGAAGGCAGGCTGCTCCGGCAGCAGCTGGCACTTGACTTAATGAGACACCTGGTGGGGCAGTGCGAGGGACGTACCTGGTGGATCCGCAGAGCAGTGCTGCGCAGAGAAGACAGAAGGCCGGCTGCTCTGGCACCAGTTGGCACGATGCACACGGCTCATTCACGTAGCTGCAAAAGGGGAGGAGAGGAGGGTGGAGAGGGTGAGGAGAAGTCTGAAGCGCGGCAGGAGGCGGCAAGTAGAGGTAGCAGTGGGGGAGGGGAGAGGGCACAAACACAACACAGCAGGAGGGAGTTCAGGAAAATTGCATGGAGAGGGCAGCGGCGGAGGGCTGGGAAGGGGAGGGGAGGGTGAAACTGACCGCTGGAAGAAATCGAGGTAGCGGTGGGGGAGGGAGACGAGGCGGAAGGGCAAGGCGAGCGATGGCTGGTGCAATGACAGTGGCGAGATGACTGCAGTCACTGCTGCTGCCGCCGCTGCCGCCGTTGCAGCTGCCGGTGCTGTTGCTGCTGCTACTTCTGTCGGTGCTGCTGCAGGAGCAGCAGGTGATGAGCCTGGCCTAGCAGCAGTCGCAGCATTAGCAGCATTGGCAGCAGAAGCAGCAGCAGTGGCAGCGTGGCGGCACCAGGAGAGCATCAGGTGCACAGCGGCAGGGTCAGAGAGCAACACAGAGAGAGGAGGCAGCTGGAACTCCCGCTCCCACACTGCTGCCTCCGCCACCTCCTGCTGTGCCAACAGGTGCGTGTCTCCCACCCAGGGGGGCAGGGCTGTGGTGGCTGTGGCTGTGGATGGCTGGTTCTGAGGCGCCTCAAAACTAGACCGCTCCCACACTGCTGCCTCCACCACCTCCCGCTGCGCCAATACCTGTGTGTCTCCCACCCAGGGGGTTAGGGCTGTGGTGGCGGTGGATGGTGAGGGTGATGATGATGATGATGGTTCTGGTGGTGATGGGGGTGGTGGTGATGGGGGTGGTGGTGCTGCTGATGATGATGGTGGTGGGGTCTGTGGGGTTGTGGGAGGGAGTGACGCTGGTCCTGGTTGGTTGGGATGCTGGCGGTGGGAGGGTGGAGGAGTGGAAGTGGACGGGGGACAGAGAGAGGGAGAGGGGGCTGGGAACGAGTAAACTGAGGGGTGGGAGGGGATGGCTGGCGGTTGGGAGGGGAAGAGCAAGGGAGGCGCGGAGGGCATGAGCAGCAGCGGGAGGACGTTGTGGGAGAGGAGGTGCAGGAGCAGGGCAGAGCGGCGCAGGAAGGGCAGGGAGAGGCGACGCAGGGCATCAATGAACGAGGTCTGCTGGAGAAGCAGATCGGGCAGGAGAAGAGTAGAGGGGGAGGAGGGGGAGGAAGGTGTGCCGAGCGAGAGAGTTGGTGGTGGTACTGCTCCTGCTGCTGCTGCTGCGGTTGTTGCTGGGGCAGAGGACGGTGCGGTGGGGGCGTTTGCAGCAGCCCCAGCAGCACCTGTTGGGGAAGCAGCAGCAGCGAGCGCATGCAGCATGGAGGCGAGGAGAGACGAGAGGAACGGCGGCAGAGCAGAAACGTGCTCAGTGACGCCAGTAGGGTCCGCGGATGTCTGATGCAGGGTGGAGGAAGCAGGGGAGGGGAGCGCAGGAGGAAGAGGAGCAGGGAGCATGCCGAGGCGGACGGCGGCTGGGGCGAGGAGTAGCAAGGCTTGAGCCACTGCTGCTGTGTACGCCAACCGCACTGCATCCCTCACCACACCTGCCGTGCCCTCCTCCTCTCTGCTTGCTCTGTGCTCCAACAAACCTGAAGCTCTGTGTTGAGATGCGTTAGACGGCGAGGTGAGGTGGGGCAGGGGGAGTGGGAGGAGGCAGTAGAGGAGGCGGGAGAGGGAGAGGAAAGGGTCGCGTACGAGAGTGGGGGAGGCTACGAGGAGGAGAAAGGCGTTTTCCTCCGGGGAAGAGGATGAGGATGGGGAGGCGGAGAGGGAGGAGGGGAGGGCGGGAGGTGGGGAAGTGGAGGTGGAAGCAAAGGAGGAGGAGGGATGCGCGGGGTGGGAGGGGTGGGAGTGGGAGAGGTGGGGGGGATGCAGGGAGAGGGGAGAACTAGATGAAGGGACTGCTGCGGATTGTGCTGCTTCTGATGGTGCCCCAGGGGCCAAGCTGTCGACCAATAGCAGCATGCCACGTGTCCTGAGCATGACAGCGTGTGTGCTGTGAGACGCCTGCGCCACTGCCAGCCGTGCCAGTGCCCCCACTGTGCCCTCCGCCTTCCTCTTCCTCCCCTGCGACCCCCCCTGCGCCCCCCCCTGCGGCCCCCCCTGCGGCCCCCCCTGCGGCCCCCCTTCCGCCCTCCCCTGCATCCTCTCTATAAGCTGCCTCCTCAACTCCTGATACCTCCTCTCCTCCTCCAAGGTACCACTGCTGCTCTCCCCTTCACCACCACTGCTCCTCTCCTCACCACTGCTCACCTCTCTTCCTATGCTGTTCCCTCCTCCTTCCTCACTCCTCCCTTGACCACTACTGCTGGTATCCCCTCCCACCTCCATGCTTCTTGAACTCCCGATTTGAATTCCACTACTGGACCCACCTCTCTCTTGCCTTCTCATGCTTGCTCCCTCACACCCGCTCTCCCCTCCCTCTGCTCTTCCCTCCATCCACTCCCCCTTCCACCCTTCCTCCTCAGCACAAGCAGCCAATGCCGCGACTCTCGCCTCAGCAGTAGCCAACCACATCGCGCCACCTGTCCTCATCCTCGCCGCTGCTGTCTCCCCCAGCCCCCAGAACTGTGCTGACGTGTCAACCCTGCCAGCTGGACAGCCAGGTGGCGCCCCTCGCCCTGCCAGCTCAGCACAAGAAACGGTGTACTCCAGACTCTGCCAGATCAGCAGGCCTTGGAGCTCGCGGCCAAGCGCCACATGGCGGAATCTCGACGAATCAGAACGCGCCACCTGGCAGATGCGCATGGCCGTGGCCTCGATAGCCTCCTGCATACGTGGAGGCTGTCTGGTTACCATGTCTTGTGGAGCAGTTACCGCATTACCTGTTACCGCGTCACCTGTAACTGCGTTACCTGTTTCCCTAGGATAAGAGGGGTTAGAGGAACCACCCCTGATCATACCCTCAGTGCTGCTCGTGGTGTTTCCAGCACTCGAATCCCTTCTTGACGCAGCTCTGGTGCCGAGCCTGCCTTCACCGGACCTGACAGCAGGTTCGGCAACGATGCAGGCTCGGAGGTTACGCTCTCTCACCCTGCTCTCCGCCTCCCTTATTCTCCACACTGCACCAGCCAAACCAGACGCACCAGTTGACACGCCTTCAGACCCACGCCCCCCAGTCTCTCCTGCTGCTACTCTAGGCACTGCGTCTGCTGCTGCTGCTGCTGCTGCTCCTGCTGCTGCAAACCCTTCTGCTGTTGCTGCTCCAATCTGCACTGCTTCTTGTGCCCCTCCTTGGTTCTCAGCAGGTGCAGCAAGGGGGATGGACGGGTGAGCCCCAGGGAGAGGAGAGGAGGGCAGAGGAGTTGGGAGGGGACGCGAGGGAAGGGGTGGGGAGGGCAGAGGCGGGGAGCGTGATGGGAGCAGAGGGAGCGTGGCGTTGGCGAGGCGGCGGCACACGGGACACAGGAACTCGCCCTGTGATGTGGTGTGGGGTGGTGTGGGGCAGGGGGGAAAAAAAGGGAAAGTAAGCAGGATGAGATTGAGGGGTGGAGAAGGGAGGACAGGCAAGGTGAAGAGACAGTAAACGAGCATTGTGTATGAGGAAGCAAGGGGTGCTCAATCATCGTTTTGACATTTTGAACCAATTGCACCGTGAACCAATTGCACCGTGAACCAATTGCATGGCATGGTGCACCGCACTTTTGAGGCGCCTCAAAAGTCTAAATCATCGTTTTTGACATTTTGAACCAATTGCATGGCATGGTGCACCGCAGTGACTTTTGAATCGACTCAAAAGTGACATTTAGAGCCTATTGCATGGCATGGTGCACCGCACTCACCGCTTCAGGGTCCACCACTGACGACCCCTCATAAAAGGAACCGCTCAGATACCTGCCAGCACGGCACAGGGGGAGGTGGGGACAGGTGGGAGCAGGTGGGGAAAGGCAGGGAGGTTTTCATTAGACACTTCAAAAATCGTCCCACCCCACCGCTTCAGGGTCCACCACTGACGACGCCTCATAAAAGGAACCGCTCAGATACCTGCCACAAGCCATGCGAGGGGGGCAGGTGTGTGGAAAGAGATGCGGAGCGGTCGGGAGAGGTGAGTTTTGAGACGTCTCTACCTCAGGGTCCATCACAGACAAAGTCATTCTTCGTTGCAGGCTAACTCTGGAGAGTTCTCAAAGTCCTTTGAGAAAAAAGCCACTCACTGCTGATAGAGACGTGGAAAGTAACTGATCCATGTACTAGTGGTGCAATGCCGGGTCTATGCATGAGTGATAGATAAGACACACACCCATCAATAGCAGCGCCACACTCACCTCTGGTAGAGACTACAGAAATACTGATCCATGCACGAGTGGTGAATCACATGCCCACACCCCTTCACACACACCCCACTCGCCATTCCCCCGCCCACCACCGCCCCACTCTCCCTCTCCTCCGCACCCCTCCCTCTCCCCCCTGCCTGCCCAAACAGATCCGCCCTCCCCGAGATGCCCCTGCGTCTCAGCCTGGCAGTGCGCCTGATGGGGGGAATGTTCATCCAGAACCCACCCAACGCAACTCACCAAATGTCCACCCCTAGAACCCACCCCACCACTCACTCACCTCTGGTAAAGGCTTGAGAAGTACTGGTCCATGCACGAGTGGTGAATCACATGCCCACACCCCTTCACACACACCCCACTCGCCATTCCCCCGCCCACCACCGCCCCACTCTCCCTCTCCTCCGCACCCCTCCCTCTCCCCCCTGCCTGCCCAAACAGATCCGCCCTCCCCGAGATGCCCCTGCGTCTCAGCCTGGCAGTGCGCCTGATGGGGGGAATGTTCATCCAGAACCCGCGAAACACCTCCCCCGCTGCAGCCTGCACCGCATCCAGCCTCCCCCTGGCTGCGCCAGCTCCCCCTTCCCCTGGGCGGACTCCCCCTGCCCCTGCGCGTGTCCCCCCTGCTCCTCCCCCTGCTACTCCCCCTGCTCCTGCCCCTGCGTGTGTCCCCCCTGCTCCTCCCCCTGCCCTTCCACCTGCCCCTGCTCGCGCTTCCGCTCCAGCCCCTGGAATGGCAGCGCCTGCTCCCACTCCTGCAGCAGCAGCTGGCAGCGTGGCAATGGGCGGCACTGTAGCAGTGGGCGGCACTGTAGCAACGGGCGGCACTGTAGCAACAGGCGGCACCATAGTAACCACACCACGAATGCCCGTACCAGCTACACCTGCCTGCTGCGCTGCTGCTGCTGCTACTACTGCTGCAGCTTCTGCAGCTGCTTCTGCTGCTACTGCTGCTGCTTCTGCTGCTGCTTCTGCTGCTTCTGCTGCTGCTGCTGCTGCTTCTGCCGCTGCTTCCACTGCTGCTTCTGTTGCTTGTGCTACTGCTTCTGCTATTGTTTCTGCTACTGCTTCTGCTGCTTCCCTTGTCACCCCTGGGGTCTGCCCCTCTTGCTGCCCCTCATCCCCATCCTCTTCTAACCCCTGACTCGCAGCATCTAGCATCACCTCATCCCCATCCCCATCCCCATCCCCATCCCCATCCCCATCCCCATCCCCATCCCCATCCCCATCCCCATCCCCATCCCCATCACCAACACCAGCACCAACACCAGCACCACCCTCCTCCGTGTCATTCCCATCACCATCCCTGTCCCCATCACCACTGTCATCATCAGTGTCTGAGAACATTTCCGCCCCCGCCTCTCCCATCTCCTCCTCCCCCAGCAACAGCAACCCCTGCCCATCCATCATCTCATCCTCCCCACCCTCCTCTCCCCCTCCCCCTCCCTCTTCCTCCTCTTCCTCCTCATCCTCTTCCTCCTCCCCTTCTTCCTCCACCTCTTCCCCTCCTTCCCCTCTCCCCGCCCCTCTCCCCCCATCCCCTCCCCCACCCTCTCGCTCAACAACCCCTTCAGCACCCTCCCCTCCCCTCTCCCCACCTCCCCTCTCACCATCTCCCCTCTCCCCAAACCCATCTCCACCGCCTCCCACCCCTTGCCACCCCTCGCCTGTGACTATAGTGGTGGTGAATCGCACCTCTCCTGGTAGTTCCTGCTGCAGAATGTCCATCAAATCCTCACCATCCACCTGCCACTCGCCCCTAGGCCCCTGTACAGTCACAGGCCCCCCTCCCCCCTCACGGAGAGTTGCTCTTATCCAGTCTAGAAACTCGGTGGCTTGCACCCACGTTCCCGTGGTTGTTGCTGTTGCTCCTGCTGCTCCTGCTGCTCCTGCTCCTTCTGTTCCGGTTGTCGCTGCTCCTGTTGCTGCTGCTGCTGCTGCTGCAGTCGTGTCAGTGCTGCAGCTGCAGCCGTTCCTTCGCCTGTGCCTGTACCCACACCTGCCCCTGCCCCTGCCCCTGCTCCTGCTCCTGCTCCTACTCCCGTCCCCAGTCCTGCTGCAGTCGTCCCACCAGTGGCACCAGCTGCAGCAGTTGCACGCCCTCCCCCCAGCACAATCACCGCTTGCCCCAACCCCTGCTGCTGCTGCCCTACGATACCCCCTGCCCCAGTCACAACTGCCCCAATATTTCCTGCCCGGGTCCCCCCTGCTCCTGTTACACCTGCTGTGTTAGCGGCCGTCACAGCAGTGTGGGAGGAAGTAGGCACGGCAGTGGGGGCAGCAGGGAGACGAGCACCGTGCTGCCAGGTGGGGGAGGGACGGCTGGAGAGACCCACAAGACGAGACTTCTGTTGGGGGTTGCAGGTAGACAGGAGACGAGAGAGGGGGAGAGGGGGATTGGAAGGCAGCAATAAGCACTGTGTTGCCAGGTGGGGGAGGGACGGCTGGAGAGACCCACCAGGCGAGACTTCTGTTAGGGGTTGCAGATGGATGAGAGGAGTAGAGAGTGGGAGGGGAGATTGTCGTGGGAAGATACTTAAAAAGAGCAGGAACGAAGCACACGCACATCAGAGAGTAGCACATGATAGATTATACAGGCGGGCACCTGGTGATATGCAACAGAGCAGCACCTGACATAACGCAGCGAGCCCAGCACCCACCTGACAGAAAACAATGTGACAGAGAGGAGAAGACGTTCCCCCCTTGTCTCCCTCCCTGCACAGCACACACTCCCTCTCCTCCTCTGCCTCCTCTTCCACCATCACCGCCTTCCCCTTCCGCCTCTTCCCTCGCTTCCTCCCCCCCTCCTCCTCACCCACTCCCATGTCCACATCCCGCCCATACTCCCACCCTCCTGTCTCCACCCTCCCCTTCTTCTCCTCCTCGTCTTCCTCCTCCTCTTCCTCTTCCTCTTCCTCCTCCTCCTCCTTTCCTTTGCCTTGATTCATGCTCGCTGCGAATCTTTGCTGCGCTGCCCGCATTTTTGCCTGTTTATTGAGGGAAACAATAAGCAGGAAAAGAATGGAAGGTTCTTAAGAAAAGAAAAGGAAAGAAAAGAAAGAAAGAAAAAAAAAAACAGTTCATTTTCCTACGCAGTGTCATAAAGGGTGGCATAATGAAGAGCACATACCAGCAGCGCCTGCTGCCTTGCTCGAGCAAACGCCTTCTTTGCATCTGCTTCACTCAACACCCCGCCCTCTCCCTTCTCCTCACCACCCCCGCCACCACCACCACTTCCCCTCCCACTCTCTCCAACCTCTGCCTCACTGCCCCCTATTCCCACACCACCCCCAACCTCCACACCTGCCCCTCCTGCTCCTCCTGCCCTTTCTGCCACTGCCACACCCGCTTTCCCAGCCCCTCCCCCGCCCCCTCCAACCACAGCCTTCCCCTTTCCCTTATCAAACTCCTCAGGACAAAGAACCTCCAGAGCCCTCCTGCACTCATCGCTTAGCTGAGAGAAGCGCTTAAGCAGCCGCAGCACTAGAACATGCAGCTCTGCCCGCCCCTCCCCCCCTTCCCCCCTTCCTGCTCCGCCTGCCCTCCCCCCAGCTGCTGTGCTTCCTCCCTCCTCATCTTCCGTTCCCCTACTAACATCTCCTCCAAACCCTAATCCCATCCCGGCACTACCAGCAGCACCAGCAGCAGCAGCAGCAGCAGAAGTGCTGTGCTTCGTCCCTGCCTGCCGCTGCCAGCACCTCAGCAAGCGCACGAGGAGAGCGAGCAGGGAGACCGGGGCAGCGTGGGAAGCGCGGAACCAGTGAGACGAGAGCGACGCTCCTGGCAGCAGGGCGAACAGCCCAGCGGCCGTGCTGCTGCTGCTGCCGCCTCCGCCGCCGCCGCCGCTGCTGCTGCTGCTGCTGTCAGGAAGCCGTGCTTCGAACGGCTGGCATGCGCGGGACAGGAGGGCCGGTGGCCAGTTTTGTCTTTTCTGCACAGCTGCATGGTCAAAATGACCACGTGCATCACCAGCCATCCAGTCCGCCCCTTCCACTTCCATGCCTGAACCTGAACCTTCTACTCCTTCCCTTCCTTCTCTTCCCTCTCTTGCTTCGCTTCGAGAACAACTGCTTATATCCCCTCCCACACGCCCATCCACATCCATCATCACCCCCTCTGCTTCACCACCCCCTTTTTCCGCCTTTGCTCTCTTATCTCCCTCTGCTCCGCCCTGGCCCTGCCGCTTCCCCCTCTTCTCTTCCTCCCTCTCCTTCTCCTCGGCTTCCTGCCAAGCAACGCAAGTGTCAAGAGCCAGAGCCAGCAGATGCAACGCAGCATGCAGCACATTATCAGGCGCACGTGACAACCCACTGCCCCCACTCCCACTCATTTCCCTCCCCTCCTCGTCCCACCACGCATGCAGCACCACCGAAAGCACCACATCATGCACGCCTGCTGACGTGGCGATCTCCCGCAGCCCCATCAACGGACGGACAGGATCGCGCCATCTCGGCGTCTGCTCCACAACCGCCGATCTCTTAACCGCCTCCGCATACCTCTCTTCCGCCCTCTGCAACTCCCTCGGCGCCCATCGTAAGCAGTACAGGTCCAGCTCCCTGTAACAGTCTCTTTTAAGTAAGTACCGCCCCTGCTCCATACCCGAGGGGCGGGAATAATCCGCGACAGCGGCGAGAACAGCGGGAATGGCGGGGTTTTCGGCGAAGCGGGGGGGGAGGGACTTGACGACGCTGCTGCGGGTGGCATTGCCGATGGCTAGGCGCTGCACTATCTCCCTCCGGAGAGCAGCAGTGGGGGGGAGGCCAGAGAAGGATCGCTCTGAAATGAGACGGATGAGGAAGGCCAGGCAGTCTTGGGCCACTGCAGGCTCGTATCTGCATGGTGAGAGGTGGGTGGAAACGGGGAGAGGGGGGGGAGGGAGGGGAGAAAGGGGAGGGTGTAGGGGTGGAAGAGAAAGGGCGGGGGAAAAAGGTGTGTAGGTATAGGGGAGAGGAAATGGGAGTAGGCGCTGCAAAATCTCTGAGGCAGTCCTACTGATTCTCTGACTTTTGAGTCGTCCCAACGGTTAGGGAGAAGTAGGAGGATTGGCTGTAGCAAAAGAAACCCTACTGCTTACTCTGAGGCAGTCCCGACAGTGAGGGAGAAGTAGCCGGTCAAGTTGTATCGCGCTACAACCTGGCGCACAAAAGCGTCAGGAGGAGCCGAGACAGCGGTGCACTGCAGGAGAAAGAGGTCCAACTCCAGGCTGTCCTCGCACCTGGCATGGGAAACACATGCATGATAGCATGCACAACGAGGCATGGCAGGGCACATGAGGGGAAAGAGGAGTTAGCAGGGTGAGGGGCCGAGACGGCGGTGCACTGCAGGAGAAAGAGGTCCAACTCGAGGCTGTCCTCGCACCTGGTGAGATACACATGAGAGCATGGCATGACATACGATATGAGTGGAGAGAGGGGTGTCATGAAGAGACTGACATGGGTTTCATGACCAAAAACGACCAGAAACGAAACAACGGAGGAATGACTGGACTGACCAGTGCACGGAGTGGTAGAGGTCGCAGAGGGCGACCATGGACTGCCCGTTCCTCCGCCACATGCCCGCTGATATCTGCGCACACAGCACCTGCACTCGCAACCCGTGCTCCTTACTGAGTCGACTCAAGAGTAGACCAATAACTAGACTCACCAGTGCACGGAGTGGTAGAGGTCGCAGAGGGCGACCATGGATTGCCCATTCCTCCGCCACATGCCCGCTGATATCTGCGCACACAGCACCTGCACTCGCAACCCGTGCTCCCTATTGAGTCGACTCAACAGTAGACCAATGACCAGACTCACCAGTGCACGGAGTGGTAGAGGTCGCAGAGAGCCACCATGGATTGCCCATTCCTCCTCCACATGCCCGCTGATATCTGCGCACACAGCACCTGCACTCGCAACCCGTGCTCCGCCACAGCTGCGAGGAAGCTTCCCCTCTGCAGCTTACTGGGCAGCAGGCGCAGCAAGCACAGCTCTGCCCCCTCTCCCCCTCCTCCACCCGCCTCATGCTCTCTCTCCCACTGCCTCTCTTCCATCTTATCCGGTGTACTCTCCACCATCCTTCCTTCCCCTTCCCTCCGCTTCAAGTCTTCCTGTGGGTCCCCTTGTGGGTCGGGCACGGGGCAGGAGAGGCGCAGCAGGGAGTGCAGGAGCAGCGCGAGCATGCGGTGCAGAGGCAGGTGGAACGACACCTCCTGTCGCCCCACATCGTACTCCACCACTGGCCACTCCAGCACAATCTCCGCACCCCCCTCAGGCCCCTTTGACATATAACTCGCCTCTGCCCTCTCCGTATCCATGGTGATACGGCGTTCCCCCGCCCCTGCCCCTGCTTCTGCCCTCGCCCCCAAAACTGCCCCTGGCCCTTCTCTTGCACCTCTTGCAGCAGTTTCTTCTGCCCAAGCCCCCTCTTGTGCCGTGTCTCCGGCCAAGTCCCCTGGTTCAACCCGGGGGGGAGGGAACGGCAGCAGCCCCTCCAGAAGCGACAGCTGCTGCCGCACCACCCACCAGCAGGGGCTGTTCAGGGCAGCGAGCGCACCAGCAGCAGCAGCGGAGAGAGGGGGGGCGGCGGAGGGGAGGGGAGCAGCAGAGAGAGGGGCAGCCTCTGTTGCTGCCGACGAATCTGTCTGCATGGCTGTTGCCGCTTCTTCCCCACCCCCTGCCACTCCTGCCCCTCCTGCACCCCCTGCCCCCCTTGCCTCTCCGTCTGCCCATCCTGCCTCTGCGCCTGCTGATTCGCCTGCGCCTGTGTGCCTGCCCTGTGCTCCTTCCCCACCTGTCGCCCTGAACCTAGACGCTCTTCTGAGCCAGTTGCTTAGAATCCCCATGTGCCCCCTCTGCATATGGCCCGCATCCTCTCCCTCCTGCCGTCCATGCTCCTCCCCTCCCCTTCCTGCACCCGCACCAGCAGCACCAGGGCCAGCAGCAGCAGCAGCAGCAGCAGCGGAAGCAGCAGCAGCAGCAGCAGCATTCCCCTGCCCATCTCTCAAACCTAATCTACCCAGCCCTGCACCCGCCCCCACCCCAGCACCCACCCCCGCTTCTGCTCCTCCCCCACCTTCTTCCCCTCCCTCTCTTCCTAACGCGTCAAGCCCAAGCGCAGGCACTACCTCTGCTCCTGTTGGGGCAACCCTCTGTTGACCCACTAACCCTGAACCTCCTGGGCTTCCCCCTCTAGAGCCTGAGCTGCCTGTGCCTGCTGCTCTGCCCCCCACAGCAGCAGCTGCCGCCCCTGCTGCTGCTCCTGCTGCTGCTCCTCGCCATGCCGGATAGGAACCTCCCTGCCCTCCCCACCTCGCTGCTGCTGCTGCCTCCTGCTGTCCCTCCCCCTCCTGCTCTCGCTCCTCCTCCTCCTCCCCCTCCTCCTCCTCCTCCTCCTCCTGCTGCTTCCCCAGCGTCACCCGCCGTGCTGCTTCGACCACCCACAGCCCCTCCCCCTCCACCTGCCCTCTCTGCTGTGGCGGCTGCAGCAGCAGCAGCTGCCTCAAAATCCAGGCTCATGAGTTCGTCCTGGGCCCACTTGAACGACAGCAGAGACGCTCCTGGAGAGTGAACGAGAACTGACGACAGTAACTGCGCCTGCTGCTGCTCCTGCTGAGGCTGCTGCTGCTGCTGCTGCTGCTCCTCCTGCTGCTGCTGCTGCTTCCAGAGCAGAAGCAGCCAACGGGGGAGCTGATACCCCCCTTGGCCTACCCCCACCAGCAGCCCCTCCCCCAGATCCACCTTCCCCAGACGAGCCTTCACCAGAGGGTCTACCTGTGGTGGCAGCGGCAGGCAGAGGGGCTAGCAGAGGCGAGGGCGGGGACACGGAGGGGGTGGGCCGCGGCGGGAGGGAGGGAGAGGTCATTCGAGCCATGGCTGCTGCTGCTGCACCTGGTAACAGCCCCAGTTGACTCAGCTGCCTCATCCCTCTCATTGCCGTCGCCCCCGCACCACCACCACCACCACCACCACCACCGGCACCTGCACCGCCACCAGCAGTACCAGCAGCAGCAGCAGCAGCAGCACCAGCAGCAGCACCGGCATTCCCAGCAGCGCCAGAGGGAAACGAAGCAAAGGCTGACCTGGTAAGCCCGAGAAGCCTCAGTGCCTCAACACTGCTGGCCCCACTGCCAAACGCTGACCCTAGCGACCTCAACCCCTCCACTGCCACCCACCGCGCCAGCACCCACGCGCACTCGTGCAGCAGCCGCACCAGCGCCGGAGGCACGCCGAACCTCGCCGCCACCTGCCGAACCTCGCAGGCTCGGGGGGGCAGGTATGTGTGTGTGTCCGCGTATGTGTGTGTGCGTGTCTCTGTCTCTCCCCAATCATCCACATATGCTTCTGGGTCAAAACCCTCTGCCTTCCCAGTGGTAGTAGCATCCAGTTCACCAGCCACACCCCCCCAACCCTCATCCCCAGGGATGGTCTCTCCTCCTGCTGTGCCACTACCATGCCCCATTGCTGCCTGCCCTGACTGGTCCCCTTGCTGCTGCCCTGCCCGCTGCCCTGCCTGCTGTCCTGCCTGCTGCCCTGCGCCCTCATCAACAAACCATCGTAAAGTCTTCCTCCTTCCGAACCCCAACCCCGGGAATCCTCCCCCTTCACCCGCTTTCTCCCCTACCTTCTCCCCTCCCGAACCTCCCTCCACCTGCCGGCCCTCCTTCCGAGCCTCCAGCCCAGGCACGGCGCTAGCTTCGGCAAGCAGCGGATTAACCGTCGCCAGCTGTGCTTCTAACAGGTAAGCGAAGCTCCAATCATCAGGCTCTATTGCCACGTGGGTGGTTGTGCGCCGTACATGTGGACACATGCCCTGGGCGGCTGCCAGCTGGCGCAGCCACGCGCGCAGCAGGTCCGGGCGACGGGCGGTGACGTGGCGAGAGGAGGCGGAATGGGAGAGGACGTATCGAATGTCGTCTGTGACTCGCCCGTTGCGCACCTCCTCTCGGGATAGCTGGGGGGAAAGGGAGGGAGGGGGTGGGGGGTTGTTGGCAAAAAAAGAGAGGAGGGCACATGAGGAGGCAGAGTGGGAAAGGACGTAGCGTATGTTGTCTGTGACTCGCCAATCACGCACTTCCTCCTGGGATAGCTGGGAGTAAGAGCGGGGAAGGGGATGGGGAAACGGTGGGCGGTTAAGAGGGGGGAGAGAAGGACACATGAGGAAGCGGAGTGGGAAAGGACGTAGCGAATGCCGTCGGTCACTCGCCCATTGCGCACCTCCTCTCGGGATAGCTGGTGGAGATGGAAGAGAAAACGAAAAGGGGAAGTTGGGGGGGCCGGGGGGGGGGGGGGAAGATGAGGGAGCAAAGTAGAAGAAGACTTGTCAATCACTCAGCCAATAGGTCAAATGAGGGAGTTTTCGCACCAAAACTCAAGCAGCTGTCCCACAACTCACATTGATGCGCCCATCTCGCCCCAGCGCCCCCTGCAGCATGCTCTGCAGGGTTCCCAGCAGGATATCCAGCAACCGAGCCTCTACCACGAGCCTCGGCGTCAGCACCGGCACCGTAAGAATCTGCACGGAAAAACTCTCCAGAATCGACACCCTATTCCCTGCACTCCCACTCCCCGCCGCTCCCCTTCCCCTCCGCCCCCCGCTCCCCCGCGCGCCCCCACCCCCCCACCTTCCCGCATCCTCCTCCCCGTCATCTCTCCCCCCACTCCCCAGCACGAAGGCCGAGTAATTAGCAACGAAGGCGAGTGCGAACTGGTACTTAAAGCCCGGGTCGCCTAGAAGCTTGTAGAGCAGGCGGTGGGCTACTAGCATGGCGTCCTCTTTAATACCCTCCTCGTTTGCCACCAGAGCTTCCAGCAGACTGGTAGACATTGCAGCAGCAGCAGTGGTGGAGGGAGGTGAGGCTGGGGGAGGTGACACTAAGGGAGGTGACACTAACGGAAGTGACGCTGAGGGATGTGACAATGCCGGGAGGGACGACCCTGCTGCTGGGCTGAGCAGTGAGCTTAGACCCACAGGAGCAGAAGCAGAAAGTGCATGGGATGATCCAGGAGCAGAGACAGAAGAACCAGTAAGGACAGCGGCTGTAGTGGTAGCAGCAGTAGTGGGAGCAACGGTCGTGCTGGTCGGGTGGAGACCCCATGGGACTGTATCAGGGCGGGCAGTAACGGGGATGGGGCATTTCCTAGTGAGAACAGACGACACAAGGTGCAGCAGCCCTTCACTGGTGCTAGCCAGTCGTAGGAACATCTCAGAAAACCTCTCTGTTGCTGCTGCTGCCTCGTTCCTGGCCGCTCGCAGCCTCGCTGCTGCTGATAGCGATGAAGATAAGGAAGAGGACGGGGAGGAGGAGAAGGAGGAGGAGGATCCTCTGAACCCATCGTTACCACTCATCCACCCTCCCGACCCCCCCACCCCCTGTGAGGGAACCTAGTAATGAGCTCATACTGCTTCCCGCTGTCCCACCTCTCCCTCCTCCCCCTCCGCCTCCGCCTCCCCCTCCCCCTCCCCCTCCTCCCCCGCTTCTCCCACCTCCGAACCCAAACCCAGAACCCCCCCACCCTGCTGCCGCTCCGCTCCTCTCTTCCTCCAGCCGGGCAGCAAAAACAATTTTCTGCTGCCATTCCGCAGCAACCGCGGCCAGCACGGGTTCTGCCCGGGCGACAAAACTTTCCGGGAGGGGCGGGGCGTGCCCAGGGCCAGGATGCTTCTTGCAAAACCCCTGGCGCTTCCAGGCCGTTGGATCGCCGCAATCGCAGCATCCACCGCCCGTTTTGATCATCGCATAATCATGCCCTTCATGGTCCCCGTCTAGAAAGCAAGGAACGCATATGGCACAGGTGGGATCATGCTCACATGTCCTGCATCTATATGCTATGTCGCTCGCTCCCCATACCGCCCCACACACCCCGGACGCTCCTGATTGGCCGAGAGATTGCAGTGCGGATTCTGGATCAGATCCGCATGCTGCCCAGAGAATCCAATCTACAGCGCCGGAATAAGCGTCTTTCACCATGGATAGCGAGTCAAGATCAAGATTAAAGCCCACGCGACCACCACTTAAAGCCTTGACTGCTTGCACTGCCTCATCTAAAAATGCAGCGTCGCTACCACCTTCGTTTCCCCCTCCTGCTCCTCCTCCCCCCACGCCCTCCCCTCCCCAGTCCCTTCCCCGATCCCGCCTGACCTCCCGCCCTTCAACCCATCTCCCCTCCTGGGGGGGAGCGCAGAAGGTGAGGAGGGCGGAGACGAGGCGGGGGGCGAGGTGGGGGTGGGCGCGGAGGAGTGGGGGGAGACATGCGGGTCCCCCTGCTATGTCCGCCGGCTGTAGCAGACGAGTTTTGAGGAGCTTGCGCTGGGTGGAACACGCGGAATAGTAAATCGGGGGAGGAACGGAAGGGGAAGAGAAGGGGGAAGGCGAGGAAAGGAAAGGAGGGAAAGGGAGGGGAGGAAAGGAGGAAAATGAGGAACTTCAAACAATATCATTTGTGGGACGGAATGCAAATTTCTCCGTTGCAACAGCGTCAATACAAGAGTTGCGTGAGATGCGCTGCAAATTCCTGGATAACGGATACTTTAGAAGCGTCAAACACAGCTGAAGCAACCACGTGTCGGATATCGCTTGCTTACCACAGCATTGCTGGGAAGCATGATGAGAACGACTGGTAGCAACGCACGCCCTCAATTGAGATGCTGGAATAGAAGGCAGACAGAGTCTAAATTCTGATGTAAAACTCTCGTTTCAGATGAGCGGGGGAGGTGAATCCACGAATTCGGCACTTCGTACACGAGATGAGCTGTTAAGCTCGAAGCTTCAGCGTCGCTATCCTAAACCCACACGAGATTTCTCCCAGAAAACGTGCGAATCTGCGCGAAAATCCAAGCGACGGTGCCTAGCTACACGGGAAGACTTAGATTCTGAACAGGCCACGAAGCGACGCCCTAAACAGCAGGAAACGGGGCAAAGCCGAGAAATTTCTTTTAATATAGCGGTTCGAGAGTAATTTTCTAGGAACTACCTACCGGAAACGTGCGCAGAAATCCACAAGGCTACTCGAAGTTTTGAATTTTCTCAGATTTGTAAATACTCGTCGTCGGCAGTAACGGGACGACTAACTACGCGACTGGAAGCTCGATGAATGAACTTGCTGAACCTAGAAATTGCCGACGCGTCCGTTCAACAGAGCCTGCCAGCATCTGGAGTCTCGGAATCGTATAGACGTACGCGACGCGTCACCTACTCCCGTCGAGCTACGGAACCCGGAAGCATCAAGACGGAAAGAGAGACGTGTCACAGGCGCTGCTAAGTCTATGAATCTGCTACTAATCTAGCCATCAGGATATACGGAAACCGAGGCGCTTGGCGAAAAAGGATGTTTTGAGAATTTTCATAAGTGGTTTTCACGCTTAGCGAAAGAGGACCCCGCATATAGGCCTAACGAAGGAGAGAAAATGACCACCGCGCGGTTTACGCAAAGCGCCTTTATGTAAGAGGAACCGCCATCGCGCTCGTTCGGAGACCCGGAGGTCCGAAGAATAGAATCCAATTTCTGGCACGAAGGTGCCTTGTGGGTGAAGGGGCGAGCGGAACTTGTGATAACGTGGTGTTCCGTGTAGCGAATCCCAGAAAGTACAATTTCACTACAGTATGTTTACGTCATTTGAAACATTGTTCACAGGTTAGTGTAACTCCATCTTGTACACAGTTCTCGTGGGCTATTGGTTTGTATGTTTAGTAATACTTCACATTTTACATGCAGCAACCCACATCTTACCCAAATCTATTCACAGGTCTAGGTTAAGATCTATATGCTGACTTGTTCTACTTGGCTCTTGCTGATCATTAGTCCGAGTAAGGACGCAACCAAACAACCTGCTACCTGCATCCATTGTATTCCCACTTTCAAAACCCCTCTTTCCAGTGGATGCATCAGTCTCCCTACCATTGCATCCAGCATCATCAAAACACACGCCTCGCCTCACCGCGCCATCTTCCGGGCTTTCCACGTCATGACTGACGGCCGAAAGAACCCGGCCAAACAGCAAAGGCTGTTGTTGAGCTGGTTCGGTTGCACATGACTGACTATGCCGAGGCACGTCTTGGCCCCCCTCAAAAGCATTCCTTGGGGTATTCCTAACTTTGCACACACTGCCTCTTGTGTCCATGGAACTAGGGCTCTGGGCCTGGATCGTGGACTCTCTAACAGCCGCTTCATGATCCTCCGTACAAGCTAACTTGGTCGTATGTACAGCACGTGAACTGCTAATGCCAGCACAATGTGGTTCCGAGACATCCGGAGGGGTGATTAGCTGGAGGCGATGTGAGATCGTTTGATGTTCTTGTGGCCCCGGCTCAAGATACGGCGGCAGCGGCAGAGCCACCAGCTCCTGCTGTACAAGCCACTTCGCCATCCCTGGGCCTGTTTCGTGGCCGTGCCACCTCATATGCTGCTGCTGCTCCTGCTGCGGCTGCTGCTGCTGCTGTTGCTGCTGCTGCTGTGGCTGCTGCTGCTGTTGCGCCTGCTGCTGCTCCTGCGCCTGCGGCTGTGGTTTCTGCGGTGTCTGCTGGTTTACCCGCTGCACGGCGAGGCTGCCAACGGCATGCACCCCAGCTCCCCAAGCCCCCCCAGCTCCCCCAGCTCCCCCAGTTCCCCCAGCTCCCCCAGTTCCCCCAGCTCCCCCAGTTCCCCCAGCTCCCCCAGTTCCCCCAGTTCCCCCAGCTCCCCCCAAAACGCCACTATACCACCCGCTCTTCATCCTGCAGGGTACAGAGAAGTAAGAGCACATGGAGGAGCAGCAAGGCGGAGGCAGATCCAAGCTCATGGACCGAGCCGTCTCCTGAATCTCCCGCGCAAAGCCCTCTGCTGTAGGCAGCTTAGCAGGCAGGCTCGCCGTGCTTGCCGTTGCTGCTGCTGCTCCGACCCTTCTCCGCCTGCGCGCGGGTGCAGATGCTGCGTCAGACGGGCGAGTCGTGGGGCTCGCGAGAGCGGCTGCTTCTGATGTGGTTCTCCAATTATGCTCGGATTGCCACGTGCTGCCGCGGCTGGTACTGCTGCTGCGAGGAAAAGGCTGGCTCTGACAGCGTTTCCTGGAGCCAGGAGCGGTGGATTCCGGTTCTCGTGCGACCCTCTTTTCCGGAAAGGCTGGCTTTGGACCAATCGGTTCAGAAACACGAAACCCTAGACTGTCGCGGTTGGGGGGTTCCTGAGCTGCTGGTGAGTGGCTGGGTTGAGCTGGTGACGGGAAGAGCGGCAGGAGCGAGTCCGTGTAAGGGGATTCTTTGCTCGGGTGAGCACTGCGAGGCGATGATGCTGGGTACGCGATCGGAGGTGGATCCATGGTCGCCGGAGTTGCCATGCCGCATGAAGCAGGCTAAGAGCAGGCGGTTTGAAGCACACTTCGCAGACTCTCGCCCCGAAGAGACGTACGTGACACTCAGATCACCAGTGGCCTGGTGTTTTCTTTTCAAGAGTAAGAAGGCGTGCTGCGCACTCGGTGCACTAAGGGACTCCCGCATCAGAGAATCAAAGGCTAATAGTACGAATAGTAGAAGCCTCGCTCAATCTTCGTCCAGCTCTTCATTCGGATTCAGAAGCAGAATGAACCTATTCTTGAAGACACGGAAAAATAAGCATTGCCCTGACGCAAGGAAATTTGTGTCTGACAGAACTCGAGGGTGAGTGAGAGTGTATGGTCGGGGCCCACGCCAGCTGGCGAGGGCCTTGGTGACTCCACAGGTGAGGAGGGGTACGCAATCTCGTCGCAGGACTCGCCTACTGGAAGATGGTTTGAAACGGCCGGATTGTGATCGCTGGGAGGGCGAACTGACACTTCGGATCTGAAATCCCGGGATACTTTACAGTTTTTTTAGTCGGCAATTTCATGCCGTTTAGCGGAAGTTCCCAGCCAAGCTGGACGATTGGACAGATCGATGCTGTATCCGATCGTGTTACAGATAGTGAAACGAGGACAATTCTGATGGCAGAACCCGATCAAGGGGTTGCTGAGAATGAGGATCTTTGTGGAGTAGCGTTATTCGTCAGCATTTGCCTGGAAGACTAGGCAAACACAGAATTGTTTGGTCTTCCAGGCAAACACAGCATTGGCCTGCCTAAAGAGAAACGATTGTTTCCCAGCTAGGCCCGGTGGGAAACACAGATATGGTACGGGCAGACGTTAGGGGAGTACACGTACAGATATCTGTGGCGGGTGTTGATTTGTAGGGCAAACTTTGGGGCCAACTAAGCTGGCGGCGAAGGCTGCCCATGGTGAAAATGCAATTGTGTGTGGTGATGGGGAGGAATTGTCGGTTGGGTCAGCTTACGTGTTTTAAACTTCTGAGAGAATTTGAAGGGTTTTGTTGAGCCAACTGCCATTGGAATCAGATCAGATAGGCCATCCAAGATACGGCCGTTCGAAGTCCGAAACAACCGCAGAGCAGAAATTTGGTTCAATCGGATTGCGTTTCTCGGTTGATTGATGGGTGAATGAAATTTGGGGAGGAAAGAAGAGGAGAGAGGAGAAACAGACGGTGATCCCCATCGGTCTAAGATCCTGGATTTCACAAAAGCAGTAAGCGATGCGTTTTGCCTCGGTTTAGTGAGTTTCAACGGATTGGATATCATGACGAACAGCCACACGACAGGGCTCACCATTGTGAAAGAGCGAGGGCCACGGCGACGAAAATCCAACAGGCCCGAGGGTGGTGGATTCGGGGAGGAGAAAATCAATACGCGAAATAAATTTAGATAAAAACGTTGCCCAGACACTATTTGATAAGGTGTTGTGCTGTCAATAACTGTTTCGCAAAATGGAATGGGAAGGTGCAACTCAAAAATTACACCGGGCAAAAAGTGTATCCAAGCCGGCCGATTGGATTTTGCTCACGTGAACAAGATTTGATGTACATTTATAGAATAGAAAAAATTAACAATCAACCACAAGCGTGGAGCAATAGCTCAGTGGTAGAGCAATCGACTGCAGATCGATAGGTCCCCGGTTCAAACCCGGGTTGCTCCTGGAGATGCTCTCCCGTTTTCTTTGCTGTTCGTTTTGTTTTGTTGTTACTCTCAAGCCAAGGAGGAATTGGGATGCTGCAAGTTAAAATGCTTTTTAGGACAAGGACGAGTCACGAGCAACAACATCAAATTGCCAATAACCATCACTTCTCCAGAAGGTATGCCGGACTGCGTGGTACATGCCAGCAATGGTGTGCTCTAATCAAGCATCCCACTTGACAGCCTTCAAGTGCTGCTCCGCATTCACTGCTTCCTCTGTATTCACGGGTCCCTCCCTATTCACGGGTCCCTCCCTATTCACGGGTCCCTCCCTATTCACGGGTCCCTCCCTATTCACGGGTCCCTCCCTATTCACGGGTCCCTCCCTATTCACGGGTCCCTCCCTATTCACGGGTCCCTCCCTATTCACTTGTCCCTCCGTGTCCCCATTTGCATTGAACAGCTCCAGAGCTGATGGGAGACCCAGTCCCAGCATCTGAGCCACCTCCGTGGCCTGGAGAGGTGACGAGGGGGAGACGGAAAGAGGGGAAAGTCTTTTGAGTTGACTCAGAGCTCTGCTCTAGAGCTGATGAGGGGAGGCCCAGACCCAGCATCTGAGCCATCTCCGTTGCCTGGAGAGGTGAGGAGGGGGAGGAAGTGGGGGGTAGAAAGCGGGGGGAAGAGGCAGATAAAGGGGAAGAAAGTGAGGGGCGAGAGACAGATACAGATTGAGTGCACACGTGCCCATCATTTCCATCAAAGCCGACTTGCTCATTTCCCGGCATTCATACCTCTCACCAACATACCTTCCAGAAAACTGTAAGGACACCTGCACAAATCAACCTACTCATGCCTACTCCAAGCCTCACCCATGCCTCCTTCCGAGCCTCACCCGTGCCACCTTCCGAGCCTCACCCGTTCTTCCAGCGTTGTGAGGCGGGCAGCAGTGGTGCGCATGCGGCCATCAGTCCCGTCCACTCGCTTGCTCACACTGATGTGCGCGTCTGCATGCACTGCCACCTGCGGCAGGTGGGTTATGCAGATGACCTGGGGGTAGGTAGGGGGAGTGGGAGCAGGGAGAATGAAAGAGGGGAGGTAAGGGGCAGCAGTGGTGTGCCTGCAGCCATCAGCCCCATCCACTCGTTTGCTCACACTGATATGTGCATCTGCGTGCACGGCCACCTGCGGCAGGTGGGTGATGCAGATCACCTGGTGGGGCAGGGGGGGCAGTTGCAGCGCAGTGTGGTGGCAGGGGGAATGAAAGGGAAGGGCAAGCTGCATGCGGCCATCGGCCCTGTCGACTTGTTTGCTCACACTGATGTGCGCTCTGCATGCACTGCCACCTGAGGCAGGTGCGTGATGCAGATCACCTGGGGGGAATGGAAGCAGGGAAGGGAGGCAGGGAAGCAGGGAGGGAAGGGAAACGGCCAAGAGGATTACATGCGTTGTGCGCGTCGGCGTGTAATGCCACTTGGGGCAGGGGCGTGATGCAAACCACGTGGTGGGCAGACAGGGAGAATGAAGGCGGAGGAATGGTGCAGCAGTGGTGCGCATGCGGCCATCAGCCCCGTCCACTCGCTTGCTCACACTGATGTGCGTCTGCATGTACTGCCTACCACCTGGGGGCAGGAGGCGTGTGGGGGCAGGGGGAATGAAGGGGGAGCAAATGGTACACTTACTGAACATTTTCTTGATTACTCATTTGCTTGGGTAACCAGGCTACCCTGTCTCAAGGTACACCCACTTCTTACCTGGTTACTTTTGGCATAATGAGTACTCGCCTGGACAGGGGTGTACTCACCTGGTTACCCTGTCTGCACAGTGTACTCACCTGGTTACCCTGACTGCACAGTGTACTCACCTGGTTACCCTGTCTGCACAGGTGGCGCAGGGCAAGGGCGAATCGGGACGCAATCCTGCCGCCCACACCGCTGTCCAGCTCATCAAACACTGACACGCTGAGTGCTGTGAGATCACTGCTGCTGGTGGTAGCAGCAATGATTTTGAGCGCTGCAAGAAAGGAGGGAAATGAACAAGGAAGCATGATTTTATCAGCCGTCTCTAAACAAGCATAGCTCCACTCCAGCACGACCTGTCAGCCCACCTCACCCACCTCTCTCAATCTCACTTCAGGTCAACCCAACTCACCCAACATGACCCTGCAGTTGAGATTGGTTAAGCCAACCAGTACCAGCCAGCCCCGCCCCACCCCACCCCACCCAACCCCAACCCATCCCACCCTGCCCACCCCACCCCACCCTGCCCACCCCACCGCACCGAGCATTATTCGGGAGCATTCACCGCCCGATGCCACTTGGGAGAGTGGCAGCAACGGCTCCCCAGGATTGGCTGACAGTTGAAACACCACCTGCCAGGATGCATGCATTGAATTGGATCATGTATGACTTGATATCAGTTTGGATTCCGAAGCACAAAACAGCAAGTGTAATATACCCTGCACATGCCCCCCATCCCCCTGTTTTCCCTTCAGAAGCCACCCATCCTCCTCCTGCCCATTCCCCTGCTCCGGCATCCAACCCAACCCACTCACGCCACTGTCACCCGTCCCCTCTGCCCATGCGCCCTCTGCTCATACACTCTCATGAGCCACCCACCCTATCCATGCCAGTGCTGCTGTATCGATAGAACACGTCACTCCTCTCGCCCACACCCTCAGCACCCTCCACGCGAATCAACCCCTCCTCCACTAATATCTCCGTCCTGTGATGCTGCTGTTGCTCACCCCTTTCCTCCTCCTCCCCCTCCTCTTCGTCCTCCTCCTCCTCTTCCTCCTCTTCCTCCTCTTCCTCCTCCTCTTCCTCCTCCTCTTCCCACTCTGCTTCTACCTCCCTCTCCCAACCGCCCCTCCCCACCACCCTCCTCCTCCTCACTCCTGCTCCTCCACCACCCGTTCTTCTCTCCTGCGCGCTGAGCTGTGATTGGCTGGCGGGGGCTGACGTGGCACTGTAGACGCGGGGGGTTGCTGGCTCCTGCAACGAGGTGGGAGGGGCGGGGAGGGGAGAGGAGGGGAGGGGAGAGGAGCGGAGGGGAGGGGAGAGGACGGGAGGGGAGGGGAGAGGAGGGGAGGGGAGGGGACGGGAGGGGAGAGGAGGGGACTTTTGATTCGACTCAAAAGTCAGCTCGTGTGGGGTTGCTGGCTCCTGCAACGAGGTGGGCAGGGCAGGGAGGGACGAGGAGGGGAGGGCAGGGAGGAGGAAAAGGTGGAGTGGAGAGGAATAGGAGGAATGGGGGGGTGGAAGGGAGGAGGAGCAGGGGAGAAAGGATTGGGGAGCAGGGGGGAGAAGGGACAGGAGCAGGTGAGAAGCGGGTGGTGCAGAAAAGGGAGAAAGAACGAAGAGGGTAATGAAGAACTAGCACCACCCTTTTCTGCAGAAAAAGGGCCACTTCTGCAGAACTAGCTCACCCCAGCGTACTCCCCAACCATATGAGCACCACCCTGACATGGCACAGCACCCACTATATTGGTGTTACTTCTGAGAATTCTCAAAAGCTGACCCCAGCCAGCGTACCCACCCACCACATGACCACCATTCACTTTGACACATCGCAGCACCCACCTACTGCTGCTGACTGCGACCTACTGACCTACTTACAAGCATTCCTTCACCCTTTCATCACCCGCCAACCCATGCAAAACTCACCCACGACACCACCGCTCTGAACCGCGCAGAACCCATCTCCAGCCCTCTCAGCACGCCCTCCACTCGCTCCCCCAGATCCTCTGCTGCCACCCGCCTTCTCCTGCTAGCTGCCAAAAACTGCCGCCCGATCTCCGCTGCGAGACGGCTCATTTCGTCTTGTAGCTCCCTCCGCCTCTTGTCCACACTCCCTGTCGTGGTTTTTGGGGAGGGCATTAGTTGGTGAGGGCATGGGACATGTGCATGGGGTATGGACCATGGTACAGAGAATGGTATTGGGGTATGAGGTATGGGGTATGGGGTATGGGGTATGGGGTATGGGGATGGGGTATGGGGTATGGGATATCGGGATGGGGTATGGGATATGGGATATGGGGATTGGGTATGGGGTATGGGATATGGGGATGGGGTATTGGGTATACATGGGGGATGGGCGGGTATCACACCTGAGCTGGCGATCTGATCTGCTGCAGTCTGGGCGGCAGCCCAGAGCTCTGCTGCTGAACGAATGGCATGGCGCTTGCGAACCACCTCTATCTGCCACGCACCATCCAGCATTGGTGCAGTACAGTGCGGTGCGGTGCAGTGTGATGCAGTGTGTTTTGGTGCGGAGAGGTGCGGTGCAGTGGAAGCAGCACAGAGCAGAGAGCAGCGTGCAAAGGGCACAGAGAGCAGGTAGGGGAGAGGAGAGAGGAGACGGAGAAGTTGTCAGCGCAACGCAGCAGCATCAGCTGTGGCAACAACCTTGCTGCTACACGATTTGAGACAGTACTGAGACACCTGCTACCTGGGCAACCCTACATCCAACAGAAATCTTTTGAGTCGACTCAAAAGTCACCTCACCTTCTAACTGGGCAAACCCTATATCCTACAGAATTCAGTCTCTTTCATCTTTCTTAATCCCATAACCTGAACCACCTCATTGCTCTGCACCGCTCGTCACCTCTCTCAGCCGCTTCTTGAGACGATCCATGCGCTCTTTTGAGAACCTTAGGTCGTCCAAGTAGCACTCCACGTGGTCCTTCTGGTGTGGTGCAGTGCGGCGGAGAATGGTGTGGTGTGGTGTGGTGTGGAGTCATGGTGGGGTACAATGCAGTGGAGTGCAAGGGGTTGCACAGCACAGCACAGACAAACAAAAGCCGTCCAAAGTGGAATGGAAAAAAAAGTGGTAAGAAATCTGTGGTAACAAGGTCAAAGGGAAGAAACTTTTATAACGTGGAAAACTGCCGCTCTGTCTTCACTTCTCACAGCCCTGCTCTCACCACTCACCGCACTGTCACCAGTTCTCACCGCTCTGTTCACCAGCATCTTGGCTTCTCCTAGAAGCTCCAAAGCCGCTGACACATCCTCCAACCTCCCTCTCTGCACATACCCCCTGGCCACACCCCCCTTCCCTCCCCTCCTCCCCTTCCTCCCACTCCCCCCTTCCTCCTCCTCCCCTTCCTGCTCTTCCTGCTCCTGCTCCTCCTCCTCCACCTCTCTCAACTCCTCCACAGCCTTACTCAACCCATGCAGCACGCCTAACGCTCCAACTCCCTCCAGAATCCCATGGGCGCGACTACAGCTCTCAGCTGCCCTGCCTGCCCGCTCGTGCTCCTTAATCTCCTCCCTAATCGCCTCTACTTCCCCTTCCTTCAGCCCCAGTCTCTCTACATCCTCAACTAGTTCTTGCAGCACCATCAACGCCTGCTCCCCTCCTGCCTCCTGCAGCCTCTTCTGCTCCTCCCACACCTCCCGCGCCCTTGACAGCAAGACCCCCACCTCCGCCCTTTCCTCCCCACCCTCCTGCTCTTCCTCCTCTTCCACCTCTCCCTCCCTTCTATTTTCCTCTTCTTCCTCCCTCATCCTTCCCTCCTCCTCTCTCTCCTTTCCCACACCCTTCTCTCCACCAGGCCCCATCCCTTTCTCTCCACCGAGCCCCATCCCTTGCCCACCACCCCACCGCGCTGCGAATCTATCCAGCAGCATCAGCTGAGCGCCTTCGCTCCTCAGCGCCCCCTGGGCATTCTGTCCGTTCAGATCCACCAGGGATGCACCTACAGCACGCAGCAGCTTCAGAGGCACCACCACTCCATTCACCCGGCACACACTCCGCACTTTGCTGCCCTTCTTGCCCTTGCTCCCACTCTTGCTCCCACTCTTGCTTCCGCTCTTGCTGCTGTTCCCCCCTCTGTTGCTGCTGCCATCAGCCTCAGACTCGCTATAAGCATCATCACCAGCCGTAACAGTGCGGAAAATCTCCCTCTCTAGAATCACCTTCACTCGCGCACCGCCACCTCCGCTCACCCCTGAACCACGCTCCTCCTGCCATCCGGTTTTATCACCTGCACCATCAGCTAAACCACCTCCCCCAGTAACAGCCTTCACCACATCTAGCCTACCTTCCTGCCTGAGGAATTGCAGGAGGGAGTGAGAGGCGGAGGGGGAGAGGGAGAGATGGGCGGAGAGAGAGGAGGAGAGGGCCGGGGTTCGTACAGAGTCCTCTGACGCTGCTGCTCCCAGTACCTTGGAGTAGGGAAAAGGAGAGGGGTAGAGGGGAGAAGCATGGAAGGAGAAATTGAGTGGAGAGGATGAGAGGAGGAGAGGTTCAGGAGACAACAAGGCCTGCACAAATTCCAAACAGGAACTACAACCGGCGCTACAGCCGCAAATGTGGCTAGTCCAAAAGCAGGTCTCACCTGCCCTATTGCCCACCTGTCCTATAGCCTGCACGATGATCGATTTGCCCGACCCGCTGTCGCCTGTGATGACGTTGAAGGCCGGCGAGAAGGACAGCACCTGGTGCTGCACCAGAGCGAAGTCCCTGGGAAAGAGTGAGAGGTTGTGTGAGTGGCAGCATAGGGGAGGGAACGAGGGAAGGCAGGGCATGCGACACGGTGAAGGCAGGGGAGAAGGACCCTAAACCCTGGACAGCACCTGGTGCTGCACCAGAGCAAAGTCCCTGGGAGAACGAGAGCAGAGCGAGAGTATGGGTGGTAGAGTGAGTGAGTGAGTGAGTGAGTGAGTGGCGGCAGTGGGGAGTGAGTGGGCAGCACATGGTGCTCCACCAGAGCGAAGACCTTCGGGAAAAAGAGAAAGTGAGTGAGTTGCGGCAGGAATGGGAATACTCACTCACATCCTACTCAACCGCACACCACCCACCTAATATGCAGCTCTTCCAACACTGCCTCGGGCTCCACCTTTCCTCCCACCATCCCCTCCCACCACTTCCCCCCATCGTCCCTCGTTCCCCTCAACCCTTCCCCCCGCCCCTCCCACTCCACCTCGCCTGTCCTCTCCTTCCCCCTTTCCCTCTCTTTCTCCGCCTCCCCCTCCCCCGTTCCCCCTAGCTGCGCTACAATCTCCGCCCACACCTCCCCCGAATCCCTCTCCCGTCCCACTGCCTCGATCTCCTCCCAAAAATTATCCTCCCATCGTGTCCCGCCCCTCCCACCCCTCCCGCCCCTCCTGCTGCTCCTGCTGCTGCTGCTGATAATCCCACCTCTGCTATCACCAAAATTGCTCCTGCTGCTACTATATTCGCCACTGTCTATGTTCCCCTTCCCCGTTCTGCTCAAACCTCGGTCGCTGCTGCCGTTGCTGTTGTTGTTGTCAATGCCATTGCTGCTGTTGCTGCTGCCGCTGCTGTTGAACCTGTTCCTGATATTACTACGGCTGCGAATACTGATGCTGCTACTGCTAATACTCCTAAACGAGTTACTACCACCGAATTTGTTTCTTCCTGTAGGGATTCTTCCAGAGACTCTTATAAGAGAAGCTCCAGGGCCTCTGCTTCTCCTCCTAACGTTACTATCACATCCGGCAGAAGCAACTCTCGTGACAGTAGAAAAACCTGACCGCGAAAAAGCCTGGTTGGATGAAAAAGAGCCGCCAAAATCGGCGGATCTGACACGTGGCCGCGAAACGGAGAGGCTCTGCGAGCGCGGCCAGGGATCGACGGTCCTGGTTACGCCAGGTCTGCTACAAACGCAACCTGCTATAGCGCGTCCCGAGACGCGTCCAAAAGAAACGCATTCCATGGCGGAATTGCTAGTAACGCGTATTGTGGTTCCACATTTGATACTAGAAGGTAAAACTACGACGGACTCGGAAAAGCGCGCATTGACGATTTGAGAGGCGAACGGTAACATCCGTCCGAGATGAAATGCTAGCGACACGGAAAAGAGCAGCGCAAAGTCGACGAGTCCGGCAATACCGAGGAGAGCAGAAGCGTCGCCAACGGCCACACGCAAAATGCAGCATCAACGAATGAATCTACGGGCAGCAACTGGGACCAACTTTGCTAGGATATTCTGTAGCTCTGCTGCGTCATCTTCAAGCTGATTTGGGAATGCAAATTTGTACCCGACAAGGAGGCAGGCGCGCTACAAGTGAGTATTATCCTCGATGAGACAACATAAGTATCAATCTAGCATGTAGCAATGTGTGGCAAGTACCTATCAGCTGAGGAAAACAAAACCTAAGGTAACAAAGAAATGAGATACCGTGAAAGACTCCCTTACCTACGCAACACGGTGGTTGTACACCAGTCTAAAGAAGCCAAGCGCCTGTAACTCCTAATTTACCTAATAAAATGTTAGGGAGAAATGCCTCACAATCACTTGGGAGTGTGTAATGGCGGGAAATCCTCGTCCTTGAGTTCATAAAAAGCATCTTCCCCTCTGCAGCATGCAAGGCATGTGAACGCGCAGAGGAACGATGCACACAAAATGCGGTGCTCAAGATCGGTGTCGGTTTGTGGGCTTGGGCAGGATGTGCACAATACTTGGACGCATGGAGAGGGAATGTGTTGCAGACCATAGCTTTGAAATAAAATTCCGGGGACTTGAGTAAAGTGTTGGAGAGGAGTGGAGAGGGGTGGAGTGGAGTGGAATGGAGTGGAGAGCAGTGGAGTGAAGTGGAGTGGAGTGGAGTGGAGAGGAGTGGAGAGGAGTGGAGTGGCATGGAGTGGAGTGGAGAGGCATGGAATAGAATGGAACGTTGAAGAAATCACCTTATTCTTTTCGCTGCTTTGGGAGAGTTTAACACCGGAGAGCCACTTCCGCTCCCACTCTGTCCACTTCGTCCCGCCCCTGCGCCCGCATTCCCCTTCCCACCCGCCCGAGGTGACATCGACCGCAGAGATGGTGGCACCATCGCTGCTGCAGACAACGAAGCAGAACCTGCAGAGCCAGCAGCACCCTTGCCACTGCTGCTCCTGCTCTCCGCCTTCCCCCCAGTACTGCTGGCCCCTCCTCTCTCCCTGCCACTCACCACTGAGTTGCCTCCACTGGAACTACTCTTAGGCCCTGAGGCACCTGAAGCACCTGAGCTACCTGAAGAAACTCCTGGCCCTGCTGTTGGTGCTCCAGGTACCACAGACCCTCCAGAAATCCCCAGCCCATCAGAGCCCCCGTCACTGCCACCAGCCACACTACCACCACCACCACCAGAACCACCACCACCAGAACCACCGGCAGCAGAACCACCAGCAGCACCAGCAGCAGCAGTTCCTGTCAAGCCAAGGCCCTTGCGGTTACCAAGTCCCCCACGGTGAGCGCTGTAGAACCTGTCCTCTGACCGGGACGCCCCTCCCAGGCTGCGCACTCGCTGCGGACCCTCACGAGCTGTGCCTTCCCTAGATGCCGCCTCCCCTCCTGCTCCTCCTGCCCCAACTGCTGCTCCTGAAGCTGATGCTGCAGCAGCTGTGGCTGCTGCAGCTGCAGGGCTGTTGCTGCGAGGAGTTCTGGGCTGCTGCTGTGGCACCGGCAGAGGTTGCTGTAAGGAGTACGGGCTGTTGCTGCGCCCTGCCTCAGGCAATCCCCCCTCCTCCCTCTGCATTGCACTGCTAACAAACGCACTACCCCCAGCCTCACCAGACGCCTCTGCTTCTCCCCACCCCGTGGACTGGATTTGGTGCGGGAGTGCTTTTGGTGCCCTTTTTCCTGCCGCCTGCCTGTCTTCTCCCGGCCGTAAAGAGGACCTCCAACTAATAGTCACAGTCTCTGCCGAGGCTAGTGGCTCGTCATCTGCTTCGGGCACTCGCCGATCCAGCTCCACAGGCTCGGCGCCCTGCTGTGCCATGAGAGGTGAAATGAATGGAGGTTCAGGACATACAGTGTTGGGAAGAGCGGGCTGGATGGTAGTGACTGCATTAGGAGCACCACCATCAAAACCACCACCAGCAGCAGCAGCAACAGGAGCAGCAGCAGCAGCAGCAGCTGGGAGTGGCAGGACCAGGAACCACACTGGCTGCTGTGGCTGCACCAGCCTTTCTACTACTTGCGGAACCAGAGGGTTTCAACCCAAGGCTCTGCTTCGGCTTTGCCAAAACCTGACCCTGCTGTGCTTGGGACACCCCTATCGATCCCTTGAGTGCTGCCGGCTGCTGCTGCTGCTGCTGGAGGAGTTTCGCCGACTGCTGCTGCTGTTCCGCCTGTTCCCCCATAGCCTGGGCCTCTCCCCCTCTTCCACTCCCTTCCCTTCCACCCCCTTCTCTTCCACCCCCCTCGCCTCTCCCACCCACTTCTCCTCTTCCACTGCCCTCTCCCCTCCCACTCCCCTCACCTCGCCCATCCTCCCCTCTTGTGCCCCCTCGTTGCTGCTTCCCTGCACCAGACTGCCGCACCTCCCCTCTCACTACACCTCCTGCAGTGGTCCCATGGCCCCGTTGAGACCCGTCCCCTGTGCTCCTTTTCCCACCCTCCCCCATGCCACGACCTGCCCCTTCCCCGCTGCCCCAAGACGCAACCTCCCCAGCAGCATCAGCCCGTAACTCTGCTAACCCGCCTTCACCCCCTGATCCACTGCCCCCCCTACGTGAATCTGCTAACACGCCCTCACTCCCCCCGCCGCTACCACCCCTGCCTCGCACCACGCGTGGAGCAGTGGCAGTGGAAGACGAGGGGTCCCTAGTGGCCACGGGATTTGACCGTGCACGCAGCGAGGAAGACGACAAAAAAGGCAACGAGGAGGAGGAGGAGGAAGGAGAAGAGGAGAGAGGATTGAGTGCACCTGTATCAGAGCCCACAGCTGCTGATGCTGATGCTGATGCTTCAATGACAGTAGGAGAAACAGCAGAGGCCGATACACTGGAAGACAGCGGCACAGCAGGCGCAAGCCTCACTGCTTCTTGGGCTGACTCTGACCGCACGACCCCTGCGGGTTCGGGAAGAATGTTCAGGTTTGGGCCAACGGAGGCGCCCTGCGAGCCTGCCAGTTTGCTTCTAGGCAGCCCCGCAAAGCCCGCCGCGGCTGCCCCATGGGTGCTGCTGCTGGTGGCGGTGATGCCGCTGCTGCCAGTGCTGCTGGTGGCAATGCTGCTGGTGCCAGTGGTGCTGGTGCTGCCTGGTGCTCGCTTGGAGGTATCAATGCTACCAGCACTGGCAACTCTAAGCATGCGGAACTCCCCACCACCACTGCCATCCGCCAGAGCCTGCAGGATCTTGCTCTTGTCCACCCCACCCGCCTTCGCACCACCAGAAGCAACGGCTGCAGCTGCAGCTGCGCCTGCAGCAGAGACGGTGGCGGGAGTAACACCAGCAGCAACAGCAGGACCACCTGCCTCACACCTCTCTCTGCTCTCCACACTCCCTTCACCCGACCTCATCATCCCCTCCTCCTTCCCTCCCACTCCTCCTCCCTCTCCACCGGCTCCTCTTCCCGCTCCTCCCTCTCCTCCTTCAACCCCTCCTCCCACCCCTGCTACTCCACTGACAGCCCCTGCCACCCCTGCCGTCCCTGCCGCTGGCACTCCACCGCCCGGGAACATGCCAGGCTGGGGGGCATACATGAGCATGAAGGAGTAAGGCCCACCTGAGATTCCACCTGGTATTGCCCCAGGAGGGAACGTGCCTGGCTGCAGTAGCTGCGGGTTAGGAGGAAGCATCTGCACCGCCTTGCCTCCCTCGCTGCCTCCACCTGCCTGCCCTGGCACCGGACTAGGTTGCACAGAGGGCGACGGAGCAGCAACAGCACTGACCAACCCAGCAGCAGGGGCAGCACCGCCACTTGCTGTGGTTGGAACGCTTGGAGATGCACCTGGGGCAGCTACGGCCTGTGCACCCGCGGCACCTGCTTGGGTGACTGCTTGCGTGGCGGGAGTGTTAGCAAGCACGTACGAGGGGAAGACACCCGGCGGCCCTCCTAAATGCGACAGCAGAACAGCTTGGGGACCTAGCGGGCGGGAGAACGGGTGGAGGGGGAATACGCCGCCTGCATTGGCAGCACCAGAGCCTCCCGCAGAAACTCCTGGAACCCCTGGGGCACCAGTGGGGAAGGTGGTTGGGACATATGGTTGCTGCTTGCTGGGATCGGCGTTCGGTTTGGATGGACCAAACGTGGGTGACGGGATGGCAGGATTTGGGTGGAGCAGAGCAGGGTTGGGTGCACCTGGGGAGGGCCTATTCAAGGCAGGCGCAGCTGAGGAATCGGCTGCTGTACGCTGACGCAGCACCGCGTCCGTAGGAGCTGCTGCTGGTGCTGTGGCTGAGCTGCTGTATCTGAGAGAGTCCCCTTGGGAACCAAACCCTGGAGACTCCCTGCCCAGTGGCATACCCAACGGACCCACCAAAGGAGACCCACTGGAGGTCAATGATGGCCCCGCAATCCCACCACTGCTGCTGCTAGCGCCAACGCCCGCCTTCCCCTCTCCCACAAACACCACTGGCGCCCCTGCTGCTGCCCTAGGACCTGCCCCCAGTCCTGCCCCTGCCCCTGTTTTCTCCACATCCTCCCTACCATCCCCATCTGCACTCTTCCCTGCCGCAGACCCAGACAGACCCAGACTGCTACCAGCCATAGGCGAGCCCGCCCTAGCCACCCCATCCGACCAATCACCGGCTGCCACGCCAGCGCCCTGGGCTTGCATGGGCGCATGGCCATGCGGGGAGAACATCCAGGGGGGCGCGAGGTGGAGCGCTCTGATGGGGATTTGGGGGAGGAACGGGGCCATGCCGGGGATTTGGGCAAAGGGAGGGGCGCCGGAGGCAGGTCGGATGAGGGGAATGAACGGGACGTGTCCTGGAGGAGGTGTGACAGACTTGACGCCCTCGGGTAACGGGGCCTGCACTCCCTCTGCTGCTCCTGCTGCTGCTCCTGCTGCTGACCCAATCAACTCTCCCGGCGCCTGCCTTGGCTCCTGCAGCTTCGAGCCTGGCGCCTGCTGCAGCTGATCCATCCGTTGCCACAACACAGGAGGCGGCACAGCAGCAGCCGCAGCACCAGACTCTCCCCTACCGCCATCACCAGCACTACCAGTAGCACCACCACCACCACTACCACCACCAGCACCAGCACCAGCACCAGCACCTGCCGCCACGTCTGAAACCCCCGGGCCATCCGCGTTAGCACCACTGTCACTCACACCAAACGCTCCCCTGTACGGCCCTTCTCCTTCAGACCCTCCCGGTCGCACAGGCACAAGCCCAGGCGCCTGTGGGAAGCCTGCTGCTGCTGGCAGCGACATGGGGAGCGCCATGTATGGAAACAGCTGCGGGGCTGGAGTAAGGGACGCGGAACCATCCGAGGTTGAAACAGGGAGCCGGGTTTGAGATCCTGGCATGATGTGGGGAGGGTTGTTGCCTGAACCTGAACCAGGTGCCTGGGGCTCCCCTTCTCTTCTCGGCTGTAGCTGCTGCTGTAGCTGCTGCTGCTGCTGCTGCTGCATCTGCTGCTGCTGCTGCTGCTGCTGTAGCTGCTGGGAGAAGCTCTCATCCGACGGTTGAGAGCCAAACGCCTGCAGCTGCTGCACGGGCATCTGCAGCAGCCGCGGGTGAAGCGCCCCTGGGAACGCGGAGAGCGGGACAAGGCAGGGGCCGTTGGGGGTAGAAGCCATTATGAGGAGGCCTGGGGGGAATGGGAACGGGCTGACATGGGGAAGAGGTGAGGGGCCTGCGGGAGAGCTGGCTGGAGGGCCAAGAGGAGGGCCGAGCGGAGCAGGGGGGGCACTGGGTTGAACGGTTTGGGAACGGGCGTCTGGGGTGGTGAGAAAGGAGTCAGGTGTGGGGGAACTGGTACTGGACATGACTGGGGAGGAGGAGGCTGTGCGAGGGACGAGAACAGGGACAGGGATAGGAACAGGAAGAGGAACGTGGGGTACAGGAATGGTCTCTGGTCTGGCTACAGGGGAAATAGAGGGGCTGTCAGCCCGCGTTTCACGCTGGGTTACATGTCGGGGTTCATGTCGAGTGTCATGCCAGCTCTTGTTCCTGTCCGGAACCCTATCAGAAAAACTCCGAGAAGGGACACCTGTGTGCCCTGCACCGCCCGCTGCCCCTGCTGCTGCAGTGCCTCGGGCATCCAGCATGCTTGCATCTTGGGTCATGGGTTCCACTGAGTTGGATGAACCAGTGCTGTGAACGCTATTGCTGCGGCTGTGGTACCCCCCACTCTGAGTCCCCCCACTCTGATTCCCCCCACTCTGATTCCCCCCACTCTGATTCCCCCCACTCTGATTCCCCCCACTCTGATTCCCCCCACTCTGATTCCCCCCACTCTGATTCCCCCCACTCTGAGTCCCCACACTGCTTTGATCCGAGCTCTGTCTCGGAAGGGCACCACCAGCAACCAAAGAAGCATCAATCCCGCCTGACACCTGCTGCGCCGGCTCTGCTTCTGCGGCTGAAGTCAAACCACAGTTGCTAACAGCGCTGCTGTTGCTAATAACAGGGGCGCTAGCGACGACGGTGCCGATACTAGAGCTGTTACCAGCAACAGCCCCTCGTGAACCAGACTGAGTCCTTCTCCATTGCACGTTAGATGATGCACTGCTGCTGCTGCTACTACTGCTGCTGCTGTTCCTTGCACCTCTCGATGTTCCCTTGACAGTGCGTGAACCTGAACCAGCTTCTTCTTGTGATTGACCTCGTGGCACTGCGTCTGATTGCCTCGCTGCTGCCTTCCCCTCACTTTTCCCTGAGCTCACAGCAGGTCCTACATTCCCTACTCCCTCCAGCCCTCCTTGTGCGCCCTGCTGTGCGCCCTGGCTTTCACCCCCTTCAATTCTTTCATACTGATCACTCCCTTCGTTCCTCTCATGTCCTCCACTCCTTTCACTGCCGCTTCGCTGCTCCTCCCTCGAGCGTGTAACAGCGCTTCCCGCCTTCTTCCTCTCCAGAACCTCACTCGCCAACGCGTCTTGCTCCACAGAAGCTTTACTGTCAGCAGCACGACCGGCCTGCTCCAAGGAAAGGACACTGTTCTCAGTTGTCCTCACAGCCACAGTGGCTTCATGTGCGCCTGCCTGCACAGCATGATCATCCACCTGTGCTGTTCTGTTAGGGGGTGCTGCCAGGTCAGAAGTTTGCCGCACTGGTGGGACAGGATATACCCCGTTGACAGCCTCTGCTCTCTTTGTATGTGCCTGTAGTTGCTGTGGCTGCTGTTGTTGCGCCTGCTGCTGCAACTGCTGCTGGGACTGCTGTTGCTGCTGATGGTGCGCCTGTATGTATTGTCGTTGCTGCTGTTGCTGCTGCGACTGTTGGTGGTGGTGCTGTTGCTGCTGCTGCTGCTGCTGATGGTGGTGCTGTTGATGCTGCTGCTGAGCCTGATGGTGTTGCTGTTGCTGCTGTTGAGCAAGCTGCACGTGTCTCGGGCCACCAGCCATGGGAGGAGAAGCCCTTGCACCAGGAACATGCGCCACATTAGCAGGCACAGGGAACAGAGGAGCAGGGATCCAGGAATGACCTCCCCCATATGGCACCCGGTGGGGCCCATCTGACGCTTGCACCTGCTGCCGCCTCCCCATGTTCCCACCCATGTTCCCACCCATGCCCCCACCCATGCCCCCACCCATGTTCCCAGCGACGTTCCCAGGAACATGCCCGGCCATGTTTCCGTTCATCACCACGCCATGCTGGCCCCCATGGGAGTACGGCGCGCGCATGATATCCCCTTCTCCCGGCGCCTTGTTCTCATGAGCCGCTGCTGCGTTCACTTGCCCCCGATACCCCCCACCAACACCCACGACCGGCCTAACCGCATAAACACCCGTCCCTACCCCTGCCCCTGCCCCTGCTCCTGCTCCTGCTCCCACCCCTGCCCCTCCCGCCGCTGCAGCTGCGGGTGCCACGCCTCCGGCTTGCACCGGGGGCGGCATGGGCTGGGCGAACAGCGGCATGCGCCGGGGCATGTGCTGCAGGACGAACTCGTGGTTGGAGCCGTCAGGGCGGGCGCCAGAGGCGTTGCGGTCCCACGTGTTGCGGAAGAACCGGTCCACCTCCTGCGCGACTAGTTCCTCCGGGCCGTTCAGTACTGCGTTCAGCTTGCGCGAGCCGTACGCCAGCGCGCTCCTGATGCGGAAGAAGTTGGCTGGTGGTATGAGGCGAGGGGGATCACAAGGCGGAGATATGCACGGTTAAATGCGGTTGTGAGCGTCACCATGACACGGTGTTGCAGGCATTGTGCAACCGAACTGCTCCTCAAAAGCGTAGAAAACGAAGTGAGTAGCATGTGCGACAGCAAGCTCAAGCTAAGGCGAACCGGTGAGGTATGCATGAGCAAGGCATACCTTTGCTGACGCTGCGGCCGAGGTTATTATTGTCGAGGAGAGGGTCAATGATGTTGAGAAACTTGACCATGAACGGCCGCTTCTGGACCATGGGAGCTAGCGAGTACTTGGCATAGCACTCTGCCAGAAACTCGTCTGTGAGGAGCAGGTCCTCTACTCCACCAGGCCTCTCAGCTGCACATGAATTGAAACATTTGAATTAGGGAAAGGCTCCTCTGGAAAACTTACAATGTATGGGAATGGGTAGCAACACGTGTGAAGATTGCAGTGAATTAGGGTTTCCAGGCTCAATGTGCAGGAGTGGCTGCTCACAAAAAACAGTTTAGCAGGATGACGGGGAAAGGAGAGGAGAGTGCATAGGGACGCACCGAGCATGGTGGGGAGAGAAGAGAGAGGAACGGGGCCTTTGAGGCTGAGGCAAAACTGCTCCCAGTCAAACTTGCTGAACACCTCGAGAAACTTGACAAGCACCTGCAACATTACACAAGAACACAAAAGGAAGGAGCAGGACAGTCAAGGCGAACATTAGGATATGAAGACACACAGAAAATGGGTGGGAGCCAGAAAGAAAGTGAAGAGCTATCAATAACCCAAGGGACTTACGTGCAGCGGACTGTGCAGCTCCTTGTGAAACACGTGAAAAATGTACAGAACAAGGGTCTCCAGGCCGTAAGTGGAGATGAGCCCGTGGTGAGCCCCTAGAATCCGGCTCTCGTAGTAACACCAGGCCTTCACCAGTATAATGCTCCGCTTGAAAATGTGGTTCCGGCCAATCAGCGCGTCCACCTGAACCGACATCATGCAACGAGGAATGCTGCTTAGTACAGGTCCATTCTGGTGACGGAAAACCGCTGTGAAAATCGCATTTGCGAGGGAAACAGTTTAGGTATAGACCTCTTCTAGAAACCCAAGCGTGCATAGGCCGCCGAGCTGATTGAAAGAAATATCAACGACGATGTTCTGCACGAGACACTTGATGAGCTTGACCTGCGAAATAGCACAGGAAAAAAAAGGGGTTGAAACTTTCCGTAGGTCCAGACAGAAGTCAACGGGCGTGTCTAAAACTCCGCAGCAGAGTGCTGGCAAACAGTAAAGATATCTCACGATCGTGGAATTGAGTACCTCGGCGTGAATGTACTGAACTTCTTTCACTTGAAAAAGAGCATCTGCGTTCCGCTCTTCGCGTTCCAGGATCGCCTGAACGTCGTGAACCCACGCGTCCTTCACGGTAGGACCTCGGGAGAATGCGGTTAAGTCAATGTCGCCGTCGGGCAGATAAGTCTTCAGAGGCACTGACCCGAACATAAACACCTACGCGGAGGAAGAAACGCCGAATTAGATAACCCTAACACTGATTCGCAGCGTGAGAAGTACGGCTGAATTAGACAACCCTAACACTGATCCGCAGCGTTTTATAACAGAAAAGAATATCACAATGACTGAAGATCTACCTGGCACTCGAAGCAACGTGAGATAAGCCTCGTGACGTATTCGGAAACGGCCAGCCGTCTTTCCTCTGCTCTTGTTGTGGGTTGAATCTGGGAAATCAGATCAGCCACGCGGGCTTCTGCTATTGGCCATCTGACGACGGAATCCGACGAGCCTCCGCGATCTGAGCTTGGAGATCCTTCTGCAGACGAGATTCCGTTGGACATAGCTACCGCTCCGTACGAGGGAACTTCACTGTCGTCAACCATGGTGTTATTCGACTTCGCGAATGTCGCACAAAATCGCCGAGTTCAGGAATAAAAAAGAAGTCGGCTAATTAGGAAAGAACTTGCGTAAGCTCCGTTTTCGGTAGTTAAAGATAAGGCGGAGAGCTGCGTCGTGTTATCTATAAGACCTACTTTGCTCTCGTATGACAAACGGGCTTTCGAACCAGCTCTGCAACCACACCAGCACCCGTAACGCATGGGCTACCCTACAGAACTGGAAGCGAAGAAACCCAAACATCCAAATAAGGGATGCGATCCGCAGCTGCCTTATAAGGTAGCTTCCTTCAGTTACTAAGATAGTGTAGTTTAGTGTAATCGTTCACCTTTATGACCATGGATCAGACATGGCCAAACTCCAGTCAGCCACGACAGCACAAGCCAAGAGAGGAAACAGGGGTGGTAGGAGGGAAGCAAAGCTGTGAAGAACACCTGCTCGCTTGCTGCTGAGGGTTCATCTTGACGAAGACTTGCGAACCGTGAGAGAGTTCGTTTAGGGCGCGTGTCTTTTGCTGTAGAGGTTCGAAAATTTAATTGAACTTTTGCTGGTAACCTTATTCGCGAATCTCGCTAAACGTTTCGTTTGTGCATCGTGTGTCCTAGTACAACATTGTAGATGACGAATGGGTTGAACTTTCGGTTGAAACTAGGCGTGCACAAAATTTCACTCGTGTGTCCTCTTGACAATGCACTAGGTAGTTGCGAATCTAGGCGACGGTCGTAGCACATTTCGTGCGCACGAACGACTTCGGAAAAAGGGTTACGGAAAAACCAAAAACGCGTCAAAAACAGGGTAACCTACGTAGGTTAACCACGACTCGGGAAAGTTCAACTTCGATTGTTGAACTTTCGCGTGTCTTTTGGTTCTTGTGGGTTGAGGAGCAGCGACTCGGGCTACAGCAACCAATATTGTTGAGCCTAGGTCGACCTAGGTTCAACTGCGTAAGTTCAACTCAAAACTCGAGTTTTGCATGGATTTTACAAAAGACACGCGCCCTTAGGCTGAAAACCGGAGCTGTCGAGTACCTAGATGGTGTGTAGTGGTTACTGGAGAGCTCGAGGTTTTACGACAGTCGTTTTGACATTTGAGACGGTTGGCGAAAGGTTCCAAGAAGCCTGGACTGTCGCGTGCGAATGGGGAGAGGGAACGACAGATTTTGGATGGAGGAATCGGGGCCACACAAACCTGCCACGTTGCATGGCAATGTTGGGAAAGCGAAGTGAAGGCTCACTGAAAAGAAAGCGGTTATATGTAATGAATGAAATCAGGGTGCATCAGCTTAGATTGTTCGATGCGTTCTCCATATCGAGTACAGCTCTTGTTCATCCTCACCACCCCCGAGCTATAAACGCGGAGTGACTCGTTTCGTCATCCTCGTTATTCGGTGCATATTTGCATGGTTAGTCTGAGATAGGTTGCGTTGCGATAGATCGCTATGGCAGACGTGGGAGAAAACTCAGCGCTCGACGACAGCGGGGGTTTTCTTGAAGGGCTTTTTGACAATGATTCGGACGTAATAACCCGACGAATGTGTGTACCTGGCGGGTTGTCGTTCTTCATCGTCGTTCTTCCTTCTTCCCCTCAGTATTCACGCATTCCGCCCATTTTGTCGCGTCTCGTTTCAAACCTACTGCAAGCCTGCTAAATTGCTCCCTCTTCACTCACCGATTCCCGTTTCAGTCCTTCCCGCAATACTGAGTATGCTCAACCGCACTACTGGCGAGCGCGATACGCGGGAGAGAAAACCATCCTTTATGACTGGTACGCCATGATGCCGATGTTCCCGCTACTCATCAATCCGTCGCCGCCTTTCCTCTCTCCCTCTACGACCACCACATTTTCTGGCGTGCTGACGCGACTCTTTGAAGTACTTTTTGAAATACTTCACTCTTGCCTGACATGTCGCACATGTGGGTTCCTGAAGTCCGTTCTCACCTCCGCCTCCCATCAGAAACCACCAATCTGTCAACCTCTTTTCCTCAACACTCAGGTACGATGTTGACTTCGAGTCCTTCTGGCAATCGCACATTGCGCCTCTCTGTTCAATAGAAGAAATGAAAGGGAGGGGACTACAGGAGCTGGATAACTCTTTCCAAAATGGAAGTCACTTACTGGTCCATGAATCATCTTCCACACCAGCAGTGCGAGCAACAGCACCAACAGCAGAGGCAGCATCCGGATCTGCAGAGGCTGGGACAGAGGAAAGGGCAGCAGCAGTGGCACCGCTGGTGGTGGTGGAGATAGGCAGCGGCAATTCAGAGTGGAGCATGCGCATGGCAGAGAGGGGCCTACATGTGATCAGCACGGATGTGGATGCTGGTGTGATGGCATCCATGTCGCGACTCCATGCCTCACATCCTCGCTTTGCCGCCCATCCAGTTGACCGAATGGTTGCTGATGCACGATGCCTGCCATTCCGGGGTATGGAATGCTGCTTATGAATGAAGCGTTTTCTGCCAATTTAGGGCTCTCGTTCTGAAATGATGAATGACGTTTTGCTGACTGAGCTGCATGCTTTCTTTTGTTGCTCACAGGGGTGGTGGATATCGTGGTGGATAAGGGAACCGTGGATGCTCTGCTGTGCCAGCCACCTTCTAAGGTAGGTAGTCGGGGAGTAAAAGGTACTCCACTGTTGTACCTATGTTATTTAGAGCTGATACCTGCTTTGGTACATGCGTTCTCTGCACAACAGACAAACAGGAAGTCAAGTACAATGCTTACATAGCCGTTCTGCTGGCCGTTCCTGTTCCAGGAGTGCAAGTTACAGCCACTTTTGTGTGAGCCTATGAAGGCGGCACCTTCAGGGAAACAAACGGTCATGCCACTTCAAGTTGTGCTTTGGACAGAAGCTGAGAAGAGTGATGGTGTGACATCCCTTGCCAGGTAAGCTACCTGGATAACACAGGCATTCCTGCCGACACATTCCATTCTGATAACACAGTCCATTCCTGTTCCATTCTGATAACACAGTCCATTCCTGACAACACTGCACCACATTCCAGTGATCATTTCTTCTATCTGCTGGTTATATCTTTAACTCATGTCCGCCAGGTCAGTGCACAGATCGTTGAAGCCATGTGGTGCCTGGTTGCTAGCCAGTGCCAAGCCATCAGTTGTTCTGCTCTCTGCAATCGGTCATCAGCAGATGAGCCGGCATTCAAGTTCAGCCTCCTCATCTTTACCCATATCAGATGGATTGGAAAGGAGATTTTGTGTGGATGTGCTCTCTGAGTCATCAAATAATGGAGTCACTGTATTGTATCTGACAAAAGAGTCAGACATGAGATTATGTGAATCTGTGTAAGGAGAATGTAAGACCCTACTGTAAGAATGTATGAATGCTGTCGGCAAGGCCTGAAAAACACACTCCGAGTCCCAGGAGCAGCAAAAACCATGCTGCAGCCCTTTGGGTGGCTGAAGCTGTCAAGCCCCCAGCTCTCTCACTGCACAAACAACATACCGTAAGATGTTGCATCAGACAAAGAGACACAGATGGCAGCAGTGTGGAATGGGAAATCATAGAGAAATACCTCAGTGCCACCATCCCAGGGAGACAGAAAGCAATGGTTGCTGCTCCTGTCGAACCTGCTAGCTCAAATGCTGACTGAATCCCAGGGACATAAAGAGAAGCTGCCAGAATGGTCCCCAACAGCAGAACGGTGGTGAAGATATATCCACAAGGATCATGCTTGAGAGGTACTGAACGTGGAAACAGCACGAATCCAACTGTGGACCGGAGCGAGAAGTGAATCACAGGGAAAACCAGCATCAGGTGAAGGGCATAGAATAGCCGCACAATAACATTCAAGTAACGGCTTCCGGGAATCCCAAGGTCAGCGTCGAAGTTTGCAAGGACGTCAGCATAGGTCGCTTCACCAAAGAGGAGGTAACCAAAAAGAGCTGTCACCATGTATACACTCGTGCAAACAAGAAACGTCTTATGTATCGCATTGTGCATCTTCTCTTCTCGAGGTGGCTTTAGCTCCACCAGAATAGGATGCACTGAGCAGGGGAGAGATAAAAAAACGTTAGACCCAATTGGAATGAGAACAAAAAAAACGTTGAAGAGGGACCCTTACTGTTGTAGTGGCATGTGAAGGCCGTTGCCATGGTGGGGATGACAGAGAGGAGGTGCCAGTAGTCCTGCGATGTGTTCAGCTGAGGAAGCCAGTGCACTCCAGACCAATCAATGGTCCCTTCAACTAGCTTGTACAAAGTAATGAGGATGGTGATGATGACAAAAGCAACTGCTAGCAGGATCGACAGTCCTGATGTGAACCAGAGGGAGTCTGCAGAAAAATTCGGGGGGGTGTATAGTAAGTTGCACGAACAAGAGCAACAATCCTACTGATTCCTGGGTGTCTCTGGGATGAATCATACTGGACAAACCTATGTCTGGAAGGGCGGAAAGAGGCCCAATAACAGTGACAATGGAGGCGAGGAGCACAGTGAGACGGCTGTTCCACCACGTGGGACCTCCAGCCCACTCCTCGAGTAACCCTGAGTAATGCTCTCCATCTGCGCCGTCCGATCCAGACAGTACATCCCCTGACCGAGGGATAATGAAAGGCGAAGAGACAAAATATTCGTAAGGAAACGGACGGGAAACGGACTGACAAGAAATTCTGACTTCAAAAATATGCGGACCTATGATGACAAGGTAGATGACAAGGATGCCTGTGTTATTGACAAAGATGCTCGTTCGGAGCAAAAATCTTCCAACGCTTCCATACGTAGCAGCCATGAGATCGCCGAAGGACCACGCTTTAGCTGCAGTTGTGCTTCTAAGAAGCCGCTGGAGTGAGTATTCATTCACTTCTCCCATTATGGCTAGCACTGTCAGACCAAGAGGAATTCCCAGGACCTGCCATTCACGGGTTTGACAGAGTTAGCCAGCTAGATTGCCTGGACAAACTTTAATCTGATCAGGATTCCGTCACAGGCCAGTGAGAACCTTTATGGTCGCTGGAAGTCCCATGATTCCGGCACCAATGATGGTATTGGAGAGGTTGAATATGGCAGACCCCAGGGTGCTTCCGGGATGTCCATGAGAAATTCCTTCAGATTCTCCATTCTGGTCAAGCGAGACGTGACTTGGGATATCTTGTGCCTTAGCTGGCAACAAAGGGGTGCTTTCGGTTGGTAAGGAGCCTCGACCATTCTCAGTCTTCTCAATAGGTGACCTGTTTCGCAAACAAGAAGTCCGCCTTAGACACCGACAGTAAGTTCTGACTAATCTCTTACTAACAATCTTACGCCATGAGCAAGGCTGTTTGCCGAAATTCCGAATTTGCTGCAACGCGATCAGTCAAGCGAGTAATTACAGTCGACCGCAAGCATAACTCCAATCCCACTAGCCAGCTTTCAGGATTAGAGGAGGTAAGTGAAGTGTGGTGCCTGGAGATGCCATCCTAGCGGCTGGATGAATGTTCTCGTTGAATGAAGAAATGGAAAAAGAAATGAAAATTGCACACGGTGTTATGGTGCGGGCTCATGTAAGGGAGCACGCAGCGATGTTTGGTTGGCCAATGGCCATGTGTCTGGCCACAGCTTCGCCTTGCATCAGCCCCGACGTGGATATGATGGGAGAAGATCATATTGGGGCCGAACATTAGCAGGGAAGTGTCCAAAATAGGTCCGGATAGCCGAACCTGAATTTTTGGAGTCAACAACCGACTTTCCCAAGCTAGCGTATGTGATTTCACTTGTCCGAGATTCTCACCGCCCCACGCGTCGTAACTGACGGAGAGTAAACTTTTGGTTTTTTTTGTCGAAACATCTCTGTATTTTCCACTCGTTTGCGCTACCAAGCACTAGACGACGCAACCCGGAACTGTCAGGGCAGACCAGAAAAACTAAAACCCCTAGGGAACCTGGATGCATTTTCGGGAGGGATCAACCCTAAACACGGGAACCTCTCAAGAGTTTAGGGTTGATGCCTCCCCGAGTCGCATCCGTTTCCGATTGGGTTTTATATTTTTTTTTTGGTCAGGAAAAGTGATGTGATTTTTCCAAGTAACAATCATGTACTGCTGTTCTAAAAAAATATAAACACTACGAAACCACCCCCAGAGGAATTCGACGCGAGCTTCGTAATAGGCGGCGATCTTAATCTAAAACAAATCACTGAACAGAAACAGTCGATATTTTTAAATTTCCTTTAGGTCTCGGTTCGGAACCTAGGCCCAGCCACCTGGGCAGCCCCGGGGGTATATCCAACGGTCGGGATTTACCCGGCCCTAATTTGGTCACTTCTCTGCTAATGTTCGGCCCCAGTTTGATCTTTGCCCGGATATGATGGGCCAATTACAATCTCGAAATGGTGCTGGAGAACACAGATTGGTGAAAGAGACTCGGCTGGTCCAACACGATATCCAATCAAGGAGCGTCATCCGTACTCGTGACAGGGTTAGCCTTCGCTCGAACGAGCCTTTCCATTGACAATGTTTGTTCACGAAGAGTGTATTATATGATTGTAGCAGGTTCAACCCAGTCATACCCAACATTAGTGATTCCCAGGGACTAACTTTACTGCAATAGTCATACCCGTTAACTTGTACTCCAATTCTTCCACAGCTTCTCCTCCAGAACCCAAGCTCCCATGATTCAACTGCTCATGAACCAGTTTTTTCCCAGAGAATGTAGTCATTCCCCTTGTCGACAAGCTTCTCCCACCGCCCCATCAGATCGTTCTGCCGCGACGGGTTCCAGTCAAAGTGCCCGAGCTTAACCACCAGGTTATCCCCGACCTGCGCCACATACCCTTGCGCCACTGCATGGAAGATCTTCACTGGCGATCGGCAGTGCACACCTGCGTGCTTCCGGGCGGCAATCAGCTCGGCGATTTGATCATGGATGCCAAATTCGTACAGGTGATCGTAGAACACAACCGGCTGCACGGGCATCGACATGGACCAAGGGGCACAGGCAACAGGGAATCCAGACAGGTGATTTTGGCTTGAAAGTACCCCATGGCATGACAGTGCATGCAGGGACGAACGTGGTGCTGGGCTTTGGGTCGGACAGTTACCAACAGCGAATCAGCTAGATTTCTTACAGTTCTGATGAAACAAATGATTAATGAAATTGGTGCTCATGCATGCTTGAGCTTGTGCGTGCATCAGCAAGTGGCCTGATGTGCCAGGATGAGACAGGGAGTGAGTGCACTTTTCATCCATAGGTGGCTTACCGTGCCGGGATGGGAGAGGATGTAGGCGTATCCCTGCAGGAGCTTCTCACGAGGGAAGGGCCAGTGGCCCTGCAGGCAGGACACGAGGGAGGGAGAGGAGAATGCAGAAAGGAAGGATCAGAGCAATTTACAATATTCCTAGAGGGTTCTTCTTGAGTGAGACCCGGGCAAACATTGACTCAGATTCAGTAGAGACTTAGCTCTTCTGGCTTTAATTTGGTGTCAGGCCCTACATCCAGAGAAACGCCATGAAGGATTCACTAGTTCCAACCAGCTAGCGTGCTTGCTCTACTCCGGTCATGCTGCAAGAGAAAACGCATGCGATGGAGGAAATACTCGTTTGTCACAGAGGTGTAAGTGGGAGTACCTGAGTGGAGCCGGTGTCGTGGTTCTCAAGGAAGGTGACGGCTCGGGACGGCCACCATCCCATGACGCCAGGTGGCTTGCCCTGCGGGTCGATCAACCGCCAGTACTCGTTGTGCAGTGCCGCATGCAGAATGCCCTGAGGGGGAGGCGAGGAGGATAAGAAGGTGGAGGGGAAGAGAGGGGGGAGGAGGATGGGGGTGAAATGGCAGGATTTTGCACTGATTTTCCTATCCACTTGGAAAAGACAAACGCCACCCCATGACGCCCGGGCGACAGTCCTGCGGGTCGATCACCCGCCAGTCATTCAAATCACAATGGCAAGCGGGGGAGGTACAAGGGGGGCAGGGGAGGGAAGGAGGAAGGTGGGAAGGGAAGGGAGGAAGCACGGATAACATCACAGAAATACTGTGGTCTTGCGAAGATCTCACACTGCCATGCACATATGAGACACAGCAGGAATCAACACCAACCTTGGTGGTGACGTCAAAGGCAGAGGAGGTGCCTCCAGTGGCGTTGATCCAGTTGATGATTCGCTGCCTGTGCGCGTCTGAGATAGAAGGGGAAGGGGTGGTGAGGGGGGCGGGCAAGGGATTGAGGCAGTGAATGGGCAATTGATGGTGATATGTGCAGAGGAGGTGCCTCCAGTGGCGTTGATCCAGTTGATGATTCGCTGCCTTTGCGCATCTGAGATCCACGGGGATAGGGCAAGGGGTGGGTGGGATCCGTGCGACGTTGGATAGACAGTGGTTGAATGACATGCCGAGAACGCTAGCTAGATACAAAAGGCAAACAAAGGCACTTAGAGACGATTTGGAGGAGAGGGCACTCACTCTGGTTGTAGGAGACGGTGCCGCCCTCGTAGCTGAGGCTGTCCCAGTACTCCCCAATGCAGAACGCGGGGCTCGATGCCTCAATGTATTCCTTCACATACCCACCCCAGAACCCACTGTGACACAAGGAACGGGGTGATGAGGGATCAAAGATATTCAGGTTAAGAATACAAGGAAGGGGATGAACCATGGGATGCACTATCTAAGCCTGTATACACCTTTTTTGAGAGCCAGTGTCAGTACAGTACCCCTCCACACCACCCATTTCATAACACCAAAGCCCCAACACCCTTTCCAAACCACCGTGCTCTGCTCAATCCTGAGAGCAGAGGCCGAAGCACATAACCCACATAGTTTTCTTATTTCCCACACATAACCCCTTACCCCCCCACACCCCCCACATTCCTTCCCCCCCTTCTTTGCTCTCACCGGGCGAAGTCAAGGCGCCAGCCGTCATAGCCAACGTCGGCGCGCAGCCAGCGCAGCCACTCGCAGATGTCTTTCCGCACAAAGTCCTGCGAGTGATCGATGTTGGGCGCCGCGTGGAATATGTCACCTGGGGTTCAGCAGGGACAGTGGTGGGAGAGAGAGGAAAGGAGGAAGAGGGGGGTAAAGAGGAAGGGGGAGGGAAAGAGGATTGAGCAAGAGGGAGGGAGACAGGGAGGGGGTGAATGAAGGGAACTGAGTTGTGTGTCGACTTGAGCAAAAGGGAGCAGCCACTCGCAGATGTCTTTCTGCACAAAGTCCTGCGAGTGATCGATGTTGGGCGCCGCGTGGAATATGTCTGCTAGGGTTCGGGTTCAGTGTGGGGGGGGAGGGAAAGCGCACATTGAATCTTGGGACGACCCAAGGTCTTGTGAATGGTCCCTGACAGCAGCGCATGGACCAACTCCTGTGCTTACTAAACCAGGTAAGTCTTACTCATTCTCACCACTGAACCAACTCCTGTGCTTACTAAACCAGCTCTTTTGTGCTCTGAGCGAATCACTGCTGGGGTTGCCCCGACCATGGAAGTTAGGGACATCCCTCACAATGGCCTCTGGCACCCACGCCAGCTTGCCATGCCTGCCCCTCAACACACGCTTCTCATTCTCACCACGAGAACCACTCCTACTCATTTTCACCTGGCCCTCCTTCTGCTTTCTGCTCACCGCTGCTGGGGTTGCCGCGGCCATGGAAGTTGGGGTCGTCCCGGACAATGGCCTCCGGTCCCCACGCCAGCTTGCCGCCAAAGATGTTCCAAATGCCCTCGGGGCTCTTCTTCGGCGCACAGCTCTCACTCTTCCGCCACTAGACCAGCCATTGCTACGCTCTCAGCTCACCACTGCTGGGGTTGCCTCTGCCATGGAAGTTGGGGTCGTCCCGGACAATGGCCTCCGGTCCCCACGCCAGCTTGCCCCCAAAGATGTTCCAAATGCCCTCGGGGCTCTGCTTAGACGCACAGCGGTGGTTCAGCACCACGTCTCCCAGCACCTGGCGAGTGAGTGAAGAGTGAGTAGCAGGAGATAGATGCGATTGAGAAGGGATAAGAGCAGGAGGCAACAAAGGAGCTCTGCTTGAACGCACAGCGGTGGTTCAGCGCCACGTCTCCCAGCACCTGGTGAGTGGGCAGCAAAGGGTGGGGGGCGGGATGTGGGAAGGAACTGGATCGGGAAGTGAGGAAGAGGTCCTGCTTCGACGCACAGCGGTGATTCAGCACCACGTCTCCCAGCACCTGGTGTGTGTGTGGTGTGGAGGGGAAATTAGAGAAATATGGAGGGAGAGCCAAGTCAGTACGGGGCAGTACAGTGGGATATTGGCAGAAAGTAGGGGAAGGCAGGGAGAGCACGTACGAGGAGGTCGTGGTTGTGCAGCTTGCCGATGCAGTACTGCAGCTGCTCCCTGGTGCCGTAGGAGGCAGGAGTGATCGAACAAGGGAGAATAGTGAGACGACACTAGTGGGAGGGCAGGTGAAAGGGGGAGCTTACAAGGAGGTCGTGGTTGTGCAGCTCGTCAATGCAGTACTGCAGCTGCTCCTTGGTGCCGTAGCACGAGTTGAGGTTGTACAGGTCCACCGGCATGTACCCTGCAGCACCGCACGGAGCGGGAGGGGGTTGTGGGGTTGAAGTTTCTTACAGTCTCCAATGGTTGTAATGATGGCTTGGGATGTACCCTCATGGATGCACCCCCAACCCGGACCCTGATCACCCAGCAATAGCCACCCCCTAATGACACTGAACCCCCCTCACTCACCCCTTAGGGTGTCACTGACAATCTGGGGGGCCGCAGCCACTCGGGAAGAGCTCCACCCAGCAGGCCGCCATGTCAGCAGCCCTGGGGGCGAGCTCCACCCAGCACTTGCAGTGCACCCCCCACCCTGAACACCACTCACCACACCTGACCACCACGGACCACCCATAACCACCGGCACACACCTTGGGGCGACACCGACTCCGTGGGAGGTGGCAGCCACACGGCCGTGATGCCGCAGGCTGCCATGTCAGCAGCCCTGGGGGCGAGCTCCAGGTACCAGTCGCGCTTGTTGCTCTCCCAGTTGAACGCCTGGATCTGCAGAAAGGAGGTGCGTGGTGCGGAGGGGCGAGGAGGGGTGTCGAGTGGTGAGCAAGTGCTGCGGAGCGAGATGGGGGAGCATGAAGGGGTGACAAGTGGCGAGCTCCAGGTACCAGTCGCGCTTGTTGCTCTCCCAGCTGAACGCCTGGATCTGCAGTGCGGTGAGGAGGGATAGGGTGCAGTGGGAGAGATGAATGGAGGGGGGCGGAGGAGTATTGGGGGAGATGGAGGGGTATGATGTGGGAAATTAGGGCCTGGGCTTAGTGGTTAGATCTTCTCCAATCTCTGTGCACAGATGCATTCGGCTGAAAAAGGGTCTAACGGCAAAAGTTGCTGGTTCAACAGAACCCATCCTTCCCCACCTCCCTTCCTCCCTCCCCCCTCCCTTCAACTCCCAAATCCAACAAAAAAAGAGGGGATGGTAGCTTACCACGACCTCACGACCACTTCCCGTGCCAGACTCTGCACATTGAAAGAGTTGGGTGGGGAATTGAGTTGGGGCACATTCGAAAGGGGAAAACATTGGGTTGGGCTCAGTGGCCAAGTGACAGGCATTGTGTATGGGTGTGACTTCTCAGTGTGAGTGGCAAAGAGTGAGTTTCAGAGGGGGTTGTAACGAGTCTGGGAGTGCAAGGCAATTAAAGGGCAAAGATGGAAGGAAGATGAAAGAGGAGCGAGGGGAGAGACGGAGGGAGGGGAGGGAGGGACGGAGGGACGGAGAGAGGGAGGGAGGGAGGGAGGGAGGGAGGGAGGGGGGGAGGGAGGGCGAAATGGAGAGGATGGAAAGGAGAGAGGCAGGCAGGCAATGACAACTACGGCCATATGTTGCCTAACAACTATCACCACGCATGCCCTCCCACTGCCACCCATGCCCTTGCACTTGGGCGTTTGGGCGCCTCGCACTGAAGGACCCCATACCCTGCCATCCCTCCCAATCCCTGCCCTCTGCCCCCTGCCCTCTTGGCCATACCCCCAATCAATCCCAACCCCCCCACCCCTTCTTCCCCCCCCCCCACACCCCTCACCTTTGCTCTCCTCCAGCTCCTCGGGCGACCGGATGCGCTTGGGCGCCTTGCGCTGCAGGGCGCGCTCCAGCTCCTTGCGCTTCTCCTCAATTTCCTTTGCCTCTGCCTCGCGCGCCTCTGCCTCCTTGGTGAACTTGTCGTCCGCCACCTGCCCATGATGGTATAACAGGGTTTCAGGGAGGTTAAGCAGGGAGAAGAAGTGGGAACAGGGGGAAGAGAAAGGGGAAACAGGGGTGAAAGAGATGGCAAACGGTTCCTTGCACTTCTCCTCAATCTCCCTCGCCTGTGCCTCGCGCGCCTCTGCCTCCGCCTCCGCCTCCTTGGTGTACTTGTCGTCTGCCACCTGTGCTGAGTGCGGTTTGCAGGTATTCAGTTTGGTGCAGTTTGCAGGTAATCAGTTGGACGTGGTTTGAAGGTATTCAGTTGGGTGTGGTTTGCATGTATTCAGTTCAGCAAATTGACACATAATCCACCAGTCCTACCAACTGTGCCTTACCTCTTCCCTCCATCGCATCATCTCAACTTGTGCAGAGCAATCGACCACACGTCATCAAGCGTGGGCAGCTTTAGAGGCACGGCAGCCTACACGTTGTCTAGCTCCACAGAGATAAGCAGCGATGGCAGCGGCATCCTCGTGAGCATCTTGCGCTGTAGGCAGCTGCACCAAACACAGCATATGGTGCCGCTTGTGCTGCCTTAAACACTGGGTGTCAGGTCAACGCATCTCACCTTGTGCAGAGCAATGGACCACACGTCATCAGGTGTGGGCAACTTCAACGGCACAACAGCCTGCACGTTCTCCAGCTCCACAGAGATGGGCAGTGACGGCAACGGAGTGCTCGTGAGCGTCTTGTCGCTTGGCAGACGTAGGGAGCACCGGGTGACACCGCATCTCACCTTGTGCAGAGCAATCGACCACACATCATCAGGTGTGGGTAACTTCAACGGCACAGCAGCCTGCACGTTCTCTAGCTCCACAGAGATGGGCAGCGACGGCAGCGGAGTGCTCGTGAGCGTCTTGCGCTGCAGCCACTCGGGCCGCTCCCTCCTGGGCCCGTCCGCCAGAATGCGCCACTTCTCCGACTGCGTCCCCAGCATCACGTCCATGCGCCCGCGCGCCACTGCCTCCCCCACCTCCGCCTCCACAGGCGCAGCCGGAACAGCAGGAACAGCAGGGGCAGGCGCAGAGGGTTCCTTCACAGCATCCAGCCCACGTGATTTGGCCTGAAAGGGCACCAGGGAAAGGAGGTGCAGGGAGGAAAATGAGAGAGTGTTGAGTTGACGGCCCTCGGGCTGCTCCCTCCTGGGCCCGTCAGCCAGAATGCGCCACTTCTCCGACTGCGTCCCCAGCATCACGTCCATGCGCCCGCGCGCCACCGCCTCCCCCACTTCTGCCTCCACAGGCGCAGCGGGAACAGCAGGAACAGCAGGGGCAGGCGCAGAGGGTTCCTTCACAGCATCCAGCCCACGCGATTTGGCCTGAAAGGGCGTGAGGGAAAGGGTGTGTAGGGAGGAAGATTGGAAAGAGTTAAGATGAGCCACTAGGGCTTCTCCCTCCTGAACCCGTCTGCCAGAACGCACCAGGTACTGCAGCGTCAAACTCCCCAAAACGACAGCTGAAAAAGCAACTCACCAGGGCAAACAGGTCCTCCACTGCCAGGCACCGCTCCCTCCACTTCCCCGTGCTCTCATATGCTTTTCACAGGGTCATCTGCACTGCGGCAAACTGTCGCAACAACAGAAAGCAAAGCAGCCAAGAACGCAACTCACCAGGGCAAACAGCTCCTCCACTGCCAGGCACCGCTCCCTCCACTTCCTTGTGCTCTCCTCCGCGGCCGCCAGGCTCCTCTGCAGCGCAGCAAAGCGGCGTGCCACGGCCTGGTCCTTGACCTTGTCCGCCTTCTGTGCTGCCATTGCTGCCGCCCTCAAACTCTCCGTCTCCGCCTTGTATGCCAGCGCTGCCGCCTTCTCCCTGCCCTCGGAAGCCAACTGAGGAGGCAGAGTTGAGTGCAGGGTGGGTGGGGGACAGGGGGTCAATGGAGAAGGGGAAGCAGGGGAAGCAGGGTGCAGGGTGCATCTGAGGTGAGACAGGCTCCTCTGCAGTGCAGCAAAGCGGCGTGCCACGGCCTGGTCCTTGACCTTGTCCGCCTTCTGTGCTGCCATTGCTGCCGCCCTCAAACTCTCCGTCAACGCCTTATACGCCAGCGCTGCCGCCTTCTCCCTGCCCTCCGACGCCAGCTGAGGAAGAGAAGGGTTTAGGGGTAGGGAGGTGGTATTGGAGGAGGGAAAACAGCAGGGTACAGAATGTTTATAAGCTCGCACGGACTCTCTGTCTCCACCTTGTACGCCAGAGCTGACGCCTTCTCCCTGCCCTCTGCCAACTGAGAATGAGGACGAGAGTAGAGGGGAAGAGGGCAAAAGGGGCGAGAGTGTCACAGGGAATAGAGGGAGGAACATAAAAAGTTTTACCATAGTCAAGCATACACCCACCCCCAAACCCATTCATGTCGCACACTCACCAGTCTACTCAACCCACCCTCGTATTCACTCACCCATATGTCAACCCACCCGCAGGTCAACCCAACCTTGTGTGTGCTCTCACCCGCATGCCCTCTAGCGCCCTCTCCTTGGCCGCCCTCTCCGCCAGCGCCTGAATCTCCGCCACCGCTGCTGCCTGTATTGACACTATGCGCGACTCACCCACATGTCAACCCAACCACCCACGTGTCAACCCAACCCCGTGTGTGCTCTCACCCGCATGGCCTCCAGCGCCCTCTCAGTGGCGTCCTCTCTCTCCTTGGCCGTCCTCTCCGCCAGCGCCTGGATCTCCGCCACTGCTGCCTGCGTCGACACTATGCGCGACTCTGCTGCTTCAGCACGCGCTATGGCCGCCTGAACATGGGCGGGCGCACGTGAGTGGGGGAGGGAGGTCACCTCAAAACAGGGTGAGGGAGGAGGTCGCTACAAAGGGGAGCAATTATGCACGATCGGGGCGACTCAAGAATCAGCGACACACAAACTCTCATCTTGAAACCCAAACCAGCCCCTCCCCCTTCCCTCTCCCTCCAAAACCCCAAACCTGGACCCCTTCCCATCGCCCACCTTGATCTCCATGCGCAGGGTCTCCTTCTCGCTCTCCGCCTGCTCCAGCTTCAGCTGCAGCGCCGTGCGCTGCTCCTCCGAGCGCATGAGCGCCACCTCCGCGTGCCCCAGGCGGTCTAGCACGTCCAGCCGCTCCTGCAGCGCCGCCTCCGCGGACCGCGCCTGCTCCTTGGCTATGTCCGCCGCTGCTATCGCGTCCTCTATGGTTGCCTTCGCCTCCTCGATCACTGCGGGGAAGGTAGGGGTAAGGCAGGCGCAAGGACAGGGGCAGGGGGAGGGGCCGGGGACGGGCAGGGAAAGAGGCGTAGGGAGGGCGAGAGAGGAGGCGGGAGAGGAGCAGGACAGAGGAGGGCGAGGGCACAGCGGATGAGGGAAGGATCAGTTGACATGAGCCGCAGAAGCCCGGAAGGGGTGGAGAACAAGAAAGTTGCAGCTATTCGAACCTACTCAAGCCACACGTCACATACAGACAGACAAAAAGCAAGCACGCCAAGACCTACCAGCAGCAGCAGCCTCATCCGCAGCGAGCCTAATCCTCTCCTCCATCTGCGCTGCCAGATCCGCCGCCTCTGCCTTGGCCGCGGCGATCTTGAGCCGCGCGTCCTCCGCCACGGCCTGAGTCTGCTCCTGCACAGCCAGCGCCGCCATCTGCTCCACCTTCATCGCCAAATCAATCCCCTCCTGCTTCGCCTGCGCTAGCTGCTGCTCCACCTCCTCCTTCTCCCGCTGCAGCCTCGCCACCTCCTCTTTAAACTTCTCCTTAGCCGCCTCTACTTCGTTAACCGCCTCTTCGGTAGTCAGGACCATCTGAGCGGACATGGCTTCGACCTTTGCTTCCGCCACGGTTACTGCCTCTAGAGCGAGCTCCTTGGCTTGCAGCGCGCTGGCTGCGGCCTCCTCTGCGGCGGCGAGGGACGCCTTGAGCGCCTGGATGGTGTCCTCGGGGGACGCAGTGGGGCTCAGCGCAGTGCCATTGGCGTCCGATGTCGCGCTTTCTGCTGGGCCCGTCTGGTGGGAGCGGAGGAGAGGGGAGGGAAGAGGTGGGGAGGGTGGAAGAGGGTGGAAGGGATGCAACGGGGCTTAACGCGACGCCCTTGATCAGGTTCCGCAAGAGCAATCAATTAACATGACTTGACTTTTTAGGCGACCCAAAAGACGGGATAAATTCAGCTAGAGCGGTTTGATGATATAGAGCGTTACCTCGTTTGCGATTCGAAGCCTTCTGAAGTCCAACGTGGGTGGAGACCTTTTCCCAGGCTGACCCAGGATCAAGCTCCTGGCGATGTGTGGTGCACGCACATGCATGTCGCGGAAAGAGGGGCGTGTCCCATGCACAAAGACAGAAAGCACGGAAGGAAGGAACAGGCTTGGCATCAACAGCAAGTACGCACTCTCCACGTCACCTGTTATCACGTATGCTAAAACACAGTGGCAAATTCACACCGCAAGAAGCTGCAGGCAGCACGTACAACGTGGGCAACGTCCAACGCGTCAAACTGCGTAACGCGGCTTTTCTGAAAGTATGAAGTGATAATTCCAGCCCCTGTTCGCAAAAAATGAGCCGCGTCTCACCTCTGTCCCAGGAACAGGCTGCGGCCAGCAGCAGAGGCAGCAGCTGCGGATCGGAGACGAGGGGAGCCGTCCAGGGCATGCCCTGTGCTGTAGAGAGCAGCAGCAGCAGCCGTGGGGAGGCGGGGAGGGGAGCGCTGCCTAGGGGGCGATGACGGGCGGAGCGTGTACAGCAGACGGTTGGATTTGGCTGCCGTTGCTGCTGTGGTAGCGGTGGCGGAGGTGGCGGAGAGCGAGCGAAATGCGGTGGTGGAGAGAGAGTGCGAAGGAAGTTTCGAGCGGACGCAAAGGGTGGATGTTGAGTTTGATGAGGCTGATGCTGATGCTGATACTGATGCTGAGACTGATGCTGGTGCTGATGATGCTGCCAGCGGTGCTACGCCACTCATGCACGCCTGTTGGGGTATTCGGGAAAAGCAGAAACATTGCACTTAAGGAAGAAGTGGGAAAACATGACCATAGCTGCTCATGAATGACTCTGGGGACGCGTGGTGGTGACGACAATTTGTCATGCAAACAAGTGACCAGAGGATTGCATAGAAAGAAATAGATGAAACGTCCGAATTCGAGCAAACAGGAGCTGGAACGGTACAATGTTGACTGTTCCAGTGACGCGAAGATAGGCATGAACCTGACACGAAATACACAGACAGTCGTTTCTGGAGCTGATGCAAACGCGCACTCAATCTGATCCGAACAGACATGCGCAATCTGCATATGGAGCAGGCACTCAAGCTCAATCACGCATAGACCCGACCTAATGCAATAAAAAAACCGCGAAACGGGAAACAGCACCGCTTCACTTTGCTGCCTTTTTCAGCAGGAAAAGGTATAGATCTTGACGGACAGGATGCAGAACTCTGAACGACGAAAACAACTCTTGTGGACACACGAAGGAACACGACAACTCAAGCGACTGACGCATCGAGAAAACCCTCTTTGCGAATTCGTTCATCGCAGCAGCGTCTCTGCAAGATACTAGTGAACCCTGATCCAAAGTCGAAAGATATTGACAGAAACGAAGGAGCAAGGCCGTAGTGAAGGAACAGACGACGAGTGCGGAAAGAAACGGACCATGACTGATCGCCCGCAGAGAGGGCCCGAGGAAAGGATTGAAGCAGCTGCATCAGATGCTCATCCTATCGTCATGCGCGTGAAGGCTCCACGGCAATTCGAGAATGTCGACGAGGATCCTTCCTGAAGGGAGAACGGTGCATTAGCTAAACAATTTGTTTGAACAATACAACCCGGATTCAACGGAGTAAAGTTCGGACGAAGTAATGCTAGTTAACAAAGTACGATGAGGATTATATGATAGGATCAGTTGCTAATACAATCATACGCGAATCCGTAGGATCAAGGCGCAACGAATTTGCAACGCACCAAGAGATGAGTGGCCTCCACACCCTGGACAATACCGAACGAGACTATGAACTAGATCAGAGACAAACGACCAGGTGATGAATCTGGGAAAAGAAAGTGATGGGAGGGAAGGGGATGATATCTAGGGCAACGCGTGTCTGTCTGAGTGAGTGAGCCAAGCAGGTGTAGGTCCTCGGGATTTTCCTACGACAATCCATGTCTTTCTCGAAGTTCTTCGCGATCTCTTTTGAGATCGTTACCTGTGTTCGCAAAACGTTTCGGGGTCCCGTTCAGTATGTGCGACTCTTTTTGGATCGAACCTCGCACGACAAACGTGAAGGCAACGGGACGAAAAGACTCCTCTCGAGTCGAGTTTCCCGACTTCCGCAAGCAAGCCCCAAGAACCGAGAGCTTTGAGGTGGGGGCGGGGGGATTGCGGAGGGCAAGCCTGGGGGAAGCAAACAGGGAGGAGGAGGTTGCAGGCGGGGGGGGCGCTGTGCGTAGCTTCCGAGGTTCGTTCCGCGGGACTTTTTGCCTTCTGACACGCTCGCGCGTAAAGATTTGTTGGGTGGATCGCACAGATAGGGTTCGTTAGTGACGCGTCGGCGCTGTGGCAATGGCGTAATTTGACCAATTGACAGAAAGGCAACACCACGTGGCAGCCTGCGTAAGGCCCAACGGTTCGTCGAAAGGCAAAAGTTATCAAGGGCCAAGGATCGCACGACAACAATCAGATCTAGCCACGTGGAAAGACCTGCCATCACCGACCGTGCTCAACAACAGCTTCACTACGATTAGATACGTAGGGACCTTACAAATATCGTTGTGTTTTTCTGTGTGAGTATGTATGTGTGTGTTATTTCATGACAAATCACGTATATGGAAAGCTTCCTGAGCCTGAACTCACTACCAGTGCCTGCATCATCAGCAGCGACTTCAGATACACAGAGCCCCACTTCTGAAAGCAAAGCAACATATGCACGCACAAGTGCCGGTATAGAAATGCAAGTCTTTCATCAGAGACACCACTAACTCAAATCACCAGCTGGCATCTCGCACCTCACTCCATGACAGCAAAGCACCAAGCAGCCGAGAGTGCTGGTCATTTGAGATACTTAAAGCCCTACGCAGGTCTGTGAGCAACACCTCCTTATCCCACGTAATCCCCTGCCCCCCTCCCTGCACCCACAGCGCATCCAACACACCCCCATACGCCGTCTCTGCTACAGCCTCCACTCCCCTGCCCCCTCTCCCCTCCCCATGGGCCAAACCCACTGCATCCTCTCTATAGAGCGATCCAGTGGACGGCCTATACTGCTCATTCACCTCAGCAGCACCAGAGCTGGCGTGGTGAACTATCCTTGGCCCCGCCAGGCCCTCTATCCCTGTGTGAGCATGAGTATCTTGAAAATGAGGGCCCTGGTTCACTGCAAGGTCCGCTACTCCTGTGTGAGTGTGAGTGTCTTGAAAGAGAGGGCCCTGGCGGTGCCAGGAGCCAAAGAAGCGTTGCCGCTTCACTCCGCCTATGTGCTGCTCGGAACATAAGAGGTGGCCTGGTGGGGTGCTGGTTACCCGCGCTGATGAGATAATGTGGTTACCAGCACTCGCAGGAGTTACTGGAGCATGGGGTGTGGCAAGGACTGTGCTTGCTATTGCATGTGCCTTGTTCAAAAATTCTGCTGAGCCGTGTCCATGTCCGGACAAACGGCCTGCTGCAGTGGTGAGTGCAGATGGCGAGGTCACCCTGGCATGATGCCCTGTGGCTGCTCCTGCTGCTGATTCGTGCCGCACTATGCTCCCGCACACCTCCTCCCCCACCACCTCCACCACATCATCATCACCATCACCATCATCATCTGCATCACCATCCTCATCCGCATCATCGTCACCATCGACGTCAACATCAGTAGTGTCATCACCACCACCATCAGTAGCATCATCATCAGCATACTCCTTATCCTTTTTCTTGAATAGCTTCCTCCCTTCCACCTCCTCAGAGCCCATCTCCTCTCCCGTCCTCGCCCTTTTCCCCACCACTCCACCTCTTCCCCTGCAACCAGTCTCCTGCGCCCCCGCTGCCTCCTCTCCCTCATCCTCACTCCCCAACACCACCACCACTCCTCCACCTGCCCTCTCCTCACCAACCCCTTCCTCTCCCACCTCCTGCACCTCCTCCTCCTCCTCCTCCACCTCCTCCACATCCTCACTGCTCCTCCCACCATCAACCGTCCCTCCCTCTCCTCGCCTGTCTTGAAGCGCTTCAGAAGCTGCCTCTGCCAGTTGACCTGGCAGTTGGCCCCGCTGCCCCCGCTGCCCTCGCAGATTCTCCCCAACCACCACGGGGGTTGCGGGCATTGCAGCAGGGGTGGCAGGGGCACCAACACCAACAGCAGGTGTGTTAGCGGCTGGAGCGCCAAGGGCTCGTGAGGCCACAGGTGTGGTTGGTGGTACGGTGGGATTGGCAAGGCATGCGGCAGGTGCTTTCAGCAGATCAGGTGATTTTAACAGAGCAGATGATCTCAACAGATCAGGCGATTTCAACAGAGCAGGTGATTTCAATGTGACATTGGGAGTGGTGGCCTTCAAAACACCTTCTCTCCCTCCTCCTCCTCTGTCTCTACCTAATCGTCTCTCCTCTCCTCCTTTCTTTTCCTTGCACTGCCGCGCAAGCCCCTCCCTCTTCCTCACCTTCCCATCAACCGTACTCTTACCATCCCCGGGTCTCCTACCACCACCCCTCTCAACCTCCGTCTCCTTCTCCTCCACCTCAACAATCCCCTTGTGCGTGTGCAGCCCTCCCTTCCTGCCTGCCGCGTATCCCTGACCCGTCTTCCTCCGTTTGTAAACCACCACTGCAGGAGCAGTGGTAGCACTGACAGCAGCATCTGCAGCACCCAGGTCCCACGGGTCATCCTCACAGGGGATACTCTGACCGGTGCCATCCTGGCAGGTGCCATCCTGACCGGTGCCATCCTGACAAGTGCCATCCTGACAAGTGCCATCCTGGCAAGTGCCATCCTGACAAGTGCCATCCTGGCAAGTGCCATCCTGGCAAGTGCCATCCTGACAAGTGCCATCCTGACAAGTGCCATCCTGGCAAGTGCCATCCTGACAAGTGCCATCCTGGCAAGTGCCATCCTGACAAGTGCCATCCTGACAAGTGCCATCCTGACAAGTGCCATCCTGGCAAGTGCCATCCTGGCAGGTGCCATCCTGGCAGGTTGTATCTGCTGACGAGCACGCACGCCCACCCCCCTCGTCTGGTTTCAAGCCCCCGCTTTGACCCAGCCCCTTCTCTTCCACTCCTTGCCTTACCCCCTCCCCTTCCAATGAACCAAATGAGAGCGCAAAGATGCCTGCTTTGCTGCCAAGAATCGTGGCTAGAGCAGTGGCCTTCTTTCCTTCTTCCTCACTGCCTTGGCACTTCTCCTCCTCTCCCTTCTCATCTCCACCCTCCCCTCCCTTCTCATCTCCACCCTCCCCTCCCTTCTCATCTCCACCCTCCCCTCCCTTCTCATCTCCACCCTCCTCTCCCTTCTCATCTCCACCCTTCTCTCCCTTATAATCTCCACCCTCTTCTCGCTTCTCATCTCCACCCTTCTCGTCCACTCCAGTCTTCGCCCCAGCATCCCTCTTTTCACCATCCCCTCTGCCAACTGCTCCCTCACATCCGTCACAATCAGCGCCATCACCCGCACTCACACCCACAGAGCCCGCCCGCCCTTCAATAACGGCACCCTGTCCTACTGTCACCTGCCCATGCGTTCGATTCAGCTGCTCTTCTTGATCTTTCTCCCCATGAGCAGCAGCCTGCATCTCCACTCCACCCTGCCCCTGCCTGCACTGCCCTCCACTTTTCCCTCTACACTCTCCTCTACACGCCCCAACACCTGGCTTTGCTGCTGCTTGTTCAGCTGCTGCTGGCCCTGCTGATATTGCACCTCTTTCTGCTGTCTCCCCTGCTCGTTCTGCTGCTGAAATTCCTTCTCTGTCCTCTGCTGCTACTGCTTCTGAATCTGATGCTGCTGCTTCTGCTGCTGCAGCCTCTGCTGCTGCTGCTGCTGCCATCTCGTCTACTTCCTCTGCCTCTCTGCCTGCTCCCGTTCCTTCCCTCAAAACAACCTCAACCCCCACCTCAGCCTCGGCCCCTGATGTCTTGTGACACGCCTCAAAAGCCGCCGCTTGATCTCCCATTACGCCCTCATCTCCCGCTGCTGCAGCAGCAGCAGCAGCAGCAGCCATATCCGCAGCATCGGTTGGATCAGTTACAGCTTCCGTTGCAGCATCACCAACAGGTGCAGTTGCAGCATCCGGTAGAGCATGAGGACACGCTGACTCACAGGCACCATCCATCATTCCATTGGAACCAGCAGTAGCCGTTACAATGTCGCCAGCAGGAGCTGCAACAGAAGCAGCGGTGGCTGTAGCAGTAACAGTTGTAGCAGCAGGTGAATGCTTGCAAGGTATCCACTCGCCCTGAAGCCAGTCCATTCTTGTGCGCAGGTCACGGGCCAGAAACACCTTCTGCTCCTCTGATCCCTGCAAGCACACTCGGAACGCCAGCACCTCAGCCTCGGTGCCGAGCCTAGCGCCAGACGTGGCGCCGGGAGAGTCAGGTTCCGGCGTGGTTCGGCCAAGGATGGTGCCGATCCACCAGGCGTTGTTGTGCCAAACCTCCACTGCTTGGCCCTAGGAGGGAGGCGCGTAGGGGAGGACAGGGAGAAAAGCGGGGAAAGGGGGAAAAAGCAGGGAGAGAGGGGAGAAGGGGGAAAGGTTTGGAAAGGAAAACAAGGAATGGGTGCGTAGCTATAAAGATATCAACGAGCATGTTAAAAACCACGCCCATCGCCCTTCAAAACAACTCTTCCTGTTCCCGCCTACCTCGTTCCACGTGGCAGAGCCGCCTCCCTCCATGCCAGGTGGCACAGGGCGGATCTGATCCAAGCTGACGTGTTCACTCAGCCTGGTCACCCCGTCGGCCTCCATCATCTCCTCGTACCGCACTGAACCCGTCTGCGCGCCTCTGTCTACCGCCAGCAGCACGGCAGTGAACCATCCCCCCTGAAGGCCCGCCCCCTGGCGGGAAACCTCCACCCTCTCCCCCACGCGCCACCGCTTGGGGGAAAGGGCGGACATGCTGGGAGGGGGGGAAGCGGAAGAGGGGAGCCGGAAATGGAAGAAGAGTGAGGTAAAGGGTGGGGAAAGAAAAGGGGGATATTGCTAAAGGGAAAGCCAAAAATATCCGCGTTTTTGTTAACAACAAATGTTATAAAAATGTAGTCACGTGCGAAGCTTCTTGGAAGCAAAAAACGTGCGCTCCCCGCTTCCCTCCGCTTTCCCCGACCCAGCAGCACCACTAACGCCGCATTGCGCGTCCCACCCTCTGAAAGGGCTCTCAAAAACCTCCGCATTTTTCCCCTTGCCTCTCCGCTACCCTGCGCTTTTCCCCCTTACCTCTCCGCTACCCTGCGCTCTTCCCCATTACCAGCATCGCATCGCGCGTCCCAGCCACCCAAATCTCCACGTTAACAAGAAAATACGCGCGCCAAACCCGCCCCGTACCCGCGCAACCATCAGCGATAGTTCACGTGGTCGGGAAGCAATACTTGGTTGAAACAGATAGAAGCTAATTCTATAAAATAAACACTTTGCAAAAATAACTCCGAAACCAATACCTGATCAGAGGCAGCGCCTCGAAGTGGCCGGCGGAATCTTCGAAACCGCCTACGAACTGCCTATAGACGGGTCTGCCTATGAACCAAATAACCAGATTCTACCATAGCCGATCCTGTAAGATCGATAGTAAGAGGAATGACACCTGAAATTGACAACACTATTGCCTGAAAGCTAAGCAGAGTTTCCTCGGAAAACATCATATGAGTAACGCTCCTATGCCAGCCACCGCCGTCTCAACAGCCAGCTCAGTGACCATAAGCTGACTCAATTTATTTCCCGAAAATGAGTCTGGGACTGGGAGATAGGCGGCTGAATCGCGGCTGCCAGCACCTGAGAAACTGTTCCCCAAAGCTTTTGGGGATCCATCCAGAATCTTATACTCTTTTGAACAGTACACATTATTCAATTCATGCACAGCAATTGAGAGATAAACTTGTAAAGCACATATATTGTTACAATCTTTCTGTACAAAAACCTCTATGGAAATAAACAGGCCCCGCGACTCGGGTAGCAACATCTGCACAACTTCCTCCTCAACAGTGGCTTCCCCCCATTCAATCACGTCACACACATAGGCTCACAAATCAACATTGTTATTCGTTAAGATGTGAATATCAGCATTGCATACGCATCTCCCAACTTCCATCTTCCATCTCACATATCCCATCTCCCACTTTCCATCTCCCATCTCCCATCTCCCACGCTACATCTCTCATCTCCCATCTCCCACTTTCGATAAAACGGCCAGCAAATCGGCCACCATATGTGTCACATTTACAAACCCTAGTTTGAAAGTCATTGATGTGTCGACTAAAAGTCGCCCAATCAGTCGAGTCCCGCGAAAGAAAATTGACGACCCAAATGGTCGACAAAGAATAGGCCAAACACACTTTCGCGGATCCGACACACACTTACATCTCCCACTTTCCATCTCCTATCTTCCATCCCCTATCTCTCATCTCCCACCTCCTACTTTCCATCTCACATCTCCCATCTCCCATCTCCCGTCTTTCATCTCCCATTTACCACCTCCGATCTTCCATCTCCCATCCCCCATCTCCCATCCCCTATCTCCCATCCCCCATCTCCTATCTCCTATCTCCCATACCCATTTCCCATGTTCTATCTCCCATTTCCCACTTTACATCCCCCATCTCCCACTTTCCATCTCCTATCTCGAATCTCACGTCTTCCATCTTATATCTCCCATCTCCCATCTCCCTCTTTCCATCTCTCATCTCCCTCTTTCCATCTCTCTTCTCCCATATCTCATTTTCTAACGCATAAAAATCAGGAGTTTATGAGCTGTTGTTAGCGTGTCATCGAGAAATGCAAATATATCATCTGTTCGTTGTCACGAATAATTCTAGGTGGGCGTTTCCAACGCTGGTCGCGGTAGTAGATGACACAGATTCGCCTCTTGTTGTGTCGCGATTAGCGTATTGGGAGAACGACCAGTCATTTTTACCCTATCACATGACGCTTTTGAAAACCGTGGCTGATGTGACCTTGCAGTACGCCCATGCTCGTGTTTTCCTGCTTCGTTGTCAATAAGGGGGAAGGGGGTTTGGGGTTTTTTGGTGGACAGGTAAGGAGAGGAGATAGGAAATGGGGGAAGCTTTTTGGGCGGAAGCCCCGCAGTTGATGGACGTTCGCATTTACGTGTAAAATTATATCAAGAGCCATGTTGATATTTATTGGGCTGGATTCTTTCAGAGAAGATCAACGGTTTTAATTGGTTGTACCGACAAACATTTCATTTTTTGCATATTGCCCTGGACGGGCCAGTACTGGTCGAAATAAAAATGGGCCAGCATCATATGTATTCATATTCTCTTTATATCTGGTTTTTGATTCATTTATTTAGTGAATATTTAATAGGGTCTCATCCGACAATTTTGGAAAATGAGCTGGACTGATGTCTTCTTGAAACGTTTGGAAGGTCCGTTATTTGCTCGTGGATGAATGATAAACCTCAAAATGATGACATGCGTTTATTGATAAGCCAATTGTATATGAAGAATTATCATGGTGTTTCGAGTTGACCCCATCCCTACAGGGTTGTTGTTGTTGTTGTTGTTGTTGTTGTTGTTGTTGTTGTTGTTGTTGTTGTTGTTGTTGTTGTTGTGGTTTTTTTTTTTTTTTTTGCCGGGGTACAGTTGGCGGCTGGTTGTGTATCTTCGTTGCTTGACGGACATACAGCCTTTGGCGAGTACGGACAAGTTGGATGTATATGCAAAGCGACATGGGCCTATTCCGAAATGTTTTTTATGTTGGCTCGAAAAAGCACATGTGAGATTGCTCCTCTCATTGAAGGGCATTTATCTTAGTGGTCACAGTCATGGAGGTCGATTGCACCGAAGGTAAGCCACGCGTACAAATCGTAACAAACGTATCGTGTGATCGCCCTGGTCGTAACCATTGTTTCCTACCTGGTCAACATTATTGCCTGAGTGGTAATGAACAGTGCATTTCGGACTTCAAACTAGTAACAGAACATTTCAACCGTAGTGTACACCGTACGTACACATTTGTACTCGGCAGAACGATAATCGATAAGAGACAATGGCTCGCGTGGTAGTAAATTTACATGTATAACTCGAACATGTGAGGCTGAATTGAAAAAAATCAAGGCTATTATTTTTGTTGTAACAGAACATTTTTGAAATATGGTCTATCAACCCCACAAAAATCATGAACGGACATCTTATTCATGACCTTTTTGGGGTTCATAAACCAAAATTAATAAAAAAAATATATTTTACAAAAAAATTATAGCCTTGATTGTTTTCATTTCAGGCTCACATTTTCGAGTTATACATACGAATTTATTAGAACGCGAGTCATTGTCTCTTATCGATTACCGTTTTGCCGAGTGAAAATGTGTACGTACGGTGAGCACTACGGTTGAAATGATCTGTTACCAGTTTGGAGTCTGAAATGCACTGTTCATTACCACTCAGGCAATAATGTTGACCAGGTAGGAACCAATGGTTACGACCAGGGCGATCACACGATACGTTTGTTACGATTTGTACGCGTGGCTTACCTTCGTTGCAATCGATCTCCATGACTGTGACCCCTAAGATAAATGCCCGTCATTGAAGCCTTTTTGCAGGTGCTAGGGTCGTCAATACGGAACATGATTGGTGCTGCACCCAAACCCGTGGGCTACTCCTGCGGCTGAGGGGTAGGTAGGATGACGCTCGGATGGTACCACACGTGGGCGGTGATCGGTACGCCCCTAACTCCGAGTGCGGAAGTTGCGATGAGGTTCACAAACTCCCGAGTCGCACATGGTTAAAGCTACGTATCCACTATTATCACACCGAGCCTGCCTACTCCGTGTGGGCTAAAAGGTGACAAAATACACAGATTATCGCACCCCGAGTAGACCCCCTACGAAGCCAGCAGGAACCATCATTCACGGGCAAACCCCACTCCGAGTGGGCCCACGTCGAACTCCAGCTTTTGAGGGTGAACTCCATGCTCCACTCGGAGGGCGGTTCGGGATTTGAGTGTGGAGTGAGGCCCCCCGCAACTTCGCCAGTCTGAGTAACGCTGGTGTACCGATCACCCCTCGGAGGGCGGAAATTTACCGCCAGATTTGGGAAGGCCACGGAAACCCCTCCGTGTCGGTGGATGTCGGTGCTCTCTACCGGGCCTCTCCACTCCGATGGGCTCACTCCGAGTGGGCGTACTGATCACAGCCGCGGTCTTTCCGCGTTAGCGTGGCAGCGTTCACCATCGTGATGTGTGGCCTCCTTTGTCGCTGGAGATCGACTGCCAACCGAAGCGCGAGGTTCGGACGTCAAGAAGTTCCCCTGGCGACTGTGACGACGTCACGACCCCAGTGATGAACAAAAATGCGGAAAAATGCTCCGCAATTTCTGCAATATGTCGCACGGAGAGAGTTTGGCCACGTCAACGCCCTGCCATTGTGACAGGAGCGGCCAGTAGATTATTGGGCAAGATCAACACCTGCTATGATATACCATCATTGCCTCTACCGCGCTGAAAACATCTTCCCGCTTGCTTGGGCTCTCGTCGCACCACCGACCACATCGATTTGGTCATTGTGCATGAGATATCGTTATCTGGAACTGGCAGCCGTCATTTGGAACTGGGAACTGTCAAATCCATTGGCGGATATGGCTTTTCGTTCGCGGCCGCAGATTGCAGGTGCCGGTTTGCGAGTCGTAAACCGCCTGCGACTCTGCGCCGGTCGTATGCTCGTTCGTCCCATTTCATAAAAAATCGTCGCGCAACGCAACACCTGCCCAGGCCCTTCCCTTGTTGCCAACGAAATTGCGCTTCTGCCGCCCGTTCCCCGCATTCCGCCCGCGTCTCCCTCCCCTTTTCGCTTCTCCACACCAGCCCCTGCGTAATCCATTGCATTCTCCCCGCTCATCCTCCCCCAAACTCCCCGCACACGCGCACCGTTAGTTTCCGTTCCGATCTGCTCTGCATTGCTTCCTCTGCTCTCTCTGCACTGCACCACCTGGTCCGCTCTTTCGACTTCTCAACCAGATCTGCTCCTCGAAACCACCTTTTCTTCCTCCCTAAGACCCGGCCTGCTCTAAACCAAAAATCCAGCTGCATTCATATTTCTCGTTGCTCGCTTTGCCATCCAGCAGTCCCGCGGCTCACCTCTGCCACTTTGGCCTAGACACATTGACTTGGAACACTTGTTGCCATCAAAAGTTGCTTCAAGAAGTTCACCTTTATTTCTGCCCCCCATCCCCACGTCGTTTCTCACACCTTTCAGTCTTTGAGTTTTCTTACCTGCTCCCTGTCGCGAACACGATGGCCAGAGTCGCTGTATTTCGTTTTACTCCTCGAGACGCAGTCGCGAGAACCGCAGCCGTCGGTTGCGCGAACGCGACTGCGAGCCCTTCGACCACCAGATCTAGCACCTCTCGCGCTCGCTTGCCTTGCACCGTGTCGCCGTCATGCCACTCCGTCTGTCGCCTCGAGTCGCAGTTCCTCGCCAAGCGAAGCTTCCCGTCGCCGGGATCCGGGTCCGCGTTTGACGCGCCGGCCTGGTCGTCCACCTGCCGCCGGTGCGTCAAGGTGGCGGCGCGAATCGCCCCGCCGGAGCGCC